TGTTTTACATTCCATTACCTTGGGTATGATTTTGTATATATTATAAGGTCGATAATTCAATAACTAATTTAATTTTGCTTCGAAAATACTTTTATAAAAAAGAAACGTTAAAGACAAATGTGACTAATATACTTTTTAGATAAAGAATGGCAAAAGCTACAAGATATATGTGATTCTTCGCCTAGAGAATTTAAATATTATTTATACAGGTTTAGTCGTAAAGGATATATTTACCAAACCGAAAAAAATATAGTATATATAAATTATATAATTGACTAACTTTCCCCAAGTAACGTGGAAATTATCCGCGGTCACGTGGAAATTTAGTACTCAAAGTTCAAATATATTTTCAAATTTCCACTTTATTTCTTGGTGAAAGTGTTTCAGTATCATTGTTGTTCTATATTGCTTTTATATATTATATGTAAAAGCAAAATAGATTTATTATATAAGATACGCTTTAGTATATTGTTGGTATATGTCGAAGGGAGAACGCGGAATTGACGTACATAACTTGTAAACACAATACAAAAATTGTTAGATTCTTATATTGAAATTTGAAAATTGTATGTATTTAACCAATTAACAACTTTCTATATGAGTTATGAATTTTTGAAATAGTTTTTTGGCTTTGGTGTAATGTTTTTAAACGACAATTTCGCTTTCTTCCGTCTACATACTTTTTAGGACTAACCTTATATAAATATTCTCAAGCTTGAATGTCCTCAGATATTGTTCACGCTTAATTTATGTTTTTATAAATACTTTATAAATATATTTTTGGTCAGTAACAAGGAAAGATACATAAGGTTTGGAAGACGCACTACTTCTCTACGATACGTAGATCATATAAATTATACAATTTCCTATTTTGTTATTTATTAAATTTGCAGCTATACTATATACAATAATTAATATAATATTAGTGTAATTTTTTAATAGTTTCGGCTTTTAGATAGGGTAAGTAAATAAAATGATAAACATTAAAAAATAATTTCAGTTGTCACTAATATTATGATTTTAACAGAAAAGAATACATAAAATATATATGTAGAATGTATTATGTCTGAATAAATGGCACACGAAAAAAATATATAAGAAGTATTTTGTAATTTACGTTTTCTTCTTGATATGTCTTTGTATGTGTGACTATTCGACTAAAGTCGGACACATAAATACTTAGTAAGTACCTATATATAAATATTACTTAAATTTCCAACAACAATTTTCTTTGTTCGAAAATTTAGTGGTGTCTGTAATTATTTTTTAATGTTCTAGGATCATGTCGTGCTATTCACATTCATCGGCATTATTCGTGAATTCGGTACATTGTCAGTTTTTGTAAACGTAATTTTGTCATACGTAGAATATGAAATAAACTCTTACCAAAGAATTCCGTATTTTTTATTCACTACCAAGCATATAACCCGCTAAATGTTAACATCTTTAGAAATACACAATAATACGACAGTTCTAGCCATACTTATATACATTATATTTGTTCCGCCAAGTTTTCTCGGCACTACTCATAAACTGCTTTTTAAACATATAGGAGTACAGTGCACCTCAAATGGTATATACCTATCTTATTCACGAAGAAATGACCACATTGGTCTCCAAGGTACCTACATTGGTAGCAAATGGGGTCATTAGTTCGTACCCATTATTACCATTTCCCTCTCTTTCCGGCCAATTTAGGTATAATTTAACATTAAAAGAACACGACATTACGGTAATATTTCATAGAATAATCAAACGTGGCGTAGAGCTACTTGCTCTGGGGGGAGGGATTTTTAGTTATGGCAGTAATGACCCCACTACTAGAAATGTATCATGTTACGGTAGGTTGACCACCAGTTCCTTCTGAAATTTGGTGCGATGGGTTAACTGACTTTATGCTCATCCTATCTTCTACTGGTGCCCCGTCCACGCATACCATTAACTCAGGCGGGTCCCACGATCAATATGCATCCGAACAAAAGAAATTGCTACCTATCTTTCAAATTAAGGTGTGTGGTACGTACTGACTTCTTCAATACATGATAGGGTGTAGAAATTGATAATTTTGTTTAACTTTTTTGGATTTATTTTTAAAATACCATATAAATTGCAAATTTGAATGTGTACCATAAATAAAAAAGTACATTGTCTCGATCGATTTCGATTTTTTGTCCAATCACAAAGCATGAAAGTGTTTGATCTGCATTTTGTTGTTGCTTTAAACCCTAATATCCCGCATATTAGGTTTTTTTTGTTTGTCTAAACCACAGATTAAAAAGGTCTAAACAGTGGCGGAACTAACAAAATTACACATGTCCAGTGCTAACCTTACCAAACCTAATTGGGATTCAATTACAATATAACGTAAACTCGTTGAAAGTACAAATACGGCTGTATAAGGAAGTTACCTTGGTCCGAGTCTAATAGACGTTATTTTATTTGCATGTCCGATCTACCTGCACCAATATGGGCATGTCGAGATCGAGATTGTTCCTGCGTTTGAAGTCGGTACTGACCTCGCCAAACTGGATAACTGCTTAATTATATCGTAAAGAACTTTAATTTTTTCACAGGTCGTCTGCGTGGGTACTTAAACTTAGTCTTTCATATTTCAGTCGTCAAGTTATTTGTAAGTTGTGTTCCGGTTGTAGAGTGCAGATTAGGCAAGGATATTGTAGGCTGAGAGAAATGGCGACGGTCTCGGTGGTCTAGCGGTTTAGTACACCGCTTTACTTCCGATGGTCGCGGGTTGCGGGCGGTTGCATTCCTCACACAGTGAAATATTTGTATTTACACCTAAGTATAATTGTTTGTATCGGTCTGGTTGTATGTATAATATGTATTTATTTACAAAAAGTTTATCCATATATTTACAGTTGTCTAGTACTCATAACACAAGCTCTGCTTAGCTTGGGACTAGATGACGCTATGTTAATTGTCCAGGGGTATTATTATTAAATGTGGTATCATGGGTGAAATGTTTATGTACATATATAGGTTATACATTTATGGATGATTGTCGTTTATCATCAGGTGGGGCGTCTAGTTATTGTACATTCTAATTACATAAAAAAACAATGAGAAGATTTTGAAAAGATGTTTTCTAAGTATTTATTTCTGGTGTCTGTCTGGTAGTGCTTAGTGAACTCGCCCAAACATTGTTAGCGAATATGATTTGTAATACCTATATAAATATATTATTTTGATATTATGTAATTGCAGTTCAAAATACATTAAATATGTGGTAAGGGAATTGTTAGGAATGTGGCTTGGCCGCATGTCGGCTTGACCTCCAAATGATTCCCCTTGGAAACCATCGTGATCATCGTGAAATTCTGGGTGAATCTACAACGATGGGCTAACTGACCTGACTCCCTGCTCATCCTACCATCCTCCACTGGTGCTCCGCTAGCGTAAACCGTCAGCGCAGAGGGGTGAACCATAGTTTTATTATCTTATTAAAAAAGACTTTAAATAATGAAATAAGATATCATGTAAGTATGTCGCTTGTCTCCATGACTCAGGAGCGACGGCGGCGCGTGCGCACAGATATGGAGAAAACATGCGAGGACGATGATTTCTCGATGTTTTGATGAGTAATGTAATTATATGCCTGATGCAGACGCTGTCCGGGCCTTATACGTCGATTGGTGTTTTTCATTGAATCTGATAAGAGCAAAACCCACCTTGCATATTGAAAACCTCCATAGTCTAGTTGTGGGTTCCATTCCCATGGAAATATTTGTGTTATAACACAAGTATATTTTAAGTTAAGAACAAATGTATTTTGTCTATTAGCATATATTATCTGTGCTATTAGTAAATATCTCTACCAATTGGATAAAACCTATAGATACTCTTCATAGACTCTACATACCTTATGAACAACAAGTAATAATTTAAAAAGGTCACCGTTGTTGATAATGTTTCTAGAAATATTATTTTACATTTTTTTTATACATTATAATTAGAATGTAGAAACATAATTATATTGTATAAAATAAATGTATACATGCATATATGCAGTCGCAATCAAATACGGTTGAGAAAAGTTCTCTCGGTATATTGATTTAGCAATAAACTAGGTACCTACGTGATGAGCAGGGGTTTTATTTAAAGAAACTATAGAATGTTTTGTAAAATTAGTGGTGCTGTTTATTGTCTATAGCCGATTACTACCACTTTCATTTCTCTCTTTTTTTAAAACTATTTTAATCTTACCAGTTGCCAGCATCAAGACAGGATTCGTAGGCATCATTTTCTTTAAGATTTAACAAAATATAATTAGTTAAAACAGAGTTAGTAATCAGCTTCTGACATTCTGCTCTTGTATGTGGATACTATCAGACTTATTTTATCACATATAATCTTTAAAAAAGTTTCATATTTAATTTTTTTTATTCTTAATTTCTCTATGAATATATATTTATAGAGAAATTAACACATCGTTCTATAAGAGTTAGCATCGTCATAACAAGATTTTAATGTAATATTCTCTTATCTGTGGAATTGAACTAAAATTGCATATATGTAACAATTGTAATGGGTCTAAAGAAAGGGATTTTGTGTAGATTCACGCATAAATTATTTGGTTATCAATGATTGACTCATGATTGACGCCGCCTTCACATCAAATTTTATTAAAATCCGTTTAACCGTTTAAATTGGAATGGTAACAGATAGACAATCATACACACTTTCGCTATAATAATTTTAGTAGTAACAATGGACTAGTGTAGATAAAAAAATAGTTCGTATCACAGAATAATACACAAAGTGATCTATTCTAACAGAACTATGATACTTGTTTACACATCATAAATTCCTACACAGAATCAAACAGTAGTACTTATTATATTCTGTGCCGCTGGTGTAGGTAAATATAAATAAGTAGATACAAAGTAATTTCTGCTATTACTCATTCAACATTTAGGTGGATAAAGTTTCATGTCAAGCTTGTTCCGTTTTGCTCCACTCATTTCCTTCGGCTTGTTATCGGCGAATACGTGATGTCAGTTTTATGTAGAAACGTGTCAAGTGCGCACGTCTGTGCCTCCTATAGATAGTGTTATTAAAAAAATTATCGTTTATGGTATTTCGAAATTTAAATTCCGCGATTGTTTTTTTTTTATTGTAGACATTTTTGTGATGTATGCCAGTGTTGTGTGTTGAATAATGTCGGCTCTATTGAAGAATGTTACAAATTGCATCTGGCACGCATTCGACTCCTTGCAAAATAAATCAACAGTGCACAAATCAAAATTGAAGGTTTGTAATACTAATCGGTATAATATAAATATTAAGATCCATTTAGTTTGTATAATACAATAAATAAGAATCTATATAATATCAGACTAAATAAATAAATTATGTGAATTTCTATATTAACTTTATTTCTTTAAAAGTTAACTTTTAAATACTATAATTAGTATTTCTTTAAATAAAACTATTAATGTTATCTTAGTCAATAAAGAAATAGATCTTATCTTATTAATATTATAAACGCGAAAGTTTGTGACTATAAATGGATGTTGGTTATTCTTTCACGCAAAAACTACTGAACTGAACAGTAATATAGCTACTGTAAACTTTCATCAAAATCCGTTCAGTAGTTTTTGCGTCTGAATAACACATAGGCTACAAATTTCATGCGGGAAAAACCGCGGGCACAGCTAGTATTTTCATGAAATAAAGATTTGACCAATCTCACATGATTAAAATTATTAACGCTTGGCGGTTCATTGCCCATCTAGACCAATTAAAAGCTCCATATGTTACTGATTTATTAAACTAAATTATAAGTTAATGAAACAAATATATTACACATACTAAAGTAACCATAGGGTAAAAATATTAATATTAATACCTACCTAGACAAAGTCATGTCTTGTTTATTTAAGTAGGTAGGTAGGTATTTTTGTAGTAAATATAGGTCGCGCGAGCATTTAGTCACTTCGTTTTACCACAAAGGAAATAAATACTGAATCTAAGGTTTATTTGTATATATTTCTGGGAACCAGCAGTGATACGGCGGATTTTACCCTAAAGTTGAGGGGATTTTTTTTGCCCATGAGGTAAAGTTGGGATTCTGTGGTATTTGGAAAAAAAGGTCGTCAAGATACAAATTACTTTATGTGGGAGTTTTATTTAAAACTTGAATTTTGAGCAGATTATTGGCAAAATATCAGCAGTGATACTGGGATCACTGATACTGATATCACTCTAAATTTGAGAGAATTTTTGCCCATAAGAACAGAAGTGAAGTTACTGTCAGATACTGATCACTTTATTTGGTGTTTTGTATTCAAAACCTGAATTTTGGGCAGATTATTGGCAAAATTTGAAGTAATATTCTCTGCTACTTGAATACAATGCTTTTTATTTTACTTTTATAATAAGGATTGAAATTACGAACTCTTCCTGATGGAAGTTTAGGATTGCTTCCATCAGGAAGCTATCGCTAACGGCACACACGGCTGTCACTGGCGAGATACTATCTATACTAATACATATTATAAAACTAGACTATATTTATTTGTTTGTTTAAACGCGCTAATCTTAGGAACTACTGGTTCGAATTGAAAAATTATTTTTGCGTTGGATAGTCTATTTGTTGAGGAAGGCTTTAAGCTATATAACATTACGCTACGACCAATAGGAGCGGAGCTGCAACTAAAAATATTGAAATGAAACGCAGACGAAGTTGTTGGAGGATAAGCATGAGGTAAAGTCCGTCCGTCCGTTAGCCGGTGGTGACTTCGCTAATATCTCAGGATTTGTATTGTCCCGAGATATTGTTATTATTAACAGCGCCATCTAATCCAAACCTATGCAGAGCTTCTGTTATTGGTATTAGACATCTGGTAGAAATACATACATAAATACTTTTTTTCTATTTGGAAACAATCATTATCATGAATACAAATGTTTATACAGAGCGAGGAATCAAACCTGCGACGAAACCGCTAGACAACATGTATTTCATGAAGCTTTCTAGGTCACAGCGCAAGGAGGTGAATCAGACTTGGTCACTAAATACAAAAAACAATTACTCTAGTATGGTAGAAAGAAGTAGGTATAGTAAATAGATACTTATTATGTAGATAGAGTTTTGGTAATGTAGTTATAAGTACGTACATACACAATTATCGGACAAAATATCAATAATAATAGATAACAAGAATGTATGTAAAATAGGTACTTAATAATTTTTATTGACACAGACAAAACAGATTGATTGTAAGTTACTGATAATAATCATTTGTCTAAGGACAAACACCTTTATAATCATAGATAACTTATATAAAATAACTATATGATAGGCACTACATCATTAACACATAAACAACAAAAATTCAAAAAGCAAAATCAACAAATTTTGAATTTTTTGGAATTTTGACACTACATGATTAACACATAAACAACAAGGTATAAAACATTTTAACTAAGACTGCTATCTGCTAAGTAAATATAATCTGCCGACCACTTTGGAGGCGACGTAGCAACTAATTAAAAAATCTATCTCTGATTTATACACATCAGGGATGTTAGGGAGCTCCGTAACCGTAACCGAAATTATCGGATATCCGATATAAAAAAATATTCGTAATCGTAACCGAATCCGAAATAAAAGTTTCGGACAATATCGGATAGGGGCGAAGCGTAATTTAGACACGTTATGTAACCATTTTATTAGCTATTTGTATTTTACTTTTGAAATTCCTTAAAAAAATAATATTCCGAAATTATCCGAAACTAACGGATAACCCGAAATAATTTCATATCCGTATCCGGTATAATAATCATTCCTATATCCGAAACCTATCCGTATCCGAAATTTCATATCCATAACATCCCTGATACACATGAATATTGTACCGAATAATCTGTTTTAAGAACTCATTATCATGCTATGTCCGTTGGATGCAAGTATACAGCGAATATCCCCTAGTTTTAGAATGTTTTAAACAGTAGAATAGAATAGAAAATCATTTATTCTAAGAAACTTACATTGAAGCACTTTTGAATAGTCATCACATTTTTTTTAATCTGCCGCTTATTCGGAAAGCTTTCTCATCACAAGAAGAAGGAGCAGGAAACACATTTAAATAATTTTATAGTTACTTTACATTTTTAGTTAAAGTGTGAATACAAATAAAATTTTCATCGTAGTCGTATTAAAGTTTTTTTTTTACGATAATGAAATTACGATTCTGTATCTGCTAATTTATATACAATACGTATTATATCTAGACAGTGATATTTTATTAGCCTTTCCCTATTACAGTGACCCAAATTGCGTCCTATAGTAACTGCCCCCCAGGTCAAGGGAGGTGGGGATTACGTCACCCTTTGTCTAGACCAAAATAGGCTGTACGTATATAATAATACCTAAGTAGAGTCACGAACAGTAATATTATTATTGTGCCTTACCACAATAACAATTCTTTGTTATGTATTTATAAATGTTTGTAGTTGTGATTACTGTGAGGATGACAAGTACTAGAAATTTATATATAATTCCTCGTGATAATTTCACTGTATATTCAATTCATGTCAACTAAGATTTCCTCCTTATTACGGAGATTATATATTATAATTAAACATTTATTAATTTAACAAAATGTTGTAAATCTTAGCAGTCCTGAAATTAATTCAAATTTTATTCCTATGTACTTATATTGTATTATATTGACGACAAATGTAGAGAAACTCATGAATTTGTACATATTACTCCTGGTTGCAATAGACCTTAGCATACAGTAAAACAAAATTTCGCTACAAACCACGTGTATCAAGTGCTACCACATAAATGGTGGTGAGACGAGCTTGACCACTTTCACAAACAACACATTTTTATAACGGTCCCACTCATGCAGGATGCTCATAACAGCACCAAAATATCAGGAGCTTACAAAAATTAAATGCACTAAATATTCCGTTACAATATACTTAACAATTAATTAATCCCAGTTTTAATTTATTTATATTTAATTGAGTCACCAGTGCCGCATGTTTCTTAAAAAAAGGTTGTTAATAATATGAACTCTTCTCCCAGTACTCACAATGTACCATGTCAAGTCGACCTCCACACAGTTACCCTAGAAATTATCTTGGTAAATTCACCAGGTAGTGACAATTCCTCGTGAATTCACCATAATGGGCTAACTAACCTAAATTCATGCTCAGGATGAGCAGATAGGTAGTTCTCTACTGATGCCCCGCCAACGTAAGGAAAGCAGGTGATCATTGCATTATGATTCATTTAAATAGAATATGATAACAGAACATTTACTTTCAATTTATTTCACAGTGTTTCAAAACCAAGCCAAGATTATTGTAATTGTACATTTTTATCCTTACTAACAAATGCGAAGGTAACTTTGTCCGTCTGTCGTGCTTTCACGTCAATACTATTGAACCGATTTAAAAGAAAGTTGTAACACAGATAGTCTAAACCCTAAGAAAGGATATAGGCTACTTATTAATACAATAAAGATTTGTAAGAGATTGAAAGAGGAGATGAAAAGTTGTATAAAAGTATCGTCATTTTTAAAACTAGAGGGTAAAATCAAGAGCTTAAAAAATAAGTGAAACTTATTTTTTAAGCTCTTGATTAAATATCAATAATATATATATTAACACTAACCTAACACTCAGATTGTAAAAAAAAAGATAGATGAAGGATGAAAGTTTGTATGAAAATTCGTAATTTTTGAAGCTAGAACGATAAAACTTATTTTTTTGGGTTAGATTATTAAATATTTAATACTATCCAAGGTCACTATTCCACACGGACGAAGTCGCGGGCACTGCTAGTTTAATATATAATATCCTATAGAGATATCTATAATATAACACTAATTAACCACTGTAAATTAAGAACATACAATACGCGGTGAACTTTCTCGAAAATCATTTCGAGCGTTGATTACGCACTCTTGCTTGTAAACTCAGAGCATTGGGCATACTTTCCTTTTTGAAAGGATTACTAATTAAGGAATTGATACCTGTGTGGCGGTGTGTACATACATTTAGTTGTTACTTGGTCGTATATGATAACGAATTTTTATTATTCCTTTTTAAGCATAATGACGGAATTATGCAACCGTCTTCGCTTACGGTATACGCTGTTGCACTATAAGCGGAGGATATTAGGATGAGCATGAAACAGATCGTGATAAATTCATTGGGAATGAATGACGATGGTTTCCAAGAGGGACTATTCTATGACGTTTAAGTAATTCATACACATAACATCAAAGAGAATAATAAATGGATCACGTCAAGTCAACTCCAATAAATATTTTCAAATTTAACATTCTCGACTGAAATTAAAACGGTAACAAAAATATCATAAAATATTAATATATATATATAATAGGGTTATCACTAAAATATTTTTCTAATAAATATTTTTCTTCTTTAATATTTTATTAAATTATAAATACTGTGACCACAAGAGCGTCGCTTTTAGATTATGAATGAATGAAGGAAATTTGTTTATATGTGGGATGTACTATTCAAAAAGCATTGTGGTTTGTATTTTACATTAAAATAATCAGCGCAACGTGAATATTTGCAATTACTTTGTGGTAAATTCTATTTTACAGGATATTTTTTATTAAATCTATTAATAATTGCGAGTATAATCATTATTATACTTTTAACAATCAATATAACATCTTTTATAATATACTGCAATTACGTAGGCATGTATAATTATTAAAAAAACATACCTACTTAATTAGGTGACAATTTAACTCCCAGTTTATCTCAAGTAAGAATAATAACCTCACACGTGTTGTAATTGCAAAAATGCAGTTAATTATGTTTATGAATTATAATTACTTAAGAAGGTGCCTAGGCATGCAAAATTTTTTAAATGTAGCAGCCCTGACATGAACTCTAAATGTCAAATTACGGTTGCTTTCACGGCGTTTTTAGTCAAAATACTGACATTTAGTTAAAAGTATGTCACTTCATAATGACATGTTTGTGTCAACTGGATGATTGATCGATAATTGATCATATACGTACATATTATGTAGTAGTAATACATATTAAAACATGGAAAAATTGTGTTGACTTTATTGAAAACTTACTGACTTAAGTGGCCATTGCTTATATCAATTTATATACCTGATTATAATGATATGTACGCGTTACTACTTACTATTGACTTAGTATGCGTACATACCTGACTTCTGTTTATCAATTTCCTGTAATTGTGCAGCATGCAAATGCAAATGGTTGTATTGACACGCGTAGCATGATAAATAAAAAACTGCAACCAACGGGCAGACACAAAGTCAATTTTATGTGTACAATTATACTTTATTATACATAGGTATATATATGTAACTGGAATGGTAAATTTGGCGATAAGGAGTAAATATGAATGCGAAACATACGAAGATTCTCGTACTAATATGGAATATGAGAATTATTTATTTTCGCTACAAGGACATTTTTATCCTCGAACAGATTTGTATAACATGTATTTTTACCGATAATCCTATATCGGTAAAAATACATATAATGTATGATGGAGATTAGATCTGCAACATCGTACATTGAGCCTTTATCTGAATATTCATTTTTTCGTACGAATTTACTCGTTTTTATGGTTGATAACTCTGGCACTAACCATTACCTATATAAATTCTTGCCAGATCCCATGTGACGCTTCCCATTTGATCGATCCCGCGTCAATTCAAAAGGGGATCGAAATTACGATGGCCTGAGCCGACCGTTCTAAAATTCTAGCAACGCATTCAGACTAAAGTCGTATCCGTCAGGCAGGAGGTTTCAGAGTTCCATAAGTCCTTCTGCGGGTTTGGGGTGACTTCTGCACTCGCCCTCCATCATTTAGCGAAGCTGTAAAGGCCATCTGCGACCAAGAGCATTGTCAATCTGCTGACATGGTACATTTGTGTGAGCAGCGCAGGACCGATCCGATGATCGGTCCTGCGCTGGAGGTCCTGGAGATCTTTGGGGGAGGTCTGTCCAGCAGTGGACGTGGATGATGATGTCACGTAGGGCTGACTGACTTGACCTCAAGTTCATCTTATCATCCTTCACTGGTGCCAAGCCAGTGCAAACTGTTAGCCCAGGCTAGTGCGTCATTCCATTATCATACATTAAAAATCCACTACTTTCACTTCACATGTACCTAGATTACAAAGCAAGCTACTTGGCGGCAGAGATAGATGAGAAGTATGTACCCACGTGAAGGACTTTGTAGATACTCTACCTCGCTAAAATATTCAAATACATTATATGTTTGATATTGTAATATAAAGAGAATCTCTGATCTAGTCCAAGTTTGTAAATGCAAATGAGTAGATAGGTACATACAGTGACTCATGTTAAGAGCATTGATCTTAAGTAAGACTTACTTCGCCCACATAATAATGCAATACTATTTGTTACGTTAGGTAGGTAGATAAGGAGAGGGGGGGGGGGGGATAAGCATGTTCTCAGTCCACGTTACATTGTGTTGCTTATTATCTACTTAACTCTGATTTTCCTTCAAAACGCATAAATCTTGCGCCTTCTAATTTACTGAAGGATATCATATGATTACCATCCTGATAACATGGAAACAAAATCAATGCAGTTGAAATCAGTAGACACGCGAAGCTACTCTTATGTGTTATTTGATAATCTAAGTGGTCTCACGTACCTTTCCATTGTTAACATGTTCGATTCCCGCATAATACAAATTTGTATTTAAAAGTATGTCTCTTTATAATGGTCTGGGGATATTTCCCATGATCGCAGGTTCGATTCGTCTGTGTTCATAAATATAATTGTTTGTATCGGTCTAAGTGTTTTCTATTTATATTATATGTTTTAAAAAAAAAATCCTATCTGTGTATTTATATCAGTTGTCTAGTACCCATAACACAAGCTCTGCTTAGCTTGGGATTGGATGGCGCTGCGTAAACTTTCCAAAGTTATTATTATTATTATAAAGTAATATTAAAATTATTGTTTTACCTCAAAATATATTTGTATCTTTCGCAGGTGCTGACTGCTAACATCGGCACTCTCCTAGACCTCTATGGCGTGGAGAAGGGTCTAGACCACTTCAAGTCCTCACAGGAGTTAACGTTTGATGAGTTCCGATATTACCTCCAGCATGAAGTGTTCAGCTCGCTGCCGAAGACCATGACCTTACCGGTTATTAGAGATTACGAGAAGAAAATAAGCGAGGTATACTCATAACCATTTTATTTTTCAAAAAAAGTTTATTGTTCGTTTGCTCGTATACAGTAGCAAGTTGTTGTGATAACTGACTAAGAGTAATTGAACTTCCTATTTTTACTGATATGTATCTTTTATAGACTAACTTCCTATTTATCAATCATCGAGCTGTTGATTGACATTGTATAAAAAAACATGTCATATCACCTAAATAATTTGTTTAAATACTATATATTAATACAAAACTACTTTATACACAAAATCAAAGTATCTTTTACAAAAAAATATAAGAATTAACATTTCAATTGACATAATACTTTGTTTCGGTATAAAAAATATCTTTGCACAAAAGAATATTACTCTATTAAATTAAGAATGTATTATTAATTTAAGCTATTTTGTATTTATTATAATAAAATTCTAAAATCAAAATTTTAGACAACAGGTGTTTTTGGTAATAGACCAAACTTTATTTCCTTTTTTGTGTAGTGTAGTGTTGCAAAATAAAATAGAAAGTAATTTATATGCAATCTGTTTGTTAATATGTATTCAATTAAAAATATTTTTTATGTACGCCATTTTAGCCGTTTTAGCCACAAAATTTCTTTGTTACAGAAAAACAAACAATTATTAAATTTAAATTGTCATTATTAGTGTCTTTCTTATCTGTGGTTTTAATTGGCGCGAAAATATGCTTTATAAGTGAACAGAAATATAAATTACAAACAATAACTGTAGATTATATTTTTTTTAATAAGTATAGTACATATCAAAAAATATTATTATAAATTGTAAACAGTCTTTTAAATATTTTTTTTTATCTATAAATATAATATGTTGAATATTTCCAATTCTTTTATATATACGATATCTCGTATTGAGTCTTTTTATACCTTTTATATTTTTATTCAATTGAATTCAACTCGGGGATTAGGTACATTATATTTATTTGGTCCTAAATTACTATGTATAACATAGCTAGTTCAAAAAAATATTATACTTCCTACAATCACAACAGTAAAGTATACAATAAACCCAGTAAAAACTTTTATTATAAACTTATAGGTATTTAACCTTAACAATATACGGAAATCTTATTTAAAAAAAGTAGAGCAGTTGTCTTTTTACGGAAATACTAAGTAGCTATTATTTTTACTATTCTTGTTGAATATAAATTCGAAACGGTTTTTGTTGGGTTAGCAGACTCAATGCCGTCTTTGCTCGCAGACATTAAACTTTACTAATATGGGCTAATAGATAATTTGATATCCGAGACAGAGTATCAAATAGCATTGCGGTAATACGTGCCACAATATATTATTAATAAATAAAATAATGAGAAAGGAGATAAGTAACCGAATACATAGTCTTATTTATTTGGACTAATATTAATTACATATTACATATATATTACAATAAAAAAACATTTATTCAGCATTGCATCAGTATCTGAAGTTTACAATAATGTATGTCCTAATATATATGTATGATTAATAATCCTGACTCTGAGTAATTTTTTATTGTTTTTTTTTATGTTTACTTAGTTTGTTAGTAGAGGGCAGTTTTGAACCTAAATGCTATCGTAGTCTTTGATTTTTTATTGTAATACTTTACCGATAAAGGCTATAACAGAATAGCAAAGGGGGTGGACTCTGCCCCCTCTGAGTTGTAGACCGTTTTGTCTGGATATTCTCACTATAAGCAGCAATTGTAACAATTTATTATTTGAGACAAATAAAGATGATGATGATTATTATTATATGTATAAGTAAGAAATGTTAAAACATACTGGTAACTCTGAAAATGACTGCCATTCAGTTTACTTATCCATCTATTCTAGTTTGCAAATCTAATATATATAATTTTATATGTTAAAAATACATATAACTAAATAATAATAACAGCTTCGTGATTATTACTGTCATGAATACAATTGTTTGAATTCTATGAGTATGGTAACAACGACCATCCGAAAGGGATGTGGTATTATTAAACCGATACACTACCATTGCCATCGTTATATGTAGATAACCACATAGTTTTTCTATGTTCTGTTAGTCGGCGGAGTCCAGAAGCCTTTTTAAAAAATAGATTTTTTACTAACACTAAGAGAAGGTATATTATTGGAATACTTAGATGCTTTACCTAATCAAACACGAGTTAATAGGTCGGGATCTTGTATTGGACTGATTCATTTTAGTTACAAGTTATAAAAGAACAATGGTTATAAACAATCTTTTTGTTTGTTAGTATTATTGTTATACTGTGTTAACTGAAATCCTTTCTGTACGGGGATGTAACAGTTCGTTCTTTCGTACGTTTTAATTATATTTGTAAGAAAAGTGTGAATAGAGGATGGAAATAAATAAATGAATAATCATAAACGTAGGCACAAAAATGCCCTAAAAAAACATGCCACTGGTTGCCATAACAGCAGTGTGTATCCTAGTAAAAATGATATTGATCATAACAAATGCTAGGTAATTATTAAAACGACACGCCGCAAACATTGACGTAAGAGATCTCAATTTTTCTCAGCAATAACAAACCATTCGTGGCTGATATTTGTGTATTCAATTTTTCATATATTTAACATCATTTTTCTTGTTTTCGTTAACTTGATTAACTTTTGTATTACAATTTAGAAGATAGATTGATACTGACCCTGAGAACTGACATAAACTACCTTTTATGACAATAAAACTAGACGAAGTCGAGACCTACACCTAGTAAGATATATTTGGACAATTTATGTCTTCTATTTCCTATTTCGACCTTGGTGTTGCCATATTCGATGAAATATCAATGAAACGTCAGCCTCCTACGTAAAACCTATGATATAATTATATTACCTATAGTTTGCTACTCGAGGTCAAGGCCTCTCTAGATTACGTTGTATATAGCAAAAATTGCGCCAAATTGCTTCTGCCTAAATCAGAGACTGTCAACCTTTTTTTGTATAGATAGGTCTAGATTTATTTGTTGTTAACAAGTCCACAAATTTAGAAATCAGTGTACTACTGATAATGACATGTAGTACAAAAAGCACTTTAAAATCATATTTAATACTAAAATGAAATAAACTTCAATCAAATGTTATTATTGATAATTATGAGCCAGAAGATTTGTCAAAGTTGACGACTTTGACAAATCTTCTGGCGGCGCGGCGGCACAATTTCGATACAACATAAAATACAACGACAATATAATGACAGTCTCGGTGGTTTAGCAGTTTGACGCACCGCATTACTTCCGTTGGTCGCGGATTCGGTTACTCGTACGATGCAAACATACAAATGTTTCTCATTAATTCACGATGACTGTTTGTATTGGTCTAGGTATTGTCTATGTATGTGTACAAAAAAAGTATTTAAGTATTTCTATCAGTTTGTAAGTACCCATATATTAGCTTTGTTTAACATGGGAATAGATGGCGCTGTGTGAATTGTCCAGGGTTATAATAATCAGATTTTCAAAATAATTAACTCGTTCACATTTTAACACGGACGGACCACTGGTTGGCAACCCCTGGTCTAGATTATTGTGCGCTACTTTGAATAGAAGCAGACATTATCAAGGTTTCGTATAGATGTTGTGAATTATTGGCAGAAGATTTATATACGTCATCCAAAAGTGAAACATTTCTAAGAGGATCGAGTTAATTTTAAACAAATGGTAGAGATAAGTGGAAATTTTAATATTTCTAAAATAGAAGTTAATAATTTATAATCTTACTTCAATAAATATAACGTTACAAAGAATGATTAAAATTTTTAAAAAATATTTCCTATACATCTATACATATAAATAAAATTAGAGTGTCTGTTTGTAATATTGAAATAACCGTTTTTACTACATGCATATGAATATAAATACGGTACATACTAAAGTAACGTTTTTTACAATTTTTGTCTGTCTGTTTGTTCTGGCTATTCTCTGAATTGGTTGGACCGATTTTGACGGAACTTTTATTGGTAGCTGATGTAATAAGGAGTAACTTAGGCTACTTTTATTTTAGAAAAATAAAGTTAAATTCCACGCGATCGGAGTCGCGGGTACATCTATATTATATAATACCTAACATAGTATATGCGTGTACGAATACAAACCACAAAAAACTACTTCCACCGCTTTAAGGGAACATTGAATTAACTTTGAGTAGCATAATTTTTTAAGTCGTTCTTATTTAAATACAAACAACTAAATTTAGATAATATTTGTGAGATCAATCCTTTCTTATAACAGCAAGGAAATAAGTTCTCGTCTAAGAAAGGTCGCTTTATTTTAACTATAAAAACTTACAGATCATTACACATACAATACATTTTACATAGCACTCATGTTGACAATGACAGCCGACTGGTCTAGCGGTTTAACACACATTACTTACGATGGTCGCGCGTTCGATTTTTCGCACGGTGCAAAAATTATATCCATAAGTATGGTTGTTTGTATCAATCTGGGTGTTTTCTGTTTATATTATGTACGTATGTATTTACAATTAAAATATATTTTTATCAGTTGTCTACTGGGACTAGATGGCGCTGCGTTAATTGTCCGTGGTTATTTACTTATTTATTTTACTTATTTTGACAAAGTCATTTGTTTCCATTTGAAAGTAGACTAAATTATATTCTAACATTTTCAAATAAAATATATGAATCTGTTTATAGATAACTGAGGTAAAAATATTGTCAAAATTGAGTAGGTATCTACTTATAGTTTATCTGAAGTCGGTAAAATTCAAAGAACTTATTTTACTTATTTATTTTTATGAGTATCAACCGATTTAAATTACAACTTATATATATGTACATACGTTCAATATGAACGCATATATATATATATATATATATATATATGTGTGTGTGTATATATCTCTATGTGAGGAGAAATATAATTTTATTGAGCACATGTTCGCAGTTTCTCTTAATTTGAACGGGCCTATTTTTCATTCACGATAGGAACAAACGATCTCCTGTACAGCTGCAGTAAGTGGGACGCGATAACAGAATGGAATTGTAAATTAAATTACTAACGCACAAATGAACATACAGAACACATATATACATGTATATGTATCGAAATTCAAACAGCATAATACTCAAACTGCTATACAAATTTGATTTTAGTTAGTAATATTTTAAAGAGGAAAGATATGACTTTTTATTTGCTTTTACTAGATAATACTGGCTACGATTTATTAAAAAAAGCAGACTTTTTTTTTTAGATAAACTGTAGCTCATATCCGCCCTCATGTATTAATATAATATAATATATTTCCATGTAAATTCTCATTTATAATATGAACGGATAAACTCAAAAAATACTTATGACTTAAAAAATAGTTTCACTTGCAGTAATCTATTGTACATTGTCAACGAAAAATATGGATTGCTGCTGTATTTTAGTTTCGACAAAAATATTGTCTACTATTATATAATTGCACTCGTAAAAAGCTGGAGAAGCGTGTTATTAGAAAAAGATTCACCAAAACTTAAAAATTACAGACGATATTGCATATGTATGTTACATACAATATGCAAAATTTTTGATATCGGCTGGTAGAAATCTTTTCAATAAAGTGCTGCCAACTTAATAATTAAAATGGTGTACTTCTCAGGTCTGTTGGCTGGTTTGCCGCAAGAACCTTTTGGCACGAGACAAACCTATCTTCGATGATGACTCCGTGCTGAAGTTATTCAGGATATACTGTCTACTCGCGGATTTGGTGCAGGATGCAGATGACTCCGAACATTACATGGTAAAGTTTCAAACATTTTTCTTTTTATAAACTATTACATATAGCCTTTATCCTCTTTTCAAAACTAATATTTATTTATTTATTTACTCTTTATTTCACCAGAAGTAAATTAAAAGAACATAATGTGAGGGTTGCTAGTCCTTACTAATATTATAAATGCGAAAGTAACTCTGTCTGTTTGTCTGTCTCGCTTTCACACCAAAAGTGAACCGATTTAAATGAAATTAGTACACATATAGTCTAGACCATAGAAAGGGTGATGGGCTACTGTTTAATGCGAAAAAAGGGTTGTAAGGGTTAGAAACGGCAGATGAAAGTTTATATAGAAATATCTACATTTTAAAGCTTGAAATTTATTTTTAGGCTGTTGATTAAATATAAATAAAGAAAAAAGGGTTGAAAGAGGAGATAAAATGTTGTACGAAAGTATCGTAATTTTTAAAGGTAAAATCTTGAAACTTATTTTTTAATCTAATGGTTTAATTAATAAATAAATATGACACTCTAACTTTGTAAAAATTTTACCCTTAAGGCGGTAAAATAACATAGGGGGTGAAAGTTTATATGGAAAATAGTGTTTATTGAAGCTAGAACAATGAAACTTTTATGGGTTAGATTATTGAATACTTTGTCTACATTTGGTCAAGGTCACTATAAAACGCGGACGGAACCGCGGGCACAGCTACTATTAAATACTTATTTTTATGTTAAAAAAGAGATAAGTGATGGAACGATCGAATACTACATATACATTTCGTATGAAACATAGTGATAAAACTACTTTACAAATTGTAATGTCAAGGTGAACTAGCATTAGTCGTATTAACTTCTATATGAAAATCTATAGATATATCATAACGTAGAAGTGTATGATGACAGATCTATTTTTGTTTTGTGTACTTTACGCTTCAATTGCGATAACCTATTGCATGCATTACAAAAGCAAATGACGACAAATGATACTTTTTATTAACAAATGTTATTTTTACGACATATGAAATATTATTGAAATGTTTCACACTGTATACGATTAATTTACCAATTTGAAAAATAATAAATATATGATGAATGGTATTCTAGTGCTGTTGATATGAACATTGATTACTGAGGGAGTAAACCATCTATATATTAATAAGTGCAGCAGAAACTTTGTACCCCTTTTTAAGTAAATTACTCGGTTGACGTAGTATGAAATTGTTCACACCTGTAGCACCTTTTTAGCTGTGCCCGCGGTTTGTTCCGCCGGAAATTTATAGCACATGTTTTATTCCGATGTATAAGCTATAATACTGTAAAGTTTCATCTAAATCCATTTTACGTGAAAGAGTAACAAAATATCATCCATCCATACTCACAAACTTTCACATTTATAAATTTATAAGTAAGATACAGGGAAAGAGTGCAAAATATTTTATTAGCATCACTACATAGTATAAAACAAAATCGCTGTCGCTGTCTGTCCGTCCCTATGTATGCTTAAATCTTTAAAACTACGCAACGGATTTTGAAGCTGTTTTTTAAATAGATAGAGTGATTCAAGAGGTAGGTTTATTTATTATACATATATAATACATGTACACCTGTGCGAAGCCGGGGCGAGTAGCTAGTTATGAATAAAAGTACAATAAATAAAAAAAAACACTACCATGTATTTGACACACACACGCACAAATGTCAATTTAAGAACACATTAATATTGTCTGTCTTTTTACTTGCCTATAGTCTTACTAAATGTCAAACCCAGCCATAATGAATTCTTAATAATGTTCGAACTTATAATTCAAACTAATTACGGTCTAATTTCGAGCACTGAGCGACCACGTAAAAACAGTAAAAGTAAAAAATTACAAGTAAAAAATCATCTTGGATACTTCTATTCTAACAATTTTAGACGTCTAGCACGCTTTGTAAGCTGTGCCTTAGTTGACGGGTGAGACATGGCAGTCAATAGTACTTATACACTTACCATCATGTAGTACATCAACTTACTAGTTATTGACAACTAGTAAGTTGACGTGCGCTAGATCACCGAGGCCTAACGGTTTACCACACCGTTTTATTTTCGATCGTCGCGGATTCGATTCCTCGCACGGTGCAAACATTTGTATTCATGAGTATAATTGCTTTTATCGGTCTGGGTGTTTTCTATGTCGTGGAGATCTTTGGGGGAGGCCTATGTCCAGCAGTGGACGTCTTCCGGGCTGCGATGATGATGATGATGATGATGTGTTTTCTATGTATTTACAAAAATATATCTAAGTATTTATATCAGTTGTCTAGTACCCATAACACAAGCTCTGCTTACCGCGGGGCTAGATAGCGCTGTGTGTTTTCCAGGGTTATTTATTATTATAAATATTAGATAATTCCGCGCAAACTTTTATACTGCGTATCGCATTTTACTATATGATGATAAGACCTCCCCAAGTACTTACATTGACGTCATTAGTTTAAAAAGGAAATGTGCTGCCCAGATGTTGCTTTACAACTGTACAACTGGTGTCTAGAGAATTATGCTGAGGTCAATGTCCGTTATATTAAATCTTTTATTTCTTCACTATATGACACATCCGCTAAGTGGACCGACAGAAATATTGTTTTGTATTATGCATCTAATGTTATGAAAAGTCATATTCATGAATTAAATTAATCAAAAGTTTATAATATAAATTCGGGAAAGTAACCAGCGTATATCCAAAAATAAATCAATATATTCAACCGCTATACCACCAATATGTTTTTTAATTAATTATCACACAAATTTAATACAAAATAAGTATCATGAAACCGCCAAACTGTTTAGCAGTTTGTCTGTATGTATCATCGTATTATTAGAACACACTTAGTTTATAATCTATCTCATAGGATTGTATTGTGAACTTCTACAGCTTATAACCAGTTAAATCGTCAAATTGTGAATTGGCCATATATACATAACTAACTGTAGCTAATATTGCAGGTATAGGTAGAATCTAGGATGGTTCATCTTTTTGCGAAATTTGTGGTAAAATGGAATAATGAAATCAAAAATCATTTATTTATGTAGGACATTAGCAGCTTCTGAACTTAAATTTTTCTATATTAATATTTTTACCCTACTGTCCACTTCAGTATTCAGATTCAACTAAGAGGACCTGGCAAGAAACACAACTGAATTTTCTTTTATTTTTAGATTGTGTATTTTTGTTCACAATTTGACTGTTTAAGCTGAAAGTGTTCACAAATTACATGGTGATAAATAATTCTAGGTAATACTGCAACCATCCGAAGCGGGCATCGTCGCTGAACAACTGGTCCATTGTCTTGGGCTCCGATGGGACGCGGCAGACTGGGACGCACTGGGGACCTCCATCGGTCATTTCAAATGGGCAGCTTTTCTTGCAGTATTGGAGGCTAAATACTGCTCCGACCAACAGCTACACTCTAAGGCTTTGGTGGAAGCTGTCGACGAGATCTATGATGTGTTCATTGAAGATATTATAAAGAAGGTATTATTTAATTCATATAAATTAATATTTTTTAGAAGACCGGCTAATTATCGAAGGTTCAGTTTAGGGTAAACATACTCGGTGTTGATCACCAATCACGAACCCGAAAAACGGCTACACAGCAGTCCATTGCACTCGTATGTTATGTTCTCGTACAGTCAAAAATCGAACTAGATAGAGGCAATTGCGAGGAGCTCTGTAACCAAGGAGGACAACAAAGAGATACCATCATAAAAACCAGGACTACTCTGTCAAGAGTGAACGACTATAGAAGAAGAAATTAATATTGTAAAACAAAAAGTTTTTATATTTTGTATAAATTGGATAAACTCAAAAAATAGTTAACCTATTTAAAAAAAAACAGTAAGCTACATTTTCAGCGAATAATATAGGCTGTATTTTACAAATATAGCGTTGCTGATGCAACTTTTTAGTTATTAACAGACACAAAAAACTACAAAATATTTTTTTTTACTTTAATCTCTTGTTAAAAATTGCAATAAGAAGTCTGCATAATTTACACCATTAAATATGCAAACTTCTTATTGCAATCTCTATTATTTTTTCTATTTTTTTTCTTTTACACAGTAAAGAAATAGATAAATGAGTTACCCTTTTCTAAATTTCAGCGTGGAGTAGAAAAACGAAATTATTAATTAGCAGTATGTTAGCGAATGTTGTATACATTCTACATACATAGGTATATGTAGGTTAGTTCCCTAGATTTCAAAGATAACAAACCATTTCTGACGCCAATCGTAACTTGACTCTCTCTTTTATTGGAGCCTTGATACTCGGCGGCTATTATGACGTCAGTAACTCATTACATTACCGTTAACCTAAATCGGACTTGAAGCTCACAAAATGTTGGTTTTTATTGTTGGTAACAAGGACACATAATCTTAAAAATGTAAAGTTAAACAACAAGTTATTTAAAAGACGTAAGTTTCTCGTCCATTATTCTTGACTGTATCTACATTCCGAATAAGGGATAGAATGAAATAAATGATTATTAAAAAGTGCCTCTTTTTATATTATTTTCAATAGAATTAGTAGCATGGATTCATACAAAAAATATTTTGATGTAAGCCATAATTTGTAGGCTGTATTCGGTATTATTTTGATGGCACTAAACTATTTTTATGAATTTGTGTCATCCATATAACTATACGTTAGGCAGTATAGATCGTTATAATATTAATGAAAAATTATATATATATTATGTAATGAAGGTAGTTATTTATTTATTGCTCGGTTCACCAAATATTATATGTACACACTTTGTAATTTTATTACGCAAGTGAATTGTTAAAATTTTATAAGAAACAAATATCTTAAACCATATATTACTGGCTCTAGCGGCATGACCCCTAAATCCTGCAGAATGAAACACATGAGTGGTAAAGCGGGTATCACTTGATGACTGTGATGATTCATGTACATAGGCAATGGTTGCCGCCAACTTGTCCATTCCAGTAATAAAAAATATATTTCAGGGCTACCTATTCAAACGGGGCTATTTACTGCCAACAATGCGCGAATACTGGTGTGTGCTACAACCCTGCGCCCTCACCTACTACAAAAGCTCCTCGCAGAAGGAACAGTGCGGTAGAATCACAATAGACGAATATTGCTCCGTAGAGGCTTCAGCAGGCGAGGGTAGAATCCAAAGATTCCAACTCGTCACTCCAGATAGAACATTCGAATTCGCCACTCAAGACCACAAGTGAGTTCTCATCAAAATATGTTTTAATTAGGTTATTGATTTCAGGCTTCTAATGACACATATTACAAATACCTTATAGTAGTCTATATACATATTAAATAATGTTGTCTTTATGGTTACGACACTGACGACGACAATTTGCCGAGGTAGCGCAGATACACCACCTTTTGTTTTATTTATACTTAGAATTCTGAATATACGTTACGCAAAACAAAACCCTGGTCGTGACGCAATAGTTTGATAGTAACGCACAATAAGACAAGTGAGAGGCTAAGAGTGGGCTCACATTATCAGGTTCCGACCGAAAGGCACGTGCGATTAGTTGCTACGCCCCGTTCTTCGGCGTCAAGTCTGTAAAACAGTATAACTGTAAACAAAAAGGGCCTAACTGAGCATAATTCTCATTTCAAATTTCTACAGAATGGCACTAGAGCCATATTTTTATTCTAATATAATTATATCATCTACTAATATAATAATTAAAACAGTGTGTCTGCCAATTTGTTTCCTCGACAAACGGCTGAACGGAACTTAATTAAAAATGGCATTAACATAGATTGTAACGTCTTCATGAGACGCCCGCAATAACCCAAAATGTTTACTATTCCGAGGGACTAAGGTCTCTTTCGAAATGGCAACGCTTTGGGGTGTTCTTCAAACCAGAACAAAGCTCACTAAGCTGCTTAGTAGCTGAAATGGGTGAGATAGAGATACCCACGACAATTTTACGAAGTGTACCTAGATACAAAACAGAATAACTATACAGAAGCCGACTACAATGGATATCAGCGGTGCGACAGGCGGCAGCAGTCTCAGGAGGTGCCGAGGGTTACCAAAGGAAAGCTAGAGCGTGCAGACGTGGTGCCGGCGCCAGGAAAGAGAGAGAAGCTAGAGACGCTCGCGCGCGACTACAGCATGAAGTGCGAGCGAGACTCGCTGCAGAAGCGCAGGCCCAAGTATTCATTATATAGTTAAATACTATCTTAATGTATAAAAATTAAGTATCACGTTATTTGTCCGCGATGAAATTCTAAACTACGAACTGATTTTGATGTTTTTTATATGTCCACACGGTAGATCTGAGAATAGGTTGTTTTCTTTATTTGTTAACTTTCTTTATTTTGGTTGTTTTTTATGATTCTGCATTAAAATATACATATAATCTTAAATTTTCACACTTCTTCCATCAATCCCTATTTTTAATAGCGATATAAACTTGTATGGCATAACAACGTTAGCCGGGACAGCTAGTATAAATATAAAAATCATTTCGTGCACAACTTAGTAGCCAACTTAGATCTCAAAAGTCGTGAATTTCAGTCTATCGACACCATAACCATTGTGTATCTATTTGTTTTAAAAAACTGGAAGCCGGCAATAAGCTCGCCAACTTAAATTCAATATAGGTAATTTAAATGTGGATATATCAAGTGTTCTGTTCATAACGCCATCGACAACTGATAAGAACCTTTCTATCTTATCTACCCTATCTTGGATAATTAATAGGAAATATATAATATATTATTATACTTATTTCTTACAGGAGTTAGCAGAATTAGCACAACAAGACAACAAAAAGTTAGAAGAATTGAAAAGTACTCAAACGGAATTGGAAAAATTGTTGCAAGAAGAAATTCAAGCAAAGAGGGACGAAGAAATTGTACGGGCTTTGCAGGCCAGGTAGGTGTCGTTACAGATTCAACTTAAAGATGTATATTGTAATATTATATTTGAAAAGTATTTTTAAATATTAACATATTTATACATTTAAACTTTGCGGAAGAACATCTCGAAATGATAGTAAAAACCGTATCAAAGCGGTGCGTGAAACAGACAGTCTAAAACTGCGATTTGGTTGTACATATTTTATAGGTGCCTATATGTTTAGAAAAATTATAATAACAAAAACAATAGTCCAAGACTCTCCATACTGCGCCATATAAGTTCCAAGCTAAGCAGACCTTGTGTTATGGATACTAGATAACTCATATAAATACTTAATTATATATTTTTAAATAATATTATCTGTGATAATACTCAGTCCAATACAAACAATCATACTCATGAATACAAATTATTGTCGTGCGAGGAATCGAACCGGCGGCCGTCGGAAGTGAGCTTGACCACCGAGGCCATAATTTTAATTAAATAAAATACTTTATCTTGAAACTACATACTTATTACATATTAATTTGATTTTTGTAATTAAGGGTTTTAGCAGAGGAATGGGAAAGGCGAGAAGAATTGGAAAGGCTTCAAGAGGAACAGAACAGAATGCTTGAAGAGGAGAGGTTAAAGCGAAAACGGTTCGAAATTCTACAAGCCAAGAAGGAAGAACAATACAGAGGTGAGAATAATTTGCATGTACCGCAATTATTACAACTCATTATGTCGTATTAGAAGTAGGATAGTAATAGTGATAAGGAAGAGACCCTATAAGGTCGACCTTTGCGAGGTTGCCCTTGAAAATAGCTTGAAAATAGATAACCATTTTATGTGATTTATTCCACAAACTACTGAATTTAATCACTAAATTAGTAAAAAAATAGTAAATGAAAAACTTTGTGTAATGAAAATTGATACAGAATAATGAAAATATCGGCAGACAAAAAATTACGTCTCTGTATATACTGAAACGATTTTAAATTCTTTTAGTGTTGAATAGGCCATTTATCGAGGAAAGGTGTAAGCTATATTACATTACGCTAGAATAAATAAGAGAGGGGAAATTTTTGCCACATTTTTCAGTGCAACCGCACTGAAAAAATTTCCACCGTTTTTACAACAATTTTCAAGCGAAGTTGCGCGGATCTTCTAATCTCAAATAAAGAAATAAATAATATTTAAATATGAATTAATAATGTATGCTTGATAATTATAGAAGCAGAAAAGCGTCTGAAAGAACTGGAATTAGAGAAGCAACGGTTAGACAACGAGCTGAAGGCAGCGCAGGAGAAGATTACCAAGACTGAGCTAACAGCACAAGCTTTGAACGTCCAATTAAGAGTGAGTACAGTGGTACTGATGACTGATGTAAGAAAGAATAGACTTTAAAATTGTTTTTTTAAATATTACGCCTTTTTATATACTACAACAACCATTATGTCGCAAAGCAAAAAATATTTGAAATTGTTCATGGCTTATATAGAAGTTCTTATTCCACAATAAACTATCTTTGATAAAAAAATAGTAGATACTTATTTCATAAAAATATGTATAAATCATCAATCATATGACTAGCTACCCGGCCCGCACCTATTAACCTTCCTCTTGAAACATTATCTACTGCTAAAGACTGCATTAAAATCCGTTGCGTAGATTAAAATATCTAAACGAACAGACAGCAGAAGTGACTTCATATTATTCTATGTAAAGATAATAAACAAAAATTTGATCAAATGTCGGCGAATATATCGCATAGTATGTGTATAAAATGCATATGTATAGGTCATTTTAGATGTTACACAACAAAATTGCATTTTTAATCTTAACAAAATAAAAATAATTATAAGAATCTCTTATTATTCAATGCAACAGTTATTGACAAAAAGAAGATATTGGATAACGGGACAAAAAAATACAACTAACTGAAAACTAGTTTATTTCAGTTGTCAATTATATTTTGTGTATAAAATTCTATTTTCTGTTAATTTCCAGGATATAAACCCCATTCTCCGCAATGGTGAGAGAGTGCGTCGAGCCATCTCTTTCATACCGACTGCCAAGAGTTCCTCTGATACCCTGATAGACCTTAAAGCTATCAGGCATATTATGGCGGCGGATGACGATGAGAAAATGTGAACATGTTATAGAATAGTGTTGTATCACTGTGTAATCAGTCCACATTACTGACAATTCCCTTCCTCCAATAAATGTCGAATATGAATCAGTTGTGACTAAGATGCCTGTGTTATTAAATTTGTGATACGAGAGTCATTCTTATTTGTTATTACATGCGTTTGAGGTATTTCACATTATAAAGCAGTTATAATGACACTAGCTTAAGCCCGCGACTTCATCGTGTGGTATATACCTTTTGTAAAGTAAATAAAATTCATAAAATAAAAATTGCCTAACTTACTCCTTACAACACTAGCTGTCTTCAAGGGGACGTACTGTCAAAATCGGTTCTGCCGTTTCAGAGATTAGCCAGAACAAACAGACAGATGTTTGTTTCATTTATTTTTTATGTATTACTTTCATATGCATTTAGTGAAAATCTAAAGTAAATTAAGTGAAAATCTTTGAAATTACAAACAGAAACTTAAATTTTATTTATCATCTAATCTAATGTCATCTGACAATCCAGTAACAATATGTTGAATATTATAATCACAATTTCAGTTATAATCATACCAAATAAAGTTGTGTTTGTATTCATCAATTTTCTACATACAGAAGTATGATTCACTCTATCGCCTTATTGAGATGTTATTGACTATGGATATTGCAACAGTGATGAGGTCATTCAGTATGCATATGTACATGTTTACCTAAAATCTTTCCTTGATGATACATACGATGTATATTAGATTTAGTTGACTGTACCTATAATTTTTTTTTTCTATCTTAATTGTAACGAAAGGCATCTATTTTGAGAAATGCAATATTTAGTACCATGCCCGCCGCGGCGCCGTTTCATTTATAGCCTGTTTTATTCTGATGTATATAAGCTATATTGTTGTAAATTTTCATAAAAATCGATACAGTGGGTTTTGCGTGAAAGATTAACAAACATCCATCCATACTCACAAACTTTTGTGTTTATAATATTAATACCGTTATACAGTTGGCCCCACTGAGAATCAGCGCTGTGGTATAACTTTGTTATACTACAGTATACCTAAATGCTGAGTAAGAGTCACATTCAGTGTTACCAGTATGTTTTAGCTTTTAAGTTATATAGTAAACATTATTGTAAATACGAATACTGATGTAATGCTGAATAAATGTCTTTATTATTAATAAAATTGCTTTTTGGCAGACGGGCCGAACCGGAGAATATAGTATGTTGTAATTGTCGCCTATGTCATCTCACTGGTAGAAAACTTCTAAGATCCTAGTGAAATTGGCTACCTTCCACATTCCTTCCACCATAAATAGCATCACAGACTTCACAATATTCATTGTAACGCCCATGGAATTTTCCATGCATTGACTATCCTGATAACTTTGTAATATGCGTTTATATTCTGGCGTCGGAATCAATAACTCAGGACAATTCACACACGTCATCTAGTCCCAAATTAAATATAGCTCTTGAAGGCTCGCTTTAATGAAAGAACTGACACTTAACAATTTACTCCGTTTTGTTATGATTACGTTTCATAGCAACGGTATAAAAATGTATTGGATTAAAATCGCTATTGAAATTAGATTCCAGAGTAGACCTGCTGGTGTGAAGACAAAGTGCTTTACTGTTACCATTTACTAGAGCTATTTGTAGAGAGTGGATTTGCTTAAGAGATTTCAATGCAGTATTAATAATATTCGGATTTCAGTACAAAGTGTATAACTAAGTTTATTATTTGTCTATTCATTATCAGGTCATATTATAAATTGTGAAATATAAAGTGATTTCATTTACGATTTGTCGTTGCTGTTATGGTCACAAAATTATAATGAATATTAAATTAAAAGTCTCTATTTTAATTTAAAAGATTTTAAGCAAATCCACTCCATACTGAACTGTGCTTATGCTTCGTATGGTGAAATATAAGTTACTCGTATATAATTATTTTAGAATATAAATTTTATTAGTTTTAGACAAATTAGAAATTGTAAGTTAAGTCAGAAACAATAAAAATTTACAAAACGCAATAAATTTATTTCTTTCCTCCACCTTTCTTCTCTGCTGCGGCAGCAGCTGTTTGCATTTTCTTTTGCAATTTTCTCAACTGTAAATTAAATTATTTTACTTGTAATACAATAGACTACATATTTCAAAGCTGACGATTTGGCAGTGAATTGTTTAGTACGGAAACGACAGAACTTCTACAGGCGTACATTTTCCATCAGGTGGAACGACAGTAAATTTGCCATTTCAGTTACAAAATATTCTCAAAAAAAAATTATTTTAACCAAAACATAAATCAAACGTTTTTATCAGAATTTGATAGCTCTTTTTAGATCTGTTACAAACGGTTTATTATATAACGTTAAGTATTAAAAGAATATTCTAAGCCATTCAAAAAATAGTATAGTGTTTATCTCAATTATTTATACGCACTCAAAGGTAGTTTCAAATAAAAAAATATAAATCATAAATTACAAAGTAAAAAAATCTTATTACGCCTTCTTCTTTCCTTTCTTGCCCTTTCCTTTTTGCTGCATGTAAAAAAATATATAATTGACAATTTAATTAATATAACAAAATGTTTTCCTTATTCATCCCAATCCCATCTATGATTAATGATGTTCCATGGTGTGACGTTCAGTATACAATGTTCGACGTCCTGACAGACGGACATATAAAGTCTTAAAGTCTAGATTACAAAATATCTACATAATGCAGAAATTCTCGATAATTATAGAATAATGAAATTCATGATCAAGATTTATTAAATTATATAGACACCCATGATTCCATAATTATTATATTTTATTCTTAGCTAGACCAAGATGTAAATAGATATCACTTTATACTCTATAATAAAAGATATAACATAAAAATCAAACTGTAGTTACCCGTTTCTTCTCTGCACGATTGGCCAACACCTCTCTCCACGCGTTCTGTATAACTCTCGCAGCATGTTCCATCAAGAACTTCGTCATTTTCTCCGTCATCTCCCGATGATATTCTTCTTCGCGTTCCGCCATCAGTGGAATATAGTCTTTGTCTTGCTCCGCTAGTTTTGCCTACAGAATTGAAGTGATTGCTTAAAATAATAGTATCTAAAACGTCAATTCCATGGCTTGATTAGAGTTTGAACCGGTGCTATACCTCTTGATCACCGACGCCGTCGACGAATTGATATCTACTTATTAATATTTATTGATTATTATTCTTTGATAGTACCTACTTAAATTCGCAAAACCAGAGAAGGACATATTTTTGTGAGGTAGGTGGCATAGACACAAAAGAGGTAGAAGTTTCTGCTCATGTTGTCGGTATAAAGATACGCTCTTGTTGTTTATATAAAGAACTAAGAACAGTACCTCCAAGTCTTCGCATTTCTTCACTTCATCTTCATATTTCTCCGTGAACTCATCTAGTTCCACTTGCTTATCGCCCATCTCCAAATCATATTTTTGGAGCCACGACAGCAGCTGAGTTTCCACTTTGAACCTTGGCAGAAAGTAAGTAAGAAAACAATTTAAATGTTATTGTACTGTGTCTATTAAAAATATAAAAAAATTGCGGAAGAAAATTAAGCTTGAACAATATAATAACATATTTATTACAAAAATAAATAGTGTCTGGTTTATTCAAAATCACGGTACTTACATCAAAATTTTAATTCAAAATATTTTGTCTGTCAGTCTGTCTGTCTGTTTGTACTTGCTAATCTCTGATATGACCGATTTCGACTGGAGTTTCACTCGTAAAAGCTACTGTTATAAAGAGTAACTTAGGCTACTTTTACTTTAGGAATTCTATGTATTAATTCCACGCGGTTTTTATTGTTTACAAGCTGTTACCGAGTTAGTAGTCGCGTGTAACAGCTAGTCAACAATACAATTGTATATTTTTTTGTAAAAATAATTTATTACCTTCTTGCTCTTTGATTTTTCTCATCCGTCAGGTGCATTCTTAGCAATGATTCGTATCCCTCTCGAACCTCTAACTCTTCTTCTTTAAGCATTTCATTCTTGACTGCATGAGCTCTACTAGCGAGCACCATTTGACGATCTGAATCCAAGCTGAAGAAAAGTATAATTTTCTAATGAGAAAATTAACCCTTTTTTATATTAGAAATTACGGGGTACGTTGGCATGATACCTTAGTATGGCAATACAGAATTGAAAAGAGAGGTTGTTCGTAGTTCTATATACATTATAGGTAACGATAACCGCTTACGGTCAGCTTATTATATATTTTTATTTTATTTTTAGTCTTAGCGACATACATATAGTTCGATAATTCATTTTAAATAAGAATAAAATCAACTAATTTATTTTTATTTTTATTTACTAACTATTCTAAATTATGTCCAAGAGGTTGTGAATTCAAAACTGGCCGACATAAAAAAGTGTATCAATTTACATTTCTACAACACAACTTATTTCTAACTCTCCAGTGAAAGATTTTAGATTTCAAACGAGCGATGGCAGTAAGTTCGCCACCTGCAATTTTGAGTTCAAAATATACCCACCGTGCGATACGTGGACACGTCAACTGTTGCATTTACCACTATATCGACAGTTGACTCTGACTCTATGATATATGATCTCTCTATATACTCAATGGCTCTGACTACTTTATCTAGGATATCAGTCGTAACGGTATCTTTGTTTTGCTTTATGAATCATTTAATGAAATGGTTTGGTTATTTAGAATTTTCACGTAATTTATTAACTTACATTTTCTTTTTTAGTTTAATAGTAGCGTCGTGGTTGAGCAGCGTCAGTTCGTGCTCTAATTTGGCGATGATATCTGCTTTAAGAGCTAATGTTTCTTCAAACCGGTCGCCTTCCTCCTTCAGTGACGTCGAATATTCTAAAAGATATTTTTTTTAATATTTAAAAAAAATAAAAATTTAGTAGTATCAAGAGCATCTTCATAATAAAATATTTATAATTTTAATAATGAGAGATAATAATAAAAAAATAACTGAACAATTAAAGTAGCGTCATCTACTCCCACGGTAAGCAGAGCTTATGTTATGGGCAATAGACAACTAAAATAAATACTTACATATTATTTGTAAATACCTATATAATATACATAGAAAACACCCCGACCGATTCAAACAAACATACACTCATGAAAATAAATGTTTGCACCGTGCGAGGAATCGAAACAACGACTATCAGAAGTAAAGCTACCCACTAGACCGCTGCCGCCGAGATCGTAAAAGTGGAATGGATTCAATAATAATACTGGAATAAGTTTTTTAAAAGAAATTTTATGTAGTCGTAGATATGCACTCAGGTAATTCTGCCGCCAGCAGCATAATTACAGGGTAAATATTACTTTCATTCTCAAGAATGGCAAAGATGGTGGTTAGAAGTACCGCGGTGGTTGTAATATATTTTGTGATCACTCAGGTCAACCGTGTACTTATTTACTACTAGCTGTACCCGCGACTTCGTCCGTGTGGAAATTAACTTTATATTTCTAAAATAAAAGTAGTCCTTATTACATCAGCTACCTGCCAATAGAGGTACCGTCAAAATCGGTCCAGCTATTTCAGAGATTAGCCGGAACAAATAGACAGACAAACAAAAATTGTAAAAAATGTTATTTTGGTGTATGTACCGTATTTATATTCATAATATTTCATATGCATGTAGTAAAAATGGTTATTTCAATATTACAAATAGATACTCCAATTTTATTTAAATATATTCAAAATTATTAAAAAAACTTAAAATTTAAGTTATAAATGTAGAAAAGTACCATCATATATTACTACCTTTAATTTTCCCGAGTAATTTTTCATTGGAAGCTTCCAGTTTCCTGGTGGAAATTTTGTCAGCCAACTCTTCCGCTGCAGTTCTATTCATTTGTGTCACCATCAAGTCGCGGAAGTGTTCAAAAGTCAGTAAGTATTCCAACGAGTTATTACTCTTGATCTGAAAATTGATATCGAGATTAAAAAAAAATCGTTGATCCTGTGCGAGTTGTTCGGAGTAAAAATAGAATAGGTACCTCCCGTGTTGTTTCATAGTCTGCCTTCATCTGTACAGATAAAGAAGTTAAGTTAAGATAAGAAGACTGCAAACAAACATAATATCAGCACTTTTCAATAAAATGTAAGAGCAACACGCTAGTTTCTTACTCGTTCATGTGTTGTTAAGTCTGCTTTCCGAATGAGTGGTAGAATCAGAAAAATTTGACTATTCACAATATATATAAACTTAATATGCTTATATTAAGTTTATTTGAATGAAGATTATTTTTATTTCATATATTATTTTCGATTTTACCCTTCATTCGGAAAGCAACTTCATCACAAGAAGAACGAGCAAGAAAATTACGTATTTAAGATTTTGCGTGAATACAAGCTGCCAAATGGTAAATATAATTATATACACTATTATACAAATTACTTGATTTAACCGATATTTATGTCACAGATAAGATATATAATGTTTGTATATATATACCTCCTGTATCATTTCCTCTACTTTAAGCTTCAGCGCTGGATAACTATTCATGATATACAATAGATGTCCTAATTCCGGGTTCAAGCGATTTTTTAATGAAACATCACCCTGAAAACATTGAAATTCTTTAATATATTTTCTAATATATGTTTTTATATATAACGATAGATAAAATATATACGGGGCGGAAATACTTGATGTAATGAGGTCATTAAATCACTTTTAGTATGTTTCGTAATAAATTCGTAATTATTTTTTTATAAACGTGGATTATCATTTAGTGATCTATCAGTGTGTTCGTCATTATAGTTACAAACAAAATTGTCGTGAATTCAACTATTATTTTTTTATCCTTATCTTAAACACAACAAGCTCACTATTCCTGTCTCCTCTTTGAACAATTACAAAAAGTATAAAAAAAATTACAAAAGTCAAAATATGTATATTTTCATATTTCTACCCATTTCTATAAGTACTTAGGTAGATACCTAAATAAATTTCATATTAGCAAATTAGAATTTACGCCTTAATACTACGAAAATATTTAGAGGAAGAAATCTTTATCTATAACATATTATGACTTGATATGTTTACACTAATAAAATGTTAAAGTATACTCACCGCTTTCATATCTTCCATTGCAGCCATGTTCAGTAAACTCGTAGAGAACAAGGGATTGTCGTATTGTTCAAAGATGAAGACCAGATCATCCATATGCTGTCTGGACAGCACAGAGCTGAGGGTCCGGTACTCTTGGACGAGGTTTGGTAGACAGAGTGCCAATTTGGTTTTATATATAGCCTCGTCCAATATTTTGGTGATACGCTCAGCTTGGATATGACATTCCAGGTCAATGGGGGATGAAACTATTAAAAGAAATAAACGATATTTTTTTCGGACTACTCTAATTTTTGCAGCTGGCCTTTACAGCTTTACCGGACGATAGGGGGCGAGTGCAGATGGAATCTCAAACTTGCGGAAGAACTTATGGAACGGTTGAAGGCCAACTCCTATGTAACTGATACGACTTTAGTCAGAGGGCACCGCTAGAGTTTCGAACTTCCGCTCAAGTCGTCGTAATTTCGATCCCCGTTTGAATTGGACAGGGGATCGATCAGAAGGGGCTCTGTATATAACTATCTATATTTTAAGTCTTTACGTAGTACCTATACAACAAAGCTCCCGCTGTATATATGCTTAGATCTTTTAAAGTTAGCGAAGATTTCTAACGCAGTTTACAGCAACAGATAGCGTAATTCAAGAGGAAAGTTTCTAGGTTTTATACATGTGTACCCGTGTGAAGTCAGGGTGGGTAGCTACTATTAAATATAGCATATATACTTTTCTGTAACTGAAGAGTATCGTGGATTAGTGGTTACTATCCAAACTTAGATATATAGATCGGGAGTTGAAATCTGGGTGACTCTAACAAAAATAATACTTACACACACAGCAAACTGCTTAGCGATTGAAATAGGAGAGATAACACAAATACCTACAGAAGCAACTCTAAATTTAAATCTTATTGAATCTCAGAAAAGTATAATTTAGATAAGTAAAATATCAGTTTTATTAATTACCATTGTCTTTCGTTAGATCTATATCCCTTTCCTTTTCAGTGGCGCTTGTTCCTGATTTGCTGCTTCCAGTTTTCGAGCACTCTGAGAACGTCGAAGGCGACTGTAGAGTACCAGAAGATAGAGCATCCATCTTTTAATGAGTTCCATAAACAACTTAACACATAACATCCAAAATTAAAGCTTTTGTGTAAACTATATATCAACCAAAAACAGAAAAAGTAACTAATCAGAACCACTGAATATTGTTGTTATATGAATTAGCACTGTCTTGTGTCAACGAAACCTATATTTTATCTATTGAATCACTTTTATTGTTAAGAATAAAACGCTATTCTAAAAAAAGGGCTAGGACATTTTCATAAAAACTTGTTTTGTTGTCAGAATCGATCACTATAGCGTATTAATCCGAGGAAATTTGCAGACATTAAGCGGCTTGAAATAAGCGCATATTTGTTACTAATTATTTCCTCTGTCATTATTGCTATTTATGGTATAAAACAAATCAGAAGAGCTTCATCTATTTTACAAGCTAGCTTCAAGCTGCTTAACTGTAAAAGGACCTAGTAATAAAGTCTACCTTGACAACTCTGTAATAACTATGACAACTGTAAATAGAAATGTATTTATAGTTACCATGGCAATAAATAGAGATTGCTTATCAGTAAAGTACTGGCTGAAACATAATTTGCCTTTTTTACTTTGCCTGTTGCTTTTTTGCGAGTCCATGCAAAGACAATAAAAAAAAAACCATCTCTAGAAATAATGAATTTTTGTTCTCATAAAAATCTGAAACATTTTTACGCCTTAGTGTATGAATCGAAATTTTGTATATTTGATTTCTGACTAGCTAAGTATCTATACGTTTTACAAGAGATTTAAAAAAGTAGATGCAACTCAAATTAAAAAAAAGATTTTTTTATGTATTTATTATACAATATTCTTATTAAACATTTTACTATTTGGAGTCGATAACGAGCAAGTGACACCCCTGGTGTTTCACGTGTCTATAGGGTACGGTAACTGTTTATCATCAGATCGGATATATGGTTGTTTGCCACCATCGTAGTAATTGAAAAAACCTATGTTAATAGAATAAAAGGTTTTCACATTCGTAATTTACTTGACTGTAGAGTTTTGCACAGTTTTTCACATTGTATCTATTTCGGAATAGGTGTAGGGGACATGTTTTAGGAAATTATATGAGATCACATACTCTTGGTTACTCCATCACCAAATTCCAACGAATAATCGAAAGTATCCAGAATCAAATAATCGAATGTATGCATTTAACGAGTTAAGAATGTAAATTTTTGGTTTGTTTGTTTTACCCTGGCTTTAAAAGACACCAATAAATGTCCTAAAAAGAGACTACTCGAAACATATATTATTATAACATGACAACATTTTTCTGTGTACTGTACAATAATAAATCAATTTACACTATAATTGTCCGCTGCGACACTTGTTGCCGTGGTACCTGTGTGTTCGTTTGTTCAATAGACTTTTTATTAATCATCACTTCAAAGTAAGCTGTATAAAAGGCTGTTTAGATAGATCAAGTATACACAGAAAATAAAGTTTTGGATTATTTCTTTCTAAGGTTGGTATTTCAGAATTTTATAGAAGAAGTTACATATATTATCCTGTTTTAATTAATTATTTATATAGTTAAATATAAGTTTAAATATTTCTGAATAGCGTAGGTATATATTTTATATAGCATATTCATAAATATCAGCATATATTTTTAATTCTTTTGATGTATTATTTATGAACTATCAAAGTTTCGTCCTGGCTTCGTAGTGTAAATAAATATTACCTGAATATAAAAAATAATTATATTTTATACAGCAATAAAAACCACTCAAGATGCCGAAGCCTAAAGTGAACAAATTGGCCAAAATGTCAGACGAGGAGCGAGCCAGGTACCTGCAGCTCCGTGCTGACATGGAGGAGGAGGCTCGCAGAAGAAAACGGGAACTTATAGCCAGATTTATAAAGGTACGGTTGTAGGGTTTGTGCACACGTAGCAGAGGCAGACTGAAAAAGTCGTGAGTACCTCATTCTTGACTATTAAGCTGTCAAGCAGCTTTTTAAGCTTTTTTTTGTAATGAGTGCAGATTAGGCAGTGAAATTACAGGATATTATGCAAAACATCTTAGTAGAGAACTAATATATTTTGCATAATATCCAGCGCAAAGCATGTGTGGTATCATGGGTTTTACATGATAACGTGATGAACTTTTATGTATATAGATGACGTCTACCGCTTAACATCAGGTAGTTCATGAGCTTATTAACCAATTACAGAAATAATATAAATGGATGAATAAAATATATTCGACACTAATATAAAATTTGGTAAACGGTACTTATGTCATACATATGTAACAAATCTGAGCTGAGGTTTGAACGGTACTAGCGGTGGCCTAAAGCTATATTAACAATTCCCAATATTCTCGATAAAATATAAGAAACTCAATAATTATAGTCTTGAATATGATTATTGAATTTCCGATTACATAAAAAGTTTTGTGACTTAACATTATTACGTAAAAAGTTTTATAATAATAATAATCTCAGGACAATTCACACAGCGCCATCTAGACCCGAGTAAAGCTATCTAAAGCTTGTGTTACGGGTAACTAGATAACTGATACAAGTATATAGATAATTTTTTATTTTCGTAAATACATACATATTATACATAGAAAACACCCAGACCGATACAAACAATCATACTCATGAATACAAATGTTTGTGCCGTGCGAACCCGCGACCATCGGACGTAAAGCGGTGTGCTAGGCTAATCGAACCCGTCCAATTCAAACGGGGATCCATCGGACGTGGTGCCCTCAAAAAGCGGTGTGCTTCAGACCTTCCGCTAGATCTGCACCGATAACGTCCGTGAAGCGTTTTATGCCAACAGCATTAGAGTAGTCCGAAAAAAAAAAAAAAAAAGCTAGACCACCGAGGTCGTTTTATACTGATATTAAATGTATATATTTCAGAATAAATTAGATAAAGAAGAAGCATATAGTCGGATGAACACGGCGAAATTAAATCAGCAATGGCGGTATGTGTTACGAAATATTAAATGCAAGCAAATGTCATTAGAAATACAGGTAAGTATTTTTCTTCGAGTGATTATGGATTGGTGATCCCGATGCCTTTCATATATAACGTTATATCTATACGCAATGCTGATATATGCTGGAGACGATTGTGATCCGATAGATCATTTTAAGATAAATTTAAACTAATGTATAAAACTTTCTTGTCATAGTGTTTGTTATTGAACTCCTCCCAAATGGCTTGACTAATTTTTATGAAAGGTTTGAGAATAGGAATCTTTTCAACCCTATTCGATAATTGAAGCCCTATCAAAAAGTTTTCTTCGCTAGAAATATTTTGGGTATTATTCTTATATCATTTAAAATTTTTAACTGTTTAAATGTAAGCAATGTACGGTATAGGGTAGACCACACTGTGCCCCAGAAACCTATCATGAAGTGTTAACAATGGGATGAATCACCAGACTTAATCATCATATTGTATCTGAATATTGTTTTTTTTTAAATAATCTATAAATTAATATTAATTACACATAGGGTATGGTTACCAGTTTCAACTTCATGATAGATCGTAAAGACCGTTTGATAAAATCACTGATGGCAGCCATAGAGGACTCGGATGAACAGCATCGCCGAGCCTTCCAAGCTCATACAGAGACACTCAGCTATTTCCTAGGTAAGCCCATACCGTACCTACAGTACAATTAAGTACCTACGAATTTTATTACGTACATGTACTGCATTTGTATCTACAAACCCTTGTGGTTAGCCATCATGGATAGCACAACATTTGTATTGCCATTTCGTATAGTGACTTATGTACTGTTAGACTATTAATTATCTGCAATCTGTGGTCAGGACATCAAGGACAATCAAAGGTCACAGAAGACTATATAATTACATTATTAGTAGAGGCAGTCAATGTTATTTTTGTAGGTACTGGAAATGTTGTATTACGAATATTTATATTAATTATTCGTAATACAACATTTATTATTATATATATATATATATATATATAATATGTTACTGTCACTGCCAGTAACTACGTTTATTAATATCATATTTTTTTATTAATTTTAGTAGTTTGTATTCGCACAAAAAATATTCAAATTTTGGGATTAAGAATTAAAAAAAAATATTTAATTCTCTTTTTTCTCTGTTTTTACATTGTGAATCGATAGAGTAAAAATATCTTACAAAATTATTTAAAATTTAGTTAAAACTATCTTCAATTAAAATTATTCATTGATGATAGGCAAATAAACACCATATTCATTAAAAAAATAATCAACAATAACGTATTTTTATTAAATAATAATTTTTAGCAATATATTTATTGCTATATTTATGACCTTGTTTATAACATGAAAATCGTTGTTACAGGCGTCGGCTCACAGCGTCTCGACAAACTGCAAACGGAATATGATTTCCAAAAGAACACACTTCTAGAAAATTGGGACAAAGAAGAACTAGACATAACCGATGGTCAAGATAGATCTGAATTAAAGCTTAAATTAATCATTTACATACAAAATCGAGAATTTCAGGCGTATAAGAATGAAAAGGAGTTGCAAAGTGCTACCGCGAAAAACGACTCAAGATTAGAGGTAAATAGGTATCCTTAACTGACAAAAACAGCTATGATAATTGTCTCCTTCGATCAATCCCCTGTTTAATTCAAATGGGGACCGAAATTGGGACAGCCTGAGTCGACGTTCAAACTCTAGCTGTGTCCTCAGACCAAATCGTCGTATCCGTTAGGCGGGTGGTTGCCTTAAGACGCTCCATAAGTTTTTCCGAGGGTTTAGATTGCTATCTACACTCAACCCTATCCCCCCTGTCCGGTAAATCTGTGAAAGCCAGCTGCGGCCAACAGCATTACAGTAGTCCGAAAAAACCTACCTATGTTCCTTACTTGTTATGTTGTAGGTACCCAACAAATCAGTAATATTAAAATGGCTACCCTTTCAATTACAAAGATTCTCTAACTCTAATTAAAGACCAAGTTCTTTAAAACATACTTTTATTATAAATATTTAAAACTGAATATCATCTTTCCAGTCATCACAGTTTGCTCGACCTTTTTCCGATAAGCACATTAGAAGATTTTTCGAGAAGTCACATTTTTCTTCAGAGTTCTCTGTAAACAATTTTCACATTATTGTAAGAATCCTTTTTTAAAATACAATATAACCCATGTTTATCGCTGACAATATAATTTTAGCTTTTTATACATACATATTTTTATTTAATAATTCTTTACAAAAAAAGACGCCCCATCTTAAGAAAAATGGCAACCGTTGCTTATAAACATGAACAATACCAATGACATCATAGTCATCATTTGTTAGAGATAGTACCACTGCTTCTTTGCCTTATATGTATGACTCCTTAGACCTTCGAGCTTCTGTATTTGATATTTTTGAAGTATGGTTATCATAATATTATTCAGATTTTTTATAATATTGAGTATCCTACTCTCTGAATATATGTACATTACCATTCTCTAAAATTTGGAAACATTCATCAATGGATTCTTGAAGAAAATCTCGGAGGTCTTCGTTTTTGATGTCTTTAGTTAATACTTGTGTCACCAAATATTTGTCAGGCATACCATCGTCGCCTGTCTGAAACAATTCGTACATAACATTAAGAGTGACTCTAAAAAAACTTTTTAGTTATATGTTTAATTTAAAATTATTTTATCGCTACAAACTACCTACCTTGATTATTATTCTTATATTTACTGAAGATGTTTATAGATATTTTATATCGTAGATAGTTTGAATGTTTTGGGTAATTGTTCGGTATTTCAGAACCGATTTTGAAAATTATTTTAGTGACAGATAGCCCATTTATAGAGGAAGGCTATAAGTTATACAACATCACGCTGCGACTAATAGAAGCAGAGCTGTAGATGGAGTTGCGCGGGTCAGCCAGTACCATAACTATATTTGACAGTTAACACACTATCATAATAGGCCACATATGTTTTAGATGTGCATTTGAATAACCAACCATTTCAAGTTGTTCCAAAAAACAATGCAAGGCGCAAGCTTTACTCTCTTCATTTCTACTGGAGTTTCGGTCCTCATTCCTGTGGCGGCTATCGTACTCCATCGGTCTTTGTGTGTTCGGATTGTATTGACTACGGTGTCCTGAATTCATCTCCTTATTTCTATCACGTCTGAACCGTCTCGAAGATTGCGTGGATGAGTAATAATTATGGTGCCGAGACATATCCTAAAGATTATTATAAGAAATAATAAAATATTTTAATTTTAATTATTTATCATAAACAAACTCATAAGGATGAACTAAGTTATATTTTTTTATTACAAAATTCCACACATATTATGAAAATATATGTGTGGAATACTAAATAAGTAAATTAAAAATAAAGCTCCCTACATATTAAATAGATATTAAAATGAAATTAAAGTAGAATGAATCTTTAATCAAATTAACTTAATTTTAAGTATTTTGTAAAGTATTTTTTGATTCGGAATATAAGATTAAATCAATAGAAATAAACAAGCAATTATTAAAAAGCATCAATATTTTACTTACACCCAAATACTCATCACTATTTGGAAAATCGTCTCTCCCTGTTACATGATATCTACCAATTCCATCATCATCTCGTCCTATCATATCACGATTCCTACCTCCCATCTCATCACTTCTGTCACCCATCATATCTCTTCTATACGTCCTATCGTTTCTACTACTTATCCTATCATCTCTAGCATCCTTTCTATCATTTCTCCTACCACCGAACTTATCATTTCTTATTCTATCACGATCACCTCGCCCTCTATCATCTCTATCCCATTGATCCCTATTGTTATAGCCACGAGGATCAGTCCAGTCTTGATCATTGTGGTATCTTCGTGAACTACTTGAATTTCTGTTTTCTTGTTCCTTTAAGCAGGTTAGGTATATTGTTTTTAATTCACTTTCATTTGGACCGCCATCAGAGCGACAGTTCAAGGCCTGCAGAAAAAATATAGGCGGTCAAAACTTTGTTGATTTTTATTCCTGTACCTGGGCGAAGATTTTTAGTATGACAATAATTCTTAAGGGTTGTTAACGCGCACGTGACATCTTTAGTGTTTCAGGCATCCATAGGCTACAGTAACGTTTTACCATTACATGGACCGTATGCTTGTTTGCCACTATCGTAGTCGTAGTATCTGCTTATAATTTAAATAATATCGTATCTTAATATCTTTAAAATAAAATATCTATGTACGTAAGAGTTATTTTATGAGTATATAGTAAAATAATGATTACACTCACGTGGCTATTCCAAAAATACAAGGTTACTAGAAAAAAACTTCTTTTAACAGTCATATTCACTATGGTTGTGATCACTATACTGATGACTATGATTGTATAACGAGCCATATATAATGCAATCCACGCTTCACTACTCAAACACACAAAAGAAACAGAAGTGATATGATCAAATTATCAATTAGGTAAATTGTGATCAATTATTGTATCACGTAGGTTTACAGGTATCATAAAATAATTCCTTGAATTGCTACGATTATTTGTTGAACTAATTCCCAGATTCAATCATTTTTCATTTTGACCAGTACCTAGTAGGTCGTCATGGTAACCTATGTCGTATTTATTTGTTATGCGAATATTCCTTTTCAATTAATATGCTTACCTACTGGAACCTTTACTTTTTATATTTTTAATAAATATAGTTTTGTAATTATAAAGAACTTTAATTTAAAAAAAATTGTATCTTCAAATTAAAAAACCGACTATAAGTTTGACATCAACAAATTTCATGTGTAAAAGTCCTGACACACAGATAAAAAAATATCTTATACCGAAACGTGGGTATTTCAAATGTTGCATATACACAATATGGACAGTGGATAATGCCTCGTAACTACCCCAAAATTACAATTATGGTGGCATATCTTAACATATGTAGTAGATATAAAATGAAATGGCAAGGGATTTTAATGCAATTTTTATTAATAGATAGGCGTGATTGAAAAGGAAAGTTTATATGAGTAATATATATAGGTAACACCCGTGGAAGCCAAGGCAGTTATTTATAAATTAATTGAATGGTAATATTCTAAATCATATTTACAATTTATGGTGATATTACCAAAATAAGAATTACCAATACAGATAATTAGAATCAGTACCTATATACAGCTCATGTGGATTTCGAGGTCCAAAGTCACGTGTTTAATGGACAAAGCGAATCCGTCACACGTCTCTAGCTGTCCAGCGACATGATATCAACGGAATCACGCACCACGCTCTTGACATCCAATAATTGCAGGAAAATCTGATGAAACCAATTGTAAATCAGAGTATATTGCTCCTGATAGCGTTGTTAACGCGATATGACCTGTCAAGTTCCTCAAATTGGGATACGCTCGAAATAATGCATGCATGATTAATGTTTCACTGATATTTTTATTTTTCTCCATGAATTGGATTAGGAGGGAAGTTACCTCCAAACTTTTAACATTAACAGAATAACTATAGTGCTGTACAAGTCAATAACGTAGAATAGTAGATAAACCAAAATATATTTCTGATCCATATTCCATATCCATAATACAACAATATAGATAGTACAGATACAATGATACATTAACATGAAGGCAGACAAGATGTCAATACACTCTCTTTTCAAATATTCAAAAAACAATTGCAGTCGACCACTATTGGAGTACCTAATTATTAATGATCCATGCGTTAAAGATCCGTCGCCCTCACTTCATACAGTGCAGAAACAATCACATTCTCGACTAATTTTGGTTTTTTGTCTTGTGCTAAGTATAAGATTAGTACCTACTCAATTAAACCTAAATTCTAAACCTAAATACGGACGTAATAAGTCCTAATCGGCCCTGCTGATATGGGGTATCTACTGGGGAGGTTTGCGAGACACTAAGTACTATCGTGTCCTTTTGTGTCTATACATATATATGTAGGTTGCTACTGACACAATAGAAAACTGATCAGTACGTCAATACTACCAAAGGAAGACTATCTGTTACTACTCCAAAAAGTTAAAAAATTGTAGGTACATGCGTGCGTTTAACATAAATAATGATTCTTTCTTAGGTAAAAACATATTCTTAAATTATTTCTTTTAATAAACGTCTACTAATTACGTTAATACGGCAGCATATTTTAAATGGTTAAAATAAATAACTCACCAATCACAGGAGTCACAAGCTTAAAGCTAAAACGTAAGAGTCAAAAATTGTATAGGTATAAAAACATGAGTCAATAATAAGAAAACACTATAAAAAGAATTCAGAGACGTCAACAAAAGTAATAACCGACCTCTTTGTTTCCATTGTACTTTTTTTTGTACTTTTGTACAGCATGCTGAAGATATGCATATCCTCTGTCGACCAAAACGACTGGAGATAGAAACGTATTGGTCCAAACTACGGGATGTTTACAACACTTATTTGGAACACCATAATCCTATTATGGGACACTATCAAACTCTGCGGGAGAAAGACGACTTCTATAAAAGGGATATTGCAAGAAACGATCTGAAGATTCAGCAATCAACTGTAAGTTTATAATAATAATATACTCTTGCCGTAGCCTATGGATGCCAGGACGCATGAGCCCGAGACACCAGGGTGTACATAATAATAATAATAATAATAATATATTTATTGACACCAATTTAAGTAGTTACAGTTATTCTCCTTATAAACTATTACATTTTTGTTAAATACAATCATATAATTTACCAGTGCATCTAAGTTATCATAATAATAATATAAAAATTAAAATGTTGCAATTGCGTGGGTAGATTTACATTTCAACCTGCCAAAATATGAATGAATTGCCTCAATCCATTCGGAAACAGGTTTACAAGCCAGGACCACAATAACCATGAACATAAACAATATAATAACGTTAGTTAACAAACTAAAATAATATAGTTTTAATTTTATCTCTTTATATCTTAATGTACGCTTAATCTTAAATTTGTTTATAATAACAGTATATCGTAGATGTATATAAATATATATATTGCTTGTTTAAGGTGTATATTTTTAATGTTACATTTTCATACTATTTAATAAAGAGATGTATATATAATGGTGTGTATAGTGTTTACGTGTGTGTGTATGTGTATGAGTGTGTGTGATGTTTGTGTATGTGTGCGGTTGTATGTGTATGTACTCATGTTATTGTACGTACGTGCACGTTGCCGACCCTAAAGAATGGTGAATACATCGTTCAATGTATTACAAAACAAAATGTGTATCTATATTAATAATTAAATATTAAATACGTATCTTTTTAGGAAATCCTTCTGAACTTGCAAAAGGAATGGGTTCGAACTACAAATACAATGGCACAAAAACTAAAGAAAATGATGAGCCATAAAGAAGAGTTGTCCAGGCGGTATTGGCAAATGAAGAGGGACAGTAAGATTGATAAATGTAAAGGAAATGAACAATTATCTATTATGGTTAATGCCAGTCAAGATGCTATTAAGGTATTAATTATTCCTGACCACATTACATCGCATTTAAAGATTTAAATCTCAAAATCCAACTTTTATAACACAGAAACATATTTTATCTCTACTTTGGATTCTATCGTATGAGATGACCTTAGTGGTAGAGGTTTAACTCATTACCTTATTATCAGTTTGCAAATTTTGAAACAATGTCGATATTCATTTATGGCAGTTTATAGACGTTATTCCAAGTATTCACAAAAAAATGTATTCATCAGTTGTCTAAATATGAATAGGTACACATATGATAATAATTTAGACTGTTTTCTAAATTATTATCATATGTGTACCTATTAATTACTTAAATCATTATTTGATTTAAACGCTCGCTATGTCGGTAAATCAATATTTTAATCAAAAATTCTTATATGACTACTCTGATCAGCTGTCTACGCATTAAGACATCCAGCATAAAGGTAGGAACCGATTCTTAACTTCTGGATACAGTAAAATATACTTTCAGCAATTGGAACAAATTAAATCTAAACTTATCAAGATTCAACAAATGGCTGAAATTTGTAAAAAATACGAACATAGCGATGATAATGTGTTCATTGCAGAAACAGAAGGTAATGGAGCTCCTGTTGATTTTGAAAATCTTGATAGGGCGATGATTGTAAGTAAGAATTCTTTAAGAATAAATGACTGGATAATTTATTTATATCTATGTAATTTTTCGAGAAGTAAAGTTGAATTAAAATAATAACAATTTATTAAACTTTGTGCCGTAAGAAATGTATTCAATAGAAACATTATGTGACTACGATTAAACTATATTAGTTAAAAAAAACTGTCCAAATATTAGTTAAAAATTAACTATGAATGAATACTCATTTATATATTTTTATACAGTAACTTTACTTCTGTTACTATTTTAATTGTTTTATAGAACGAATGTAAAGAGTACAGCAAACTGGATAAATTTATGCTGAAGATGAACAGAGTAAAAGTGCAGACTATGTGCTTAAAAGCAGAGAAAGTTAAGCTGGCTAAAGAGAATGTGCAGTTGAAATCGTACATCAAGAGATACCTGACGGAACTGGCGCTCAAGGAAGGAAAGGATAGACCACATAGTGTGAAGCTACAATCCGAGATGCAGAAAATTAATCCAACTAGAAAAGCATTGTAAGTATGCACTGTGCCTACCATAAAAAATTGTATAGGTACTTGATTTCAATAGGATTAGAATATCTATTTTTAGGTACCAATAATCATAATGAGATTTTGATTATTAGATAAATTTATACATAGTAATAATTTGCTCAGTCAGTATATTGCCTTCAAGTTTCATTTTAAAACTGTTTAATTTTCTATGATGTGTCAAACTTTTTAATTATATACAAAACAATGATTTAGAAGTTAAACCCATAAGTAATAATTTTTTGACACATTTATTTAAACCTTGTGCATTTCAGAAACCGACCTGTGACATGCATAGAAGGTGCTCTCTCCAATGCTGTTATGCATGACAAACGGATGAAGACATTTGAAAAGAGAAGAAAAGAAATAGGTGGCATACGAGCCTACCCTCGAGTACAGTGCTGGATGGGTGCATAATCATATAATTTCACATATATAACTAGACAACCTATATCTATGCTGTTATAAATTAAATTTAAAGGTATAAAACTTGTCAATGGTTTGAAGAATGACAATGTTTAGTATTTTTATACTTACTGATAAGAATATAATTGGTGTAAGAAAGAGAATCAAGAAATGAATATAAGTGTATTGCTATTCTAAATATTACAATTTCTGTATCTTAAAGATTTTTTAGTTTATTGCTGTAATTATATCAGGTTGTAATAAAAATAGTTTAGTTAATTAAAATAAACTTTTAATTCCTTAATTAATAATATACATGTAAATAACAGTAATCATTGCATGGGCTCAATGCCTGACATCAGGTTAGAGTTATCTTCGCCAAGGTTCCAGGGATCATCTAAGGCGACCAGCAATCTCGCGAGGCTTTTGTGGCCTTCTGTATCGATGTTATTGCATATTTCTTGAGGTAGATGCACATATTCATCACAAAGAATACTCTTTCCCTGAGAAACACCACTGATCTCATACCATCCTTCAAGGGGTTCGTCTAAAGGTCTCCTCAACTTTACTAGCACTTCTTGATCATCCACAGTTTTAACGTAAAACCCTTCACTAGCAGTAACTTTGACGACTTTTCCCCACAAAGACACTTTCGCGCCACTCTTTTGTACCAGGTTACCGCCTGTTACGTATGGGATAAATTCATCATTATCCGGAAACTGACTGTCTTCGAAATCATCGTGATCACCCATATTGAACAGTATTAGTCAGAATTTAAATGAGAACAAATAAAATAAGCTTTCATGTAAGTTCAAATGCAGTAAATAAAATAAAACATACACAGCACAGATAATTAGAATTGACAGATACAAAGGTCAGAAATTGACAGCACCACAGAGCTGTGCTTTACTATTTATAATGAAAAGAGAATAGCTGTCAGTCTTAATCTATCAATATACGAACGTCATTTGGGTTTTTTTTATTGGTATCATTGAAGATAATGTAGGCAAAGAGCTGAAAATCATACAGGCAAAATAATTTTGAAGTCTCCATGATTTAATTTACTATAAGTGGATAGAAATAAAAACAGTTATTGTTAATTAATCCGTCAGTTATTGGTAATGTAAGAAACCAATATTCACTACATATATATATATATATATATATTAAAAAAAACTAAAGTTGACCTACAAGATATAACATACCGTGCCATATATCAATCAAAACAACGTTCACCGACTTAATCTTCGGCATCCCTGATACTAATGACGTGGACAAACACAATTTAACCTTAAAAAGCAGCGTCAACATAACAAAGAGTGATCGCAAGTGTGATTTTCAACTTACATCTAGGACTAGACTAGAACCTATAATTTTGAGGCACTCTTGTTTAAATAAACTCTACAAAGTTATTATTTGTTTATAATACACGTTATATTTAAAGTAGAAACTGAATCATTTCTCACTAAATTATAATACCAAAAATTTGTGTTGCTTTGATTAACATCTTTATTTAGCATTAGCCTTGCCTTAATCTCGATATTTGTATCGAGTATACTTTACATTTCAACTTTAAACAGTAGGTTTTACTAATTTTATAATATGCTACCTACCCGCCCCAGCTTCGCACGGATGTACATATATTATACATATGAACCATCCTCTTGAATCCGTATTTATTGCTAAAAACTACATTAAAATCCGTTGCGTAATTTAAAAGATCTAAGCGGAAGCGACTTCATTTTGTACTATGTGAAGAACATAAGTTAAAAAAAATTTAACCTGATGACTATATCAGCTATTTTAACGAACCTAATATTGAACTGCAAACTACGTTACAGGGTAATGATAACAAAAATGAAAAATTTATTACAATTTATTTCTCTTAAAATATAATATACATTTGTTTCTATGTAGAACGAAATGCAACTAAACTATGCGAAAAGGTCTTCTCTGTCTGCTGCGAGCGTTGGCGCAGTGGCGTCTTCCATCGCTGCGAAGTTCATAAAATGAGCTGGCCGGTGTACCTCGTGGTAGAACTCGCGAGGGTTGCCTAACTGAACGCCGTACTTCATGTTTGGATCGTGACGAACCCCTGCAAAATTACCAAGTTTATTATTATTTTATCTCGTTAACGAAACAAATCGTACATTAAATATTGAATTAATAATGCATTACTGTAAAACCAATTATTTAAACTATATATGTATATATATACATTGAGTTACTTTAGTAGATTCAATTTTCTGTAATTAGTTTTATAAAAAAATTCTTTTGAAACCTTGAAATATATTAAAATTCGAAGATTAATAAATTTAGATATTATTAATATTTTTATATGTGTTAAAAAGGATATAAAAATTAAATATGTGACAATAATGTGTTCTCGATTATGTACATTAATTTGTATTAAAAATTCACTTACCCATGAAATTGTAATTCCAACTGCCTTGTGATGGAACCATGAAGTATCCTAGGAACCTATCTGACAACAGCATCTGTACCCTCTCATAATGGCTAGGCAGGTATCCCTTAGGATTATTACCCCTGTCCGTATTCCGGGCGCCCCATTCGTAACCGCTGGGGGTGAGTTTGTATGCGGTGAGCGAACACGAGCCGGGCGTGAAGGAACACGTGATGATTATGGTCTTCTCACCATCCCAGGATGGATTTTCAGCCATTATTTTAGCGTGTGTTGTTATGTCCTGAAAATAGTGAGTAATTAGTTAAAGGTATAATGTAGTTTTATGAAACAAGATCGTCATGTAAAAATATGGTTATTTTGGGTGTCAGTAATTTAACAGAGGCTACTAATGCGATGAGTGGCACTTCCTGGTAATGATTTTTCTATGTAATTAAAATGGCAAAGAAGCTAAAGATACATCTGATAAAAGCTGATAAAAGAACAACAGTTACTTATACTACTATTCATGTACAAAACTCGACACTAAAAAAATTGTGGTCACACTTATGCATTGCCATTCCTAAATCATAAGCTGCCTTTATAACCTGTAATTGTACTACATATTATGTTTCATCCTACAAACTGTAATATAGTTTATATATATATCAAGATTCTTGATGGTAGAAATAGGTGAGCAGAATATGCAGTCGACTTTGTACAAAGTGTACGTCAGTAGTGAGTAATAGATACCTGCGGAGAGAGCTGCGGCAGTTCGTTAGGCTGCGTGTGCATCCAGCCGAGTGGTTGGAGATGCGCGAGTGCGGGATGGCGCGGCAGTTGACGCGGCAAGTGCACTTGCTGGTGAGTGCCCCACTGTGGCACAACCACCGCACACTGCACTTCGCGCACCATCGGATTATCCGCAGGTGACGTGCCGTATAAGTAGCAAGCGATCTGTATCAACATATAATTTAATAGTCAGCATCAATACAACAGAGGATTAATATACAGAGTTGAAGCTATTCAGCCAGTATTGATTCTGGATTGTTTTAAATTTACAACCTCAGTGGTCTAGCGGTTTAGCACACCGATGTATGCGGTTTCGATTCTTTCCATGGCATAACATTTGTATTCATGAGTATAATTGTATCGGTCTAGGTGTATTCTATGTATACATATGTATTTACAAAAAAATGTATCTGTGTATTTGTATCAGTTGTCTAGTATCCATAACACTCTGCTTAGCTTGGGGCTAGAAGGTGTCGTATGAATTGTCCTGAGATTATGTTATTACTAAATGTTTGATATAAACAGGGCAATGATGAGTGAAGGTGCTGTCATTTTTTATTTTAGAATTTCTGTGTAAACTTCAGATCTACATCTCTTTCTATACTACTAGATATAGACACTTCGTGTTGACTTGATAATTTTATATCTCATACATAATTTCGTAAGTACACTTTTGCAAACATCATTGTCATCATTTAGTAAATATAACAACTCACCTGTGCTCTTAAATCAGAAATGGTGACAAACTTCTTGAGTAAATTCTTTGGTAGAATGTAAGTGTATCCACTCTCCTTGATGTCATCGGAGCTCACATAAATGTGGTTGGTGCGTAAATGTAGGTTCGTTGCAGATATTGCTCGCACGCGCCATTCTGTTTTCGAACTGTTTACAAACAAATATAATATTTTATATAAAGGAATAACAATATATAATAAAAAAGTTACATTCTTAAAATATTAAAAGATGAAATTGTTTAAAGTTCATTGATTAATCTTTTTAATTCATTTTATAATCGGTTTACAATTCTAATTTTTAATCATAAAACGTAGCCCTTGTTATTAATGTAATTCTAGATATTAATAGTTACTTTTTTGTATATATAAATATACTAAAGTATATATTTAACTAAATTATACTAGTGGATGTCATATATAGACGAATAGTAATATGGAAGAAGGCTTTATTTGTCTTATATCAATATTGCAATTTATGTACAAGATCGCAATGTAATAATTAATGTGATGCTAGCTGACCCCACAAACATTGTTTTGCCATATAAATTAAAATCGCTAAAAAATAGAGGTTGATTGCAGAAAGGTGAAAATTTAGGGTTGTCCAAAAAATAAAAATAGTATTTAGAGGTGAGGTTGACCCTTATAATTGAGAGATATGAATAATAGATGTTGACCGATTCTCAGACCTACCAGATATGCACACAAAATTTCATAAAAATTGGTAAAGCCGTTTCGGAGGAAGGAGGAAGTAACAAACACACAAGGATTTTATATATTAGAAGAAGATTGTTACCTGAATGTCTGCGACTCATAGTTGCTGGTGGTAGAAGTTATGATCTCATCGCCGTGTTTGTTGACAGTCCTGGTGGTGGTTGCCGTCAGTTGACTCTGCTCCTTACTCTGCTTTTCGATTTCGGCAATTTGTTGGCGTTGTGCGGACGGAGCCGATATTTCCATACCAAGGATTATATCACGAATCTCAGATTGAGTTAGTGACGCCACGTTCACGCTAAAATGGAGTTAGTTTATACATTTTTCCCTTTTTACAAATGTAATGTAGAAAAGTTGCCGAGTGTGGAAGTGTTCTCAAGAATCAGTAGTTGTCTATGTTGATTATTAGTATTACCACTGAGGCAATTATATAAATAGTAGCAATAGTAGTACATATTACGATTGAGAATTGTTATTAAAAGTAATGAGCATAATTAAGTACATGGAAAAGTCAAATGTATGAATATTACTAACTTGTTCTTTTTGCCGTAGTCCGCCAATATGAGATCTTTAAGTTGAACTTCCACTTTTATCCAGTCATCGTCTGACAATGTCGGCCAGATATGGTGTGGCTCGGTAAGAGTCGTCTTGTCCGGCTTCAATAGGACTTTGGTACGTTCAGTGTTCACGTGGAGCGCTCGTAGGATAAGAATGAGACGACTGAACGCCTGTATACAAGCAGAAATATCAGGATTTAATTAAATTTTGTAATAAAATAGAATAGAAATTTAAAAAAACTTAATAGAAACACTTTTAAATAGTCATAGTATTTTTTTTAATATACCGATCATTCGGAAAGCTGTCTTATCACAAAAAGAATGAGCAAAAAACTTGCGTGTTGCTCTTTTAAATAATCACTGTAACTTTACATTTTTAAGTCGATATGTGTGTATACAAACTACCAACTATTATTGGTATTAGTGGTATAGGGGTTCTCTACTTGTATAGCCATTTCGAATGACAAAGATGGTTGCACCAGCTTATAGCTTCATACTCTGTATATTCTTTGCATTTACTCATTTTTTTAAACAACTTCTTACAAATCAAGCTTGATGGCAGTAGTGGTTAAGATATTAAAGATAATGCTTTTCACGTATTATTTTCAATGACGTCACAGTCTTTTTATAAGCAATGTAGAACTGTTCGGTTTCCAATCAGATAGCGTAGTCTCGGAGCGGCCGCGTTCCATCGACACGCGATCAGCGCTCGTGGAACCACGACCACTCCCCAGAGCACAGGGACTCTCTGGTTTCAGGACCCCTACGCGATTCATCACTTTAAAAACCGTTATTACAGTAATTATATAGCACAATAGTACATTACAGTATTCATATTGATCTATGAACCATTTTAACTATATACAAATAAACGTAATATCTAGTATTAGTTCTACTTAGTTTGAGACTAAACTATGAGGATATTTCTTTATGTGTTTACAATACGATACTCACAGTGTACGACGATATAGTCTTCAGCCAATCATCATATAAGTTGAACAACACCATCTGCGGCTCTGTGGCCTTCAGAATCAGATCACCAAACTTCTCCACCTTGAGACATGCCTGGAACGGCAGCTGTAACTCGGACCCTTTGATCACGATGTTCGGGAAATCCAGCAAGTGGACCTAAGGACAAATATTGTTTTTTTATAGCTGGCATAGCAAACAAGCAGATCAGAGTTACCATTCCAAAGAAAAGAGATGTCATACTTCTGTACCCTATCATTTCTGGCAGTATCTTGCCCTTTACCTAAAACACATCTTACAAAGCAATATGCTTTGAGATAGAAATAGGTGTGACAGAATTAAATCGTTCTTACCTGTGTTGGGGACACACATACAAGATGAGTTTGTACAAACTAAAAAAGATAAAGATGCACTCTTTGTACAGAGGCTTAATTATGTACCCAGTTATTAATATATAATTGCATAAACATAAATAAAGAATATTCTCATAATATAATTTTTATTTTTACCTCAAGTGGATCCAACATTCCCTTTCTGGTGACAATAATCTGTTTAGGCTGCTCCTCCACTGGCAAGGAACGAATGAGCGCAGCCACTTCCTCAGCAGTCTTCCATTTGGCGAGCTATTTAATAAATAATGTTTATATATAATCGAATATTGACAAAGAATCAATGCCGTTATATCATATACATAAAAATGAAACATGTAATAATTTCGTCTGCATCACATTTACTTGACATTATATTTGGCCCAATTTAAATATCTTTTTAAATTATAGCCCATGTGTTATTCTGATGTTGAATCTATATTACTGTAAAGTTTCAGTAAAATCCGTACAGTAGTTTCTGTGTAAAAAAGTAACAAACATTAATTCAACTCACAAACTTTCGCGTTTATAACATTAGTAAGTTAATTCGTAGAGACATGTCCACCGTTCGGCTACACCACGCTGAAGATGTACATATAAAATATATTTTATAACATGTATACCTGTCCCAGACGTTTTTGTCCCGCCCATACGCTCGTGTGGATGATCTTGAGGAACAGCTGGCCGGTGCGCGGGTTGAAGATGAAGATGGCACCGTTGATGGGCTTTGTAGTCAAGTTGCCCTCGAACGTCTTGTGGATCGTTACGCGATATACGTTCGTATCGTCGACAAACCTAATACGAACACGATCAAATTTTGCGTGAAAACACTGAATTTATCTAGTAGAAAATGTTCTTCAGAGATTTATACATCACTAAATATTTGTTAATGTTATAAATGTATTTTACATCTATCCTCTATTCCCACCTTTTTGCGTCGCCAAGTAGCTTGTTTTGTAAAATGTCTTTCGGTTGAAATGTGAGTATAAGGAAGTGAAAATACATAAGTGGTACTACAGGCGCTACATGATATTTGATGGGCATGGTTCTGTTCATGTTTATAACTTGTCTATGATTCGTCTATAATTATGTGAATAACATAAACAATGTTGAATTTGTGTGTTATCTCTTAGACAAGTCATTCAACTTGAACAAGAATTAATAACTTTCTAATATGTTCTTTACTAGACGGCTTCACAAGAAAATTCTCTTGTATTATAATATCTACTCTTTCAAAATATTCATCACTTCAATTTCTTTCCATTTCTCGAATTATTTTCGTGTCTATACAAAATAAACTAAATTATAATTATGTAAAAAAACTGCTACACTTTACACAATTATAAATTAGTTCATCAACAAAGTGACAAAACAAAACATAAGAGTATAGATACAATCTTCACTCACCAAATGATCTGGTTAGAGAACAGTTCACCGTAGTTCTGACTCGAGAGATACGGTTCAGTGGGCTCCGAAGAATAAAGCTGCAGAGCTTTACGGATACGCTCCCGGAGTACGTAGAGGGCAGGATTGGCTTTCATTATCTTCGCCATAGCTTGTTGGATGAGGGGTTTGCAGCCAGGGAACCAGTTGCCGTATGCACTGTGATAATAACATTACCCTATTATTATAAAACTATACGTATTGAGTTCATTGTTCAAATAAAGTCGCTTCCGCTGTCTATGTGCTTAGATCTTTTAAACTACGCAACAGGTTCTAATGCAGTTTTTACCAGTAGATAAGTGTAATTTAAGAGGAATGTTTATATGTGTCATATCAGAGCTACTTATTTGGTGGAACTTAAAAGCTAGGTTCAGCTTTATTCTAATAAATTATCAATATATTAGTATAAAAACCATATAGTCTCTAGTAAAACCTAGTACTAATATAAATATCAAATTTTTAGGCTGATCACACTGCAATATATAAATGTTATAAAATGGAATTACATTTTTAATAAATAAGAAAATTTTGACTGAATAAAAAACTAATCTAATTTATCAGCAAAGAAAAATATAACCTTTTGTTTGAGATAGTTAAACATAGGAAGCCCAGAGAGAAAAGACACAAACAGTTTTTTCTCAGTCCATCTGGTCATCAGTCGCAGACTATATGCTCATATAGTATGTATGTGGTAAAAGTTATGTCAGAATACAAAGACTGCAAGTCAGTTACCTGTGCAGATTGTACGCGAGATCGATGGCGATGAGTAGGCCCGTTGGTGATGGATAAATGGACATGTTGTCTGTGGTGTAGTCCAGGAACTTTGCGCGCGCGTATCTCTCCACGTCATGTGAATCGTAGTCACCCCACCGCAGTTGAATATCCAGCCAGTATTTCTGAGTCGTCGTGTTGTCCATTGTATCTCTATTATAATAAGAGAGAGTAGTATTTATAATTTTTTTTCATAAACAAATACTTTTACTTTGGACTATTTCAAGTAAGCATACATTATTGGTTGTTGTTCTAACAAACATTTTAATTCTGTAAATAAGTATTGTATATTTTAACCATACAATAAAACTTTGCATTATTATTTATAACTTGCATAAGGTAAAGCAAACCGACTCATAGAGAACTAAAGCAAACCGACTCATACGGTCAAAACTTATTACAAAAAATCTGTTAAAACTCGGACGAAACGTGGTCTAAATGGTCGTGGTTTAAACCATTCCTAAAGTTAATACTTGGAATAAACCTAACATTATTACGAATCCAGATCTAACAGAGGACTACTTAGTACTACAGTTAAATCGTTCATTATGTATTCCATACAGTAGGTACATACATCTTTCATACATTTCATACATGTCAAAAATATCTTTTAATGTAGGTACAATCAGTCACTCATGTCTGTCACCGTACAATTACGTTCCATTTTACACTGAAAAGATCAAAAATAATATTAGTTCAAAGAAAAATGTATAAACTAAAAATAAATTTATTTCTATTTATCTATGTCTTCATTATAACTATTTCATTAATATATAATATTTATTAATGTACTATTAGGCTGAAAATCAGTTTTAAATTATAAGTAGGAGTCCTATACGGAGAAAAGGAACGGCGAGATATTTTTATTGGATCGTTCGAATGATGACTATTTCAAAGTCAAATGAGTGAAAAAATAACAATTAACGTCTTTTATATGTTTTTATTGTCGTAAAATTTGCTTTAAATATTTTTAGTTAATATATTTTTAATTTAGTTAAAATATTTTTCATTTAAAACTACAACTAACAATAGAATTTTTGTAAAATGGAGTTTGTATTTTTGCATTTAGACCACTGTTAAACTATAAGATATAGGGCATCGCAGGTCTAAATTAATTGTAGCTTTAGACCATAGACGAATCACGATTTAGAGATAAACTTCATTTTGTAATAAGGAATACATTGGTGAATGGTTAAGCCATTGAATGTGTCCCCTATTACTAGTTACCTACATATCTATTATATACATATCTTTGCTAAACCAGATTTATCTTTTTACTAAGTAATAAGGCCGATAGAGAACTATCTACTAACTACTCAACCAGTTGGTTGTGTATTTATAATTTTGACTTTAATGAATTAGTGTTAATTGGAAGATGTGTTAGTTAATATGAAATGTGTGAATACAATCACACATTTCATATTAACTAACACATAAGTTTCTTGTTCATTTTTCTTGTGATGAGACTGCTTTCCAAATGGGTGGTAGATTAAAAACATGATTGACTATTCTAAAGTGCTTAACTGTAAGTTTATTTGAATAAGGAAATTTCTATTGTATTCTATTTCATATGGTGAAATAATCTTAAAATTCTATACACTATACCTGAGTTTCAAGAAAAATGTTACATTACATAAAATAATGCAATATTACGATTTGCACTACCATAAGCAGGTAAATATGACAATTTATAACAATGTCATATACATGAACCAAAAAAATCATACTTGGTGTCGGCTAGTAGTGACGGCCTGGACACGTTCCATTTGTATGCAGAGAAGAGTAGTATGTCGGCACAAGACGAGTTCATCTTGTACGATTTACGAGGATGAATGGTTTCCTTCTGCACTGTCTCAATCTCAAGCGCGTCGAGCTCTTGATCAAACACCTGAATGAAAGAAGTTTTAACTTTAGCGCTTTTGTAATGGTAGTATGTACGACCCGAAATGATGGCGTCCTTGCAAACACGTGGAGCAAAAAAAAAAAACTGAAAAAAGTTAATAAGTAAACAGAAGGCGAGCTATAAAGTGTATTGTACAGTAGAAAAAAGAAAGTAATTTAGTTATGTCAAACAATAATAATAATAAATTTATACACAATCTGTACATAGTATAAAACAAAGTCGTCGTCGCTGTCTGTTCCCTTATATCGCTAATAAGGAATAAGTAATGAAAAACAACAATTTACAAGAATACATTACATTGTTACATTATTTAGTCGCATTAATATTGATTGAGCAGTTTTTAAATCATTAATCTACAATTTAGTACTTGTGGTTACACTAAATCGAAACTTACCTGACACAAGTCCATGACAATTGATTCGTGCACTTTCTGCCACAAGTGAGCCCTGAAGATCTGGATGAGCGATATCTTCAGCGTCGGGATTTTGCCGTGCATGAATATGCCTGTCAAATCCAGTTGTACCTATGTGTGACGACAATTAAATTATAATTACATTTTATTCAGAAGCCGATCAAGGATTCGGAAACAAGGTAAATAATAAAATATTTATATAATTTTATTTACCCATGTCAAGCTAGACACTTTTTACCATAATTTTATAGTTATAATAAAACACTTTTTACTATAGCAACTCAATACTGTGGTTGTAACTATAGATTTGTATTTTATTGCCACAAAAATAAGAATAATTCACACGACACATCACACAGCGCCATCTAGTCCCAAGTTAAGCAGTCTTGTGTTATGGGAACTAAACAACTGATATAATTACATAGTTACATTTCTTTTTTGTAAATACATAACTAATATATATAGAAAACTCTAAGACTAATACAAACAAAAATCATACTCATGAATACAAATATTTGCATCGTGCGAGAATTCGAACCCGCGACTATTAGAAGTAAAGCAGTGTGCTAAATCACTAGACCACCGAGGCCGTCAATAATGACTTGCAAAAACAGTCTAAATATTAAAACTACATACCTGGAAACCGACGTATACGTTGGCGCGATTAATAGTGGGCGACCACCACAATGTGAAACGACGGTTCGGGATTTGGTTCAAACCGGATCGCTGCGCGTTCGTTAACTTCTTGTACTTCATTGACTCTTCGAAACCTGACGCTTTCTCCCTGTATGCAAAAATCAAGACTTTTAAAACTGTCTATGGGAGCTTCAACTATGTGTCAATATTTATTTCCAGTTCCTGTCACATAGTAATGTCATTAAACAATTTATAAATGGATTGTTACATGAATAAGGAATCTTGAGAAAATTGATCCATTTTAGGGTAATAATATGATTAAATTTGTAATATCGTATGGTGGAACTATAACAATAACTAAATATTACGTATGTAGAATTAGAACTTACCAGAAAAGACCTTCCCATGTTGGGAAATATGTGCCCTTGAAGAGTGTGTGCTCGAGGATGCCTTCAACTCCGCCGAGGGCTTGGATCATGTCGGTACGGTAGTTGTTTAAGTTCCACAGCTTGCCGTCGTGACGCTGGTGCGTCCACCAGAACGGATTCTGCTTGAGCACCTGAAGACAAAGTATATATCGTTATAGGATTATGCATTGCAGAAGATAATGCAGTATTAAATAACAATGGGATATTTTTTTCTATTCTATAATACAAAAGTGGCAAACATGTTTTAATAGTACATTCACAATATTTTTATTTATGTGTAGGACTATTCTTACTGTGACTCAGGACACTTATATGTATGAGATACTTATTTTTATGTATATTTCTATTAGATACACTTATGATAAATACAATATACAATCACTTCGAAATATTGCTTGAGAACTAAAAAGAAACTCGACTATTTATTGTTAAATAGATTTATAAGTAGCTGAAGTCATAACAATTTTTATTATTTAGTCTTTAAAACTATTTTTTCTTTTTTACTTTCATGCACTAAAGATTTACTAGGTTGTTGTTACTAATACTTACTTGGTACTGCTTGAATTCTGTTCGTATACGCCAGCCTTTGTCATAAGCGAGGGTATGTCTATCTTTTTGGAAGAGTGTGTTGATCCTTGGAATGCCTCTGTCCCATGAATCTTCCAAATCCTCCAGAGTGAGACGTCTTTAAATAAATTAATATATGTTAGCAATATATTTACTATAGTCATCAAAGTATATTATAGTGTGATTGAATTTGATCAGATAGCGTAGTCTCGGAGGGGCCGCGTTCCATCGACACGCGATCAGCGCTCGTGGAATCACGACCACTCCCCAGAGCACAGGGATTCTCTGGTTTCAGGACCCCTACGCGATTCATCACTTCAATTTTTTTACAACTTGCAAAGGAAAACATTCTTTTGTTCCACCTTATTTATTTGTTCAAGATAATTTGCAATAATGCCAGTATTACTAAATGTAATAACTAACAAATGTCAAATGTAGACAATATAAAGCACTGTCATATGTACCATGCATTACCCTTCCTAAAGACTGAGATTTTCTGTTAATTTACACACTTCTTCAGACAGTCATAACATTATCAGCACATAACTATTACCCATTCAATCGTGAATAGATAACAAACTGATAAATAGACACATGTAGGAATTTAGAATATTAGTATCAACACTAGGGTTTGCATTAATTTCTCACCTATTCTGAGCATTAGCTTCTTGGCGTTTGAGCGCGTATTCCGCCCAAACTCGCTGTGAGTCGACAAACTCTGCTTCCCACGGCTGGATGTAGCGGTACAAGTTGGGAATCAGTTGGTCTTCGTCGTGGGACATACCCGAACGGAAATGAGTGATGCCAACATCTGTTTGTTTCGACCAGCGGAGATCAGACTGTAAATAAGAAATCAGAATGAGCATCATCTACATTATCTTTGTACCATCAGTTGAGATCATCAGTCAGTAAACATATGTATGGGAGCCACAATTATTACTGAAGAAATCCAATTTTTTTTTTTATAGTACGATGGTGGCAATCAAGCATACAATCCTAAATAATAAAGGGCAACCAAGTAATGTATCATTTGATGGTAAGCGGTAACCGTCGCCTATATACATGAACAGCACTATGGATATCACGTAATCATACAATAAACATTCTCATATATATGCATATCATAGAGAAACCACTGAGACAATTACAAAGAGATATAATTATGAATATGAACCCAAATGTATGGGAAGTAAAGTAGTATGCTAAACCACAGACAATGTAAAATTATTAGATTTTGTTTTATATTACCTGTGGAATCAATACATGTCCCATAGACAACATGCCGAGCCCGCCCAGCTCCTTAGGTGTGTAAAAGACGACGGGCGGGAAACGCGAGGGCATTTTGGAGTTTAGACCAATCTTGATACGGGTCTGTATCTTGTTCTCACACTTCACTAGCAGATCGAGGAGCTCCTGTGTGTTTACTACTGCTTCACGGAAGTATGTCATTAGACCTGGAATGTAAGACATTATTGTTATTGTGTTACATGAAATTAAGTCATATTTGTACTATATATATATATGAAATTAAGTCATATTTACACTATATCAATAATCCGGATTATTGACCATCGCAAAAATATAGTTCTTGCGATGTCGAATATCTGTTACATTATTAAGCATGATTAAAAACACTCATCCACTTTATATTACTATGTAATTGTTATAATATTACTACAGATTACAGACGGAAGGCAAAACATTATAGGTCAGTGTATAAGTCGTTTAGGAAATATCGTTCCACTTTCGTTGATGGATGGTCATTCCTACAGACAAAAAACTATAGTATGTAATTATTGCTTACTATCATTTCCCAATTATTTATTAAAAATAATGTTATGGTCATAATTAGAATGGAAGAATGAACACTACAAAAAAAAGAACAGATTATTTACAAGGCTTCACATTAGAGTTGAAATTCAACATAATTGTGAATTCATTTGTCTTTTACATACTTTATCTATGTATTCTTTAGTATAAATTGGAAAATCTTTTTTACTTTTTTATATTTGCTACACTTTCATATATATTTGGCATATACACAAAGCATTAGGATTAAGGGCATAATTTCTGCTTTTGATGTTTGTAATGTAGACGAAATGCAGTACAGAAGCTAGTATACAAATAGATTTTATAGTATAAACTCACCAATAAGTGCCGTGTTCCATTTATTAACGATTTTCGTAAACGTGGTAGAACCTGAAGCCATCAGAATTTGCCGTACTCGGTTGTGGAAGCGCGCGAGAGACTCGTCATCGACCCGAAGGTAACATTGCGCGGTTCGCTCTTTTGTTACCTCATTTTGCAAATTCCATACTCCGTCTCGATGTGAGAGTTCTTCGTGTTGGCTGCGGCACTGTTAAAGTATTTATAATTTTAGAATACTGATTAGGATTACAGACTATTCCTCTGTTCATCATAGTAATTTCGTACACTAAATATACCCACCTACGACTTTGTTTGCTTTCAGATAATAGTATATTGTGTAGTAAGGCTATTTGGGCACTTAATATGAGAAAGTACCATATTGTATTTTACTATAAATACACATTATTCATTTTTTAAATTAAATTAAAGCAAATTCTAAGAACTGTATAATTAATGAAATAGTTTGCCGCAAAGTAAATTAAAAACAAAAACAAATGATAATACCAGTCATATTACCACCACACCACACCACCACATTTAAAATTAATACAAACTAAGCCACTGACAGGCTTTCACAAATAGTATCTAACACAAGTTATGTTACATTTTATTACGACAAACAATCTCATCCAATATAATTAGAATGGCAAAAAAAATTACAGTTCACTTGATGGAATGTAGTATTTATATTAACTCTAATTTTCTCATGTTATATAGTATTAATACTTACTTTAGGCAGTATCCTGCATTCAAACCCGGCCATATTGAAGAGCAGGTTGGGATTGTCCTTTGAGTATGCAGATACAAAGCTATTCTCCCATTGTATAGTTGTTACAGAACGCGGCAAGCGATTCTTTATGTCCCAAAATACGGCGCGACCACTACAAGTAAACCGTTCATTAATATTAATTGTTCTATTTATATAGAATATGAAATACATAAAATACATACAGCAGTAATAAAATATATTATAAAAAAAGGCTATAATCAAGAAATACATAGAGTATGGATCAAGATCTTAACTGCCTACACATAAACTTAAAGCTTGTATACAGTTATGATTTTCATATTACAAAGGAATGCACTGTGCAAGTAAAAAGAATTATAAATTATTGTATAAAATAGTCTGAACAGACTTACAGATTAACATCGTGCTTCATGAGTCTCATGCGCGCGTCGCGGGGCCAACATTTCTTGTTGTTGTAGCCGACGATGTTCTCGTTGTTGGGGTCGGGATGCTCCGTTAGGTACCTCTGGATCAGATCGCGAGCTTCCTCAGCCGTGAATCTATACACAGATTACGACATTAAGCTCGTATTTTGTACATGTTTTATTGTGCAATAAAGAATATAAATAAATGGGATAAGAGCATGAATTACGAAAGTTTCACGATGTGTCTTATCTGTGTGTTTGTCAATTATCTTTAAGAGATATAGAATACTCATTCTTGTGTATTGTAGTGAATGCGAATGTTAATAGACAAAACATATCAAATAAAATACTATCAAAACTTGTTAACACTCCTATAAGTAATCATATATTAACAATGTGATTTTTTTTCAATTTTGACAGATATCACATTATTGAGACTTCAAATCAACCAATATAAACAATTTTATATCAATAGTTGTTTAATTACCGGAAGAATATGTGAATCCTGTCCACGTATCTGCAGTACAGCCTAATAGGGTGTGCTGTTTCAGTCTGCCTGTCTTGATAGGATAGAAAATCGTTTGGCAGCTGCGGTGGTCCAGCCATCTCACTAGCGCGCTGTAACCCCAGCACCAGTAGATCCAGTACTAAGCCGTAGTACTGGACGATGAATGACGCGAATTGCAAACCACGTATGATGCCATAGGAATTTGTGTGGTTCATGTCCTATGTGAAACAAATTAGAGCAATTATACTTTAGTAATTAAAACAAATTAAATGTATTGCTGAATCAAACAGTGAATAAATATTTTGTATTTATAATACCTATAGCATGCCAATTTTCTATTATACTTAGCGGATACTCGTTTAAGACTAATTCATTATCAATAACTCTATAATTATCTCTTTGCTGCATAGACAGATGTCCAGCATTTTGCAGCGATAATTATTAAAGAGGCACTAAACGCATGATTCAAGGACGCGAGAGTCAACGTCGCGCGCAGTTGTTCTCGTTCTCTTTGCCTACATTTAATTCGTGCATAAAAGAGCATAAGGGCATAAAAGCAGCTAATATATGGACGATGCAGAAATTTATAAAATAAAACAGCCTTTGCACTCCATACCATGATGAGTTGTTTAAGATTGCTTTTAGAACATTTTTTTATTTATAGAATAATAATTACAACAATTATAGAATCAAGTTGAAATCTATCACATACCTTATAATTGATAACAACATTGTTCTTTGCAGTCATATAATCAGCGATGTTGTGATCCACAATTAAACGGAGTAATCTATTTAGCAGTGTCAAATCGATTTTCTCGTATAATTTCTCGAACCGTGATTCCAGGAGTACGTTACACTCGCCCTCGCCTACTTCCCAGACATCTTGCAGATTGTTTATACCTGTATATATATATATATATATGTATATTTGAAACTTAACATTCAAGAATTATTACGCGATACAAATACAAAAAAGTAAAACTGAATGAACGTATTTAAGTGTATAAGTTATTTACATATTAAAATTTAACCACACAAATATACAAACAAAAGTACATATGAAGTATTTAACAACTAGAGGCATTTTATCACAGCGAACCATTGGACAACAGAGATACTATGTAAAAAAAGTCATGATAAAATACGGCAGACGAATTTCATGACAGTAGTTATGACTGCTGATGTAGTAAATCTATGTTATTTTTAATTAAATAAACTTTTCCAGTCATTTATATTTCTGAATGCGTGGTAGAATACTACCACTCATTCAGAAAGCAAACTTATCACAAGATTGAACAAGAAACCTACATATTGCTCTTTTAAATAAACTTTGTTCAGCATTTATTCCAGAACATTTTTAAATTTTACAATCCTTAGTGCGATGTCAAACACTTTATCATTTTACATACACAAATGATTACATTAAAACAGTACTTAAGAATTTAATTCTATTCATACATCAAATTAATTTAAATAAAAATGAAATCAATATTATTATTAGATAAAGACCTAAAATGAGACATCACGTAACTTAGGACCTCCAAACATGACCTCATCTTGTCAACACCCCCGTCATTTTCCTTAACGTGCAACGTAATTTATGCATTACATAATATAATTAAATTATATTTTGGTCAAATTTGTACACAGATACATTTTTACTAGATTTTAGAAAAAGATTGGCAATGTTTGTTAAATGAATGATGAATACTGATGACAACTTTCGTTGGCGTTCCTCTTGCATTTGTAGACAAGTGCAACCAACCAAAGTGAGGTTTGTAACAAGGGGATGGCATCGACATACATATCTCCTTTGCCACAACGCACACTCTGGGCAATTGCAACACGACACATCTTCATGTTTCATGGTTAAAGAAGTAATACAACAATATTCTAATCTAATCATAATAGTCCCAAGAATACAATATTTAAACCTATATTAAATTCTATCAGTAGAAAGCAGATAATTCGTTTTCTAAAATATTGAATCCAATAGTAATATTATATATTTGAATATCTGTAATCTTCACATCTAGATTAATTTACATATTTAAATGAAATTAAAATTAATACAGATTGTATCTCAGAAAAAAGCAGACATAGTCATAGTTAAAGTTAACAGGTAGTAGTATAAATATATATACACAGATATGACAGATGACAATTTTAACAAAAGTTCTTTAATAGAAATAAAACCTATAACGATACATTGAGCGGAAAACAAACATATTTCAAGGTAGCGCTAAATATGTGAATAATGATTGATTTATATATAAACAATGAAGAAAATCAGGACAAACATTGTCAAGCAGCAGTAGAAAATTTCGCTATACCTTAATAACAAACATAGGTATATTATACTTTTACTTACCCTGACACCATTTGTAAACAAGTAACGGCGAGGGCTCTGTATCTGCTGGTTTCACCCACGGCGGCAGTAATCTCCGTTTGTCAGCTTCATACCACAGATACTGGTCCAGATATGCGTCAGTGATCTTCTCCAGGGGCTCTACATCGTACACGGGAACCAAGTGGGAGTAGAGATCCATAAACTCGATACCCACCTGTTAATAGCAAAAAATGTGTTTTATAAACAACACAATTTAGTTTATTAACAAAAGAAAGTTAAGTAAACATAAAGACTAAAATATGAATGTGATAGTTCTAAAGAAAATCTGAAATATCTTTGTCTAAATCTATATTTAAATTAAGTAACAAAGAAGATATCAGTTCTTTAAAAATTTGTATTTAAAATTCCTTTTCTTTATTATATAAAAAAATTGAAAAAAGACATTGGTAATTCCTACAATGTCTTTTAATACCTCTATTTCTAATTTTAAAATTTATACATAAGCAATCTGTGCTTAGGGGCACATCTGTGTCCCTAAATATTTTTAACAATATCAAAAAATACTATTAATTAGTCAGATATACCTTTTAATTTAAAGAAAAACATCTACAAAACCAACCTCTCGGAATGTCCTCTGCGTAAGTAAATGACGCTTAATTCTCGAAAGAGCTTCGTGCGGATTATCATAAGCCTGCTCAATAAGCCCAAGTTCTTCCCTTTGGCTCTGATTCAATCTGGACTTGACGCTGTACGCCTCCTTTAGCCGCTCGAGCGCTAGAATCAGCAGCTTTGTGTCGTGCTTGTATGACAGGGGTGGGAATGGTATTGGTGCGAAACGACGCGATTCAAGCCAGTGAACGGTTGTTGTGTAAATGGCTACAGCTTCTTCGGGAGAGATGTACGGACCGTCCTACATAAACAAAAATTTTACACTCTTACTTTCAAATTTTCGCGATAAATTTTTTAATATACATTATTAATATTGTAAACTGGTTTTAACATGAATAATTTTATAATAAATACCTTCATGTGCCATACAATTATCGTAATACCTTACCTTATATTAATACCCAACATACTATATTAATAAAAATATCACACGTTTAGAATATTAAGAAATAGACTGATTGACACCTATGACTGACTGATACCTATCACCGTCTTTTGGGTTAATTTGAATTGTTATCGGAAATTGAGTTTCGATTTTTTCAGCACTGGAGAGACGATCAGAAATATAAATTAGTAAACTTAGTTTCTGTGGTATCGTGTGTTAACATACACAAGATAATACAACAAACTGCTAAAAATATGTTATTAAAATTGTATTCCTAACAAACTTAGCAAAATAAAACTTTAAATCAAAATATTATTAAGTAGTGTGCGCCACATTTTGGCCTACCTTTAGATAATTATGCTGACGCTCCTGTTCGGCTTTGAGGTACAATCTGGTGAGACGACCGAGGTTCTTCTTGCAAACAGTCTTGTCGACAGTAGCGCCACGACGTATACGCTCGCGGTTGTAATGTGCAGTGTTTGTCCACCAGTCCGCCTTCATCTTTACGTAGCGGAGAATCATGTTCTCTATAGGGGTCGGCAAACCTGGTACCTAAATGGATACAGATTTCGATTTTATAATAATATATAGACATAATTCATCAACTACAATAATCGCACGCTCAATAATAAAGTAACTGAATATTTAGAAGTTTTAGAAATGAAATTTAAAGTTGTGACTTTAAAATCACTGCAAAAATATACTTTAATATTACTATATTAAAGTGGATTTGTAATGTATGTATTGAATTTATAAATAAAGCAACATTCCATGAAAGCTATCTATGTTAATTTCTTTAGTTCCTGGAATCTTTTAAAACTACAATAATCAGAAATGATGCACTAACCTTCCAAGGTATATTCGCCTTCCAACATCTCCACGCTTCAGACAGATGCTGCAGGATTGTCCTGGCTTTGTTCTGTTTGATACCTTCAGGCATCATATCCACGATGTCGTGCATGACAGAAGCGCGCAGCTCCAGGTCGAAGTGAGATTCGACACGCTGCTTTGTCACCGTTTTGGCAACACCTAGACAACGTAATTAACCATAATTTTAAAAATTCCTAGATGTGTAAATGTTGCTTGAAATGCAATAATTATATAATGATGTACAGTGGGTGTGAACGTAAATGTGAATAGTTTAAAATCATACATTAAAAAAATATTTACAATTAAATATAGTCCCTAAGGAACCACTAATGGACTGTGTCAATTTGCAATTAATATAAATATGGTACATACACCAAAATAACAATTTTTTTACAATTTTTGTCTGTCTGTTTGTTCCGGCTAATCTCTGAAATGGCTGGACCGATTTTGACGGGACTATACTTATTAGCAGGTAGCTGATGTAATAATGAGTACTTTTATTACTTATTTATTAGGTTACTTTTATTGTAGAAAAATTATTTATTTTAGAAAAATAAATTTATATTCCACGCGGACGAACCTTTATTAGCATACTTAGATAATTTCAACAGCATTTAGGATATACATACTGATTTGCTATCACACATTTAAAATACATTCTATTGTAAAATGCTTACCCTTGGAATGTCTGCCCTCAAACTGCCTGGACAGCAAATTACCGAGCCAGCGCTCAAGTAGCGGCGTAATACCACGCATGAAGAATAGCCAAACACGCCAGCCCGGTGCCCAGAAACCACAGCCAGGACCTTTAGACACCGGACCCTAACAAAAAAATGAAATGAACATCTTTGTAGAATACAAAGTATATTTCTAAAGATGTTGCTAGTTCAAAATGTATAATAATATACGTAGCATTATGTACATATACACAAACTTGATTCCATGAGATATTTCAAATAAAAAGTAACTGTTTGATCCATATGTTAACGCAAAGGTATACCAAGGACCTTCCTTAGCCGCGTGATTATTCGCTATATTGCTTAGGGCCCCTTAGGTCCCGGTAACTAATATATCGCGAACAGATAAATAAATTCTTTATTCACCATTTACAACCACATAGCAAAATTATAATAAAAGTATATGTGCAGCAACTAAAATGTGATTGGCAAACTATTGCAATTTTGTAAATATAATCTAAAATTTTGTTAATTCACTAATTCTGAGGAAGTAAATGGAAATATAATTTAGCTATATTAACGTTAGACCCAATAATTTCCATCATTCATGACATATGCAACGTAATCAAGACCATAAAAATTCTACCTGGACTTAAAAAAAAAATTCTACCAAAAATTACTAGTAATAACTCACCGTATTGAACCGGTAGTATATCAGATGCTTCAAATCCTTGCACATTCTGATCTGTCTCATTAGCTTGTACTTGTATCGGTACATGCCAGTTAGCTGACCAACGTGGGCGAATATGTACTGTAGACCGTCAGCCAATTGGAACGAGTCCACGTTGTTGAGACGATATTGAACGTGTGAGTCAACGATCAGTTTTGTGAGCCGGAGGATCTCACGGCATAAATGGAATGCTGTGTTAAAAAGAAGCCTTTATAAAATATATAATTTCAAAAAAACAATATTTTAAGATAACTTAGGTGATATAAAAAGATAAAGTCGTTCCGTTGTTGTTTAGACTTGCTAGTCCTTCAGCCAAAACACACTTGATAAACTATAGATAAGTGATTATAAAGTTTTGCCTTTCCTGGCTAACTGAATATATATATTCAAATCTCAAAATATGAATGGGTATTTCCTTAAAAAGAATTGCAGTCAATATGACTTGGATAATTTAAGAATTTGACACTTAAATATGTGTAATAAAACTCACCATTTCCAAATCGAGACTTCTTTCTCTCTTTAGTAGTGAGAGTCTTCACTGGTTTCAAGTTGAAATTATAGTCCAAATGAAGGTAGTTCAGATTCTTCCGGTGAATCAACAGATTGAGCATATTGTAGCCTTGGCGGCACACTTGAAGCCCAGCCTCAACCCAGTCCAATGTTGTAGTTTGGAAGAACTTTGTAGATTTAAACGAGCGGAACAAGTATCTGTGTAAAGTAATAAAAGTTGTAGATTCCTCATGAGCAGATGCAATTAAATTTAAGTCCCAAAATATTTTTTCAATTTCTTACCTTTTTTTCTGTGGCTTTGGTGGTCTGTGCTTTAGAGAATTGAGCACATAGTACTTCAGTAGTTTTTGATATGACACTCTGACTTTTACTGGTTGTCCTGGGGGACAATGCTCCTTGTACCAAGTCTTTACCAATGGCACATCAATAGCGCGACGAGTTCGACCTTGTAAAAGAAAGTTCTTGCTTTATAGTTATCTTATGTAATGTCAATATATCGCACACCTAGTACACTACTGGAATTACCCAAAAATGTTTGAAATTTTGGATTTTAATAATAAAGCTCTAGAGTAGAATTTCTAGTTAGTAATTTTTGAGTTAATACAGTATTATACTAGGTGTGTAATAATAAGTTTGTGATATACAATAGTGACAGAATGTAGCCATTGACTAAAAATAAAATCCCCTGTTACTAAAATAAAAAATAAATTCCGTAAATTTTGGATGCATTGGTATTTCCAGAGTAATATTTAGTACACTTCAGTAACTTCATTATCTGAATAATACAATATTTTTACTGTAATAGAAGGAATTGAATCTGATTTTGTATTTAAAATTTAATAGAATATAAATATAGTATAGTGGCTTTGCCACTGCTGGCATTTCTTCAGCTTCTTACCTGATCGCGTATTGAAGGGTCTGGGCGCCCACAGTAGAGAAATTCCGTTAGCTGTGTTATCTGTGTACAGTGCAGTCTCCTGTAAGAAAGGAGTCACCTCTTCCGGTAGAACAAACTCTTCCTCCTCAGGCACTGGATCTAGAGACTTCACCGAATGTCGATGAGAAATGGGATTAATGAGGGGATCAAAGTAGAATGCTGGGAGATCAGGGTCTTCTGTTTTAATGTAGACCACATTGGGCGTGTGATACCTGGAAATATAAATGGTATATAATATACTGACACATAACAAGTAATTTTACTTGAATTATTCCCAATGGTGGTATTTTTCAGTAATTAAATGTCAGTGTTATATTATAATAAATAATCTAGAATAATAAGAGAACTTTACTATTGTATAGTACTCACCAAGACAGCTGCACAAAATGAGGCAGGTTGTTGTACAAGTATGGGAAAGCAATCCTATACTCAGTTCTTATTGGTTGACGAATAATGATTTTGTTAATATCATTAAATTCATTCCAGTCTTCATCTCCAGCAGAATTGTCTTTAACTAAAGGTTCAAACTTTGGTCCACCCGGTATTGCCATATTCAAGGCTTTAGCAGTGAAGAAACTCTTGGAATCAAACAGGTAGAAATAATTATCATCTACCAAGTCAGTCAGCAATTGATTAGCAAGACGATACAGAGTCGCCATCTGTGGTAATGTTAAGTTCCAACGTCTGTATGTTGAACCATTTACATGTTTTGTATTCAATAATGGCTTGTGGTCATAAAACCAGGACCCCACAGCTCCATCTTCATCAGCGTCCAAATCAATTTGGATTGGTTCTAAAGGTTCTACATCCAAGATGTTGTCAGCATAGTCCAAAGGAGGTTCTTCATCGTCAAAAGGAGGGAACCTCATGCGTTTGAAATGCCTACGATCTCGTTTTTCTCTACGCATCATAATCCACATTGTTCCCCACTGTGCAATATATACTGGCTCAATAACCCATGGGATTTCATTCACAAATGTGATAGCGCCAGTAATATGGTATAAGACTTTTACATCTCTGATTTGCTCCCATGGCATGGGCATGTTCTCAAGAAGCTTCATTACAGCATGAGGCATATATTTCAATGCCCCAAGATACACTCTTTTGTCATGTCGGTATTTGCGACTAGTCATGTCACCATGGTCACGGATGATTTTTCTGATGTGTTCTGGTGGCATGTCCTCTTTTTGAGCATCCACAAATCCGAATTTGCGCTTTTCTGAGAAACGCTTTGATTGGAGTTGGAGCCATTTTTGAGCTGAAGTGAAAATCATTATTTATTTAGAAGCTAAACATTTATATATGTATAGAATAAAATAAAATAAAATTGTAATATAAATAGGCATGATGATACTATATAAGAATGTCCGAAAACAGGATTTCATGTAATTTTATATGATAGGCTGATTCATATTTAAAAATTAATTTTCAGATTACAAGCGAAATTATATTTATTTTAGTAAAAATAAAATGCAAAACACATCAATCCACCATGATAGATCGAACATCAATCAGGAGCGTGTGACGTCACTCATTCGTAAACAAAATCGGTGTACCCGAACTCAAATTAACCTGTCGCGGTTTGGTCGCTGATGAGTAAACACTAGGCTTCCGAGCTGTACCCGAACTCTAATTAACGCCTGATGATGCCTCGCGATATGGATGTAGACTCAATAACGGTCGGAATTTGATCATCACTGGAGAAGGTCGTAGCGCTGGTCAGTTTTCCACACCGAATATTCGTAGTCTCACACATGTTAATCGTAGCGGAATTAAACAAAATAATATAAATCCATCGAGTAATTTAACATATTTTTTGCTAGATTTCGCATACTTTTACGATTTTTAACATATTTGTTGTTTGTTCAAGTCCCCGTTTATAAGCTATGTGCAACAGCATCTTTTCACTGCCTTTTTCTTATACAAAAAGATGCGAGATAGAAATATCACATACATACTGAAATTTGAATTGAAAGTAAGTTTTTACAGTCTATAAAATTTTACGAGTAATAAAGTGCTTGACAGTCGTTAATATATCACTTAAATTATCTAAAGTCAGCATTACCGATTAGAGTGGGAGAAAATCTAGCATTTCCTCCCATATTTATTTTGTTCCATAACATAATTGAATAAAACATAAAATAAAATAGATTTTATTGATTTTAATATATAATATTAAGATATAATAAAAACGTGTATGTAAACAAATGATGTTTTATTTGAAAAATGTTAGCATTATTTTAAAACAATTAGTATAATTTTGGCTGTTAAAAACAATTATTAAAATTTTAATAACAGTTTAGCAATTTTTTTATTGTTGTGATGGCAACGCTGTACATAGTACTATGCGAAGTTCACACAAAGTTGTTTAGCATTATTTTGTAAAATTACTTCTTCGGCGATGTTGAATGTAGAATGTATGAACATTGTGGAGTGTTTTTTAAAAATCAGTCATCATGCCTATTATGTTAGTGCTATATAGTAGTATATACTTAATAAACAATATAAAAGAATACAGTATGAGAATATGTAAAGATAAAAAGATTTATAATAGTATTTTTAAAAAGATCTCTTCTTAATTGTTCCCTCACTGCTGAGGATCACAACTCTATACTATCTTGTAAACCAACTGTCCCCATTGGTTGCATTACTGTCAGATGCCTATATAATGTGTAACAATATCAGCACCTTCCACTATATATTACATGGAAGATTATATCCAATTGCCACATTTAATTTTCCCCTCACATAATAGTTCCAGTAATAACTTATAAGCTGGTACTTTGGCCTAGTAAGGGTCACTCAGTAGATTAAAATTGACTAAAGTAAAAGACAAGAAAATAACATATCAATAATTCATTATTATTGAGTAGTATATATATATTGTTAGTACATAATATATATAAATGCCTATTATCTTTATTTATAAAGCCAGTAGCAAACTATATGAGTGTGGACCATGACAATTACTTAAAACGAATTAATATGAATGTGGATGGATAGAGTGTGTAAATCATTATATGTCTAAAAAGAGAGTAAAGTCAGACATGATAGCAGATACAGATCAGCGAAATAAGATAACACTGCTTTGAGCCCACAATAAAGGAATGTATGGAAGACAATGTATTTAGCAAAAATAATTTCAAAATTACTCACAATAATTTGTATTTATACTCCCATATAATAAAATAGAAAGAAATAATAACCAGTAAATAAAGTGCCTATCATAAAAATGTGTAAATATTTAGTGCACAATTTTTATATAATATAGGTATGTATACCTATTGTAATTTTTTGTAAAATTTAAGTAGGAATCTTTATATTACGTTGGTATGAATGACAACAATAAAAATACAATAAATAAATTCCATTATCACTATCTATAGCAAGCATTTATAATAAAAACATTTAGGCAAAAAAAATCTTAGATGCCATAAAGAACAAAACGGGATTTGTTTAATAAAAAATAATGCTTACATTTTTCTTTGATCTTTTCTTCCGGTATGTGATGTGATTTGGGGGGCTGCGATGGCGGCACCGGTGGAGCAGCAGCAGCGGCGGCGGCGTGGGCCTGCAGTGCGGCCTGTTGCGCCGCCGCCAGCTGCTGTTGTGCCATCATGGTGGCCCAGGGGTTGGGCCCCAGAAGGTACGGCGGCAGCGACATGGCTGCACGCCTTCTACAACCACGATTTATAAAATAGGGTTATCTATTTGAACATTTTCAACGTGTTGTATTGCAAAAGATGCACAACCGAAATACGCCGGGCGGGATCAAACAAGTACATTAGTAAAACTAACACTCACTTGATTTATTTTATAGATAATGCAGTTTTATATTTAAGTAACATTTGACATAGTAATAGATTTATAGACAATTACACAATGGAAACCAAAAGTACAGAAAGCAAACTTTGCTTATAGCGCAATCGGCCATTTGCAATTTCACAAAAAAAATAGTATTAGGCAGTGTTGCCATTTTATGCCAAAAAAATTCTTCTAAAACAGAGGTTTGGAAGAAAATTCCAAAAAAAAATATGTTGCTCTAGTTTTAATTTAGAGCCACACTTTTTTATTTATAAAGGCATACTAAAAAATATCGAATGCGATTATTATAATTTCTTATTTTTAATCACAAAAAAAGAAAATACAATTTCATACTATGTTCCACCATAATTTCATAGCTAGGTAGGTATCTCTTAATAATTTTGTTTGTATTTCTCATTATGAAGCAAAACATATTCAATACAAACTTAGGAAAATACAAAACCTTCAATGGCTACACTCAAATAGATTGGCCACACTCTCAATAGTACGGGGAATACTTCGTAGACTATTTTAGGAATACCTTAGCATAACCACAGCATAACTCAATCTTAAGCAATATTTAAAAAGTAAAATATTTTAATTTTATTTGATTTATGGAGACTATGAATGAACATTAATAATTAGTTCGTAGTATCGTACAAGATATATGACTATATTATTACTATCCAAGTAGAAGTGTGCTCTGAATATAGAATTTTGGTGTGCACTTTATTTATTTCTAGGGTCAAAATAAATACAATACAAAGAGAATCATATTATTTATTATGAACTTAGCAGTCACAAAACTCTCTAGGTGGTGTAAGAATAATACTTTCAATGCTAATTGTAAATAATTCTTGATTAATTTCTTCAACAGTCTCCCTTAATAATTCCTCATCAATTGACATACTGTCGCTATTGCTTTTAGAAACTCTATCAACGGAACTATCATTCAAAACCTGTGTAAGAGCTTCTGCTAAGTCTGAGTCATCACTGCTTGCTATTTGACTAAGATCCTCTGTATTACCAAGTTCAATTTCATTGTTTACATTCACCACTAAATAATTATTAGTATAATTACTATCAACGTTACTTATATGTAGAGAACTATTTATGTGTTCATTTTCATTTACATCTAATTCCATACTTTGTTGATATTCAACGAGTCTTATATCCTTATTACTATTTTGAGAATACAGACTTTTTAAATTATCATCGTCTCTAGTAATCATAGTATTGAGAAGTTCATTGGATGATTTTACTAATGTAAACTTTCTGTTAACATTATTTAAAGAGTTATCAGTTGTTTCGTTATTTACAACATTTGTATCTACATTCATTATATTTTGAGCTATAGGTACCAATTCTGCTCCTTCATTGTTTGAATTGCTACTTTTATCATTATTATTGTTGTTGTCAATATTGGAGACATAATCCAAAGAATCACACCGTAAAAACGAGAAACTAGGAATTGAAGAATTATTAGTATTACTGTCTCGTTTGTCGCTTATGTTATGTTGACCCCTTAGCCTTTGTATCAGTTGGGGGTTACTTTCTTTAAATTTTCGTATTATTAATGAATTTTCGTCTGAGTTCTCATTTCTTCTTGATTGTAATCTTAAGTCAGCGTTCAAATTGTAAAGAATTTGTTCGTCACTCCTCTGTGGTGTTGCTATATGTCGAGGCTAAAATATAAGAATAGTCTCTATAAATATACCGGTTTACTTTAGAAAAAACAATTTAATAAACATCTCTTTTAGGACATATCTATTACGTAGTTAGATACTATCTTTCTGAATACTAAATGGATTTTAAATAACTATTTATTTATATTCATATATATGTATGTATATGTAAGTTTATTAGGTATATTATTTTGTATTGTATAATGTTATATGTATATTTATAACTTTTCTTCCAATATTGTTACTATCATTACACCTCTACCAGACGCAAATCTAATCACTCCTCTCTATCCTAAGGCTGCCTGGAAGAGATCGCTTTTTAGCGATAAGGCCGCCCATTGTTACCTCTTTGTCTTGTTTATCGTATTATATATATACATTGTATCATTTTATACATAATTGTATATGTAATTGTATTTTCTGTGAGAGGAACAATAAATAGTTTCATTCATTCATTCATTATTTAAACAGTCGATACAATTTGTTACTGTGTTGCGCCAATATTAATTTTATTGTGATTAAAGATAATATTTTTAATGGAACAACAATATCTAAAGTTGACGATACTTACTTTTCTTGTTTCAGCTATGAGTTCTGCCAGTTCACCGGCCAATTTCACAGTGTCTTTTGGTAAGTTGGTTTTAGCAGCTAAAGCCAAACCGTAACACTCAATATCTGTAGTTCCTAGTTCCACCTTGTGTTGATACACAAGTCTCTCCTGCGATGATTCTGTATCTGATATAGCTTCCTTTTTTACTGTAGTATGGCGACTAAAACAAGAATCTATTTTTATCTTAGGATTTTATTTATATTTGAAAAATAATAATCTATTTTCAGGTTGTTATATCTTTTCAAGTACTTATTAAACAACTACGAGTCTAATTTTATCGATATACGTTATTTTGAAACTTTCGTATTTTTTCAGATATTTAACAGATATCAAACTGTTTACAAATTCTACTGTTTTCAAATTTAACTAAATACATACTTGACCACATTGTAGTATAAATCTTGAAGTCTTGTCAAATATATGAAGTGCGTGGTAAAAAACGTAAAGGCATCACTCTTGAGCAGTTCTTCGCAAATGGCCCAGGCTATACTGGTTCCTTCTTCAGTACAGGTTCCTCTAAAAGGTGCAGATTATTTATTAAGTTAATTTGCTATCTTATTTAGCTGTAAATACATTTTAGTCTAACTGACTTCTTCTATACTAATCTTATCTGTAATAATTTGCATCGATTTACAAAGCTCAAAATTATTAACTTTATTCGCTGTTTCTGATGTAAATTTTATTTATATCAAGAAATGATATTCAGTTTATTATAATGGGAGATAATAATCACTGCTTATAGGGGAAAGGGGTGGTGAATTTGTTACGACGGGCTAACTGAACTGACCTCGGTGCTCAAGAGACTTGTAGTACTGCGATCTGCATAGATCAGTTGTGCTCGTCCTTTTTTTAGAGATCATTGCCTAGGCCAGTCAGGGACCAAAATTGTTGTGTATTATTAGGAGCGATGGTTTTATGTCCTCAGGATAAAGTGTGTACTTTCTAAAGATGTTTCGTTTATGCATAGATAAGTGGGCTTACAACCACATTGGATTATTTCTTCTTCTATTTGGCAAAATCTACAAAGTTTTGACCAAGAAACAACTGTTTTTGATACGCACCTGCATAATTCGTCGATAATAACTAAACTAGAAGAAGTTAGACTTTTCAGTATGTGTTGAATTTCTTTCATCTATAAATGTAAAAAGAACATTAATTACAACATTATATACAAGCAAGAATCTACAAAACCGTTTGTTGCACACCATTCTATTGTTACCTACATACCAGATACACCATTCGAGTATAGTGTATTTTTATCATTTAATTAAATAGAATATTCTTTTATTTGGATTATACAGTAAAAGAAACTAGGTACATTTCAATATTAAATTCATACATTCTTATAAAAGCAATTTAATTGTGTGCACAATGAGATTAGAGTGATCGTCTGTGGTGGTATGGGCATGTAATGCGTAGGAATGAAGATAATATTTAAGGAAGATGTTACATATTAATGTGGGTGGTTATAAGGGCAGAGGAAGGCCGAAAAGGAGGTGGATGGACTGTGTGAAAGCTGATATGGTAAGAAAGGGAATAAATAACGAGATCACTGCGAACAGGGATAAATGGAAGTTAGACATATTACGCTTTACGCTGACCCTAAATAAATGGGATAAGGAAAAAGCAGTTGATCAATAAGAGTTAAATCAGTAAATATTTTAGTTTATATTGAATTTCCAATTATATAAATTTAAGAAGGTACATTACCTCAAGCACATATGTGGATGCGTTCAATTCAACGCTATCATTGAATCCAATCCTCGAGAAAATTCTATCGCTTAATCTTAATACTGCATTTGTGGCTGGTAAGAAACAGCCCAACTGGAAACATAAAATTAAGTATTTTTTTTTGACATTATTATTTTTATATTTCATATTCTGCATGTTCTTAAGGCGATATAAAAATATTAGTCGGTGGTTACGGCTACGGTTTTACGAGTAGCATGATGGCCCGATGATCGCGGGTTCGATTCTTCGCATGGTACAAAAATTTGTATTCATGAGTATGATTGTTTGTAAATAACTGCGGATAGGTATACATTTATAACATGTTGTATAAACAATTGGTGCGTATATAATTATTGAATGTTTAATTAAATAATGAAATCAAACTAATAAATTTTAATATTTAAAAATAATCATTGTTAGTCAACGCGGCATATCGGGGTAGTGTACTCAAGATACTGATAGCGTTATCTTTGTCATTAATCGCCATGCCTATCATCTAGGGAAAGTAGCTAGCAGCTTTGGGCCATAGTAACCTCGATTTAATTTTCGTCCTGAAATATCCATCAAAAACATTTCGGCTTCTGGGCATTACATGCTTCATGGTAAATGGTAGACACCAATACGACCCATAGAATATTTACTTGAATAATTACGCCTTTAAAAAAATTGTTACCTGCATTATGAATAATAATTAAATATAATAATAAAGCTATTAGTCCAGATTTCTAACCTGCGCCATTACTTGCATAATAGCAATTTGTTTTATATATATACTTTTGCCGCCCATGTTCGGTCCAGTGATTATTGTGAAGTTTTGCTCTGGACTTGCGTACTGTAATCAAATACAGACATTTATGCAGTTAGGAATTACATGTAATAAATACATAGAAAAAAACGCCAAAAACCATAAAAGGATACTGAGTCAGAGGTAAGTGAGAAGTGAAATGGAACATCTAGATTTTTTTTTGTTTCCCTGTCTGGTTGTCAGTTTGTACGGGCTAATCTCTGAATCTGTAGGAATCGATTTAAATGAATGTTTGTACATTACTTAGATACTTTTATTCATGTAAATTTAAAGAGTGAAGAAAGTAGGTTAAAAATCTATAGTAACTAATATAGTATAGTATAGTATATGCCTTGGGTGCAGAAGCGGATTATCCGTAAGGCAAACTAGGCGCGTGCCTAAGGGCGTGTGTTTAATAAGGGGCGCGCGAGCTCAGAATTTTTAAATAAATAAAGAAAATAACATAAAGACGATTAAGAATTATGCTGATCTGTAATCAAAATCTATAATCGATTATATTGCACAAGCATCGATATACTTGTATTATGCAATATTGCCTGACATAGCCAGAAGAATGTGCGTATCGACGGCAGTCAGTAATTGCAGTGGGAAGCGGAGTTTTTCCTGCCTAAAGAGAGTGAAAAACTTACTTCGCTCAACCATGACAGATAAGAGTTTCAATTTGTTAGCAATACTAAACATTGAATCTACCTTATTGGAAAAATATCTAGTTAAAATTTATAGTATTATAATGGCCATTTATGGCCGGTACAGGGGCGAACGATAGAGTGATTACCTAGGGCGCTCTAGATCTTTAATCCGCCACTGCTTGGGTGAATATACTTAAGTAAAGTCATATTGACCCAAGGCAAAAAATGAGAATGACACATCATATAGATGCTTTATTGTAGTCGTTTGAATATCAATCAAAAGAGGAAGGCGGGATTGTTAATAATGTGGACCAATAATCACATTGCTATATAATATAGGAGGTTGACCTCCACGCGGATCGCCCTGGAAACCATCGTGGTAAATTCTTATTGTTCTCTCCACTGGTGCCACGCTAGCGTAAGCCATTAGCGCAGGCAGCTGCACCACTCCATTATCATCCGTAAGAAAAAAAAATTATACAATGTTTTCCGAATAAACAAGTATTATATGACTATTCAATGATTATATTAAGTTTATTTAAATGAATTTTATTTCTATTTCTAATCCACCGTCAATATATGGCGATCTACAATACAAGTCAACACAACTACTAGTCTATTTTTAATAAAAGTCATACGATATCATTGGGTACGGGCATGACTTGGCTGTTGTAATCTAGGAGAGGGTGTACGCTGTTCCTTATATCAGTGTAGTTGTTGAACTCCGGTCTTATGTATGATCCCACTATACTAGCCTGAAATATCAATTGTATTTTTACAATCTAGTAACTTTATTTCTGGTTAAAACATAAGTAACTATTTACATCTTCACGCTATCAGCCATTACGGGGTTAATATTGTTAACACAACCAGCCAAAATTACGATCAGGAGCGCATAAGCTCCTTGGAGGTTTAAAAAGCTGACACCAACTTAAGACATTAGGTACTTTTTTTGCGCGGGTTTGATTCTAGCACCCTACTTCCGCATTGAATATTTGTTGTCTCACACACAATAATACTAGCCTTTAATTAAGCAAAATTAAATTAAATCCATTAATAATATTTTGTTTCTATCCAGTTGTCTAGTAATAGTAGCACAAATTCAGCTTAGATGACGTTGTGATTTAGGCTGAGTGATTTTTAAAATAATGATGGTCTCGGTGGTGTCGGGTTCGATTCGTCCCACGGTACAGTCATTTGTATTCACAAGTATAAAATTAAATGTATTTCATGAGTATATGTTCTGTTTGTGTTGGTCTGGGTGTTTGGTTTTATATGTATGTATGTAGATATTATGTATTTAGTTCCAAAAAATGAATAATAAGGATGTATATCGATTGTTAATTTTAAACTTTCGTGTTTAATATACATTATTTATATTAACCGGGTCCTAACACGATCGTAGCACGGCTACGACCAAGGCTAGTGTAACCTAGTCGAAACTTCGAGAGAGGTAAATAGTTAAATACCTTTATTTGGGGGGCAAGCGGATTGTTAGTAATGTGGACTGATGATCTTATTGCTAGCAATGTACCATGTCAGGTTGACCTCCACGCGGTTCCCCCCGGAAACCATCGTGATAAATTTGTCACAATGGGCTAACTGACCTGACGTCATGTTCATCTTATCATCCTCCACTGGTGCCCAGCTTAGGTCTGAATAGCGATGTGTGAATTATTTAGGGATATTATTATTATTAATGAAAATTATTACAACTTATCTGAAACTCACCTGCGCCATTGCAAGCAAAATATCCAGTTCGGCTACATTTTCACACAGTTTGTAGAGACTGGACATAAACGGTCGTAATTCTTTCAGCAGACCAGATATAACACTGTAGAAAATAATTACCTATCAAACTCATTATTGAATCGAGTTTTATAAAATATACTATCTTACTAATATAAACAATCAATATTGACAAACTGTGCCCCCGTGGGGCACAGTTGCATAAGCTATTTCTAATTGTAAGGCAAATGTGTGTAAATATATTATAAGTAGATATAATGTATTAATATAAGTAGATATATACATTATTTATTATTTATTCTCGCCTTTTTTAAATTAATGTTACAAATCCAATAAGAGTATGAAATTGTAGGCAAGTGTAAGGGAAATATTTACATGTTACTCATTCTTTGTATTTCGTTCAAGGATTCCTTAGCCTGCCGGTCCATCACGACTAATTCCTCAGTGGTCATGGACACGCTGGCACCACTGTTGTGTACCTTAAATTATTTATTAGTTTGATTATATCAACTACAGAGAGAGTTGTAATCTAGCGGTTTTCTGGTTTACTACTCCATCTTCGACCGAAAATTCCGGAATTCAAATCTAACTAGCACAAAAGAAATTATGTGTCTCTACATATTTCTGACTAACTTTCGCATGATGGAAAACACAGATAATAATACAATGAATAATGAGATACGGTTTCTGTCTAAGACAGTTCAAAACCCTAAACAGCTTCAAGACACTTAAGTTATAAAATAAAAGCTGGAAAACAGCAAATCAGCATTTTTATGGCACATAGGTATTATTATTATTGGGAGTTCTATATTGTATGGAAATTATCCTTCGGACAGAGTAGAGGAGATTGTTAGTATCAGGCTATAGTAATCAATAGCTAGCCTAATATTGATTTATTACACTATCAGAGCTAAAACCGTGTGTTCTCTCCTAAAAATATCTTAGTTCATTCCTGTTAAATTTGGCACGATGAGATAACTGACCGTATTTTATGATAATCATACTCCACTGGCCCCGCCAGTGTATACCGTCAGCGCGGAGGGGTGCGCATTTTTATTATCACCTATAAAATACCTTCAAACAGAAGATATTTATGACACCAACCTCATGGATTACACATACTGTGATTAGCACGTATAGAGTAGTGATTATTCATTAACTAATTAAGGATATACTGATAACTCGCGAGAGTATATTTCCATTATATACTTAATCTATGTACATGTATATATAGTACATATTTAATCCGACGGTCATTTTAATTGGACTCCCGCAAACCGCAGTTACGTAGATAAAGTTCATGTACCCACATATAATTATATGTAGTATCATTTCATACAATGATAACACTATCTTTTTATATTTTATTTACCTACTAGCGACTCGCCCGACTTTGCACGGGTGCATTCTAATTTATAACGCATTAAATTTCTCGGCTGTTCTGCGTGTACATTATGTATACATATTCCTCTTGAATCATTCTATCTGTTGACGGTTGACAGAACTGCTTTAAAATTCATGGCTTAGTTTATTACATCTAAATGTACAGACAGCCCCGGAGACTTTTTATACTATTAAAGATTTATCTATACATACAAAATCATAGTCCGGTACCAAAATTATAATAAAACTAACTTCGACGAGTCATTGTGATGGACCCAGGTAAAAAGTAGCTATGGGTTAATTTAGTATTTGGGTGTCTTTTGAACCCATTAGTTTCAAAATTAATTATAATACCTGATTTTGGTATATTGGAAACTACGTATTCTATTTTTTAAAAATCTATAATATATCTATAGGGAAAAAATTATCACAAAAATAAACCTAATATGAGGAAATTCTACAACACACGTAATTGTGTGAAAGCAATTAGAACCTTAATAATATGCATACATGCTACTATTTAAATTAAACTTTATTATAATGATAATTAAAGGGGTGTGGTCATGCCACGCTATCATAATGTTATTAGACAGCGTGATGAACACGTGATAGTATTACATCATTCCTTGACCTAGGCCTGGATAGGATTTCGATATACCGTTGTTTTAAGGCTCCCTTTATGTTATATAGGATAGCTTCATATAATTAAAAAGGACCACGGTTCAAATTCAAATAATTTTAGGTATCATTTAGTATACAAATTACAGGGTTTGACTAACTCATTGACATAAAAAATACCCTCACAATTGTTATCTTAGGAGGTGTAATCAGAGGAATAATAAATGGTCTACATCGTGGGTAACATTTAACATGTCCACATTTCGCTGCGTATAAGAGGAAAATCCACCGCCATTTCTCGTGATCAGATTTGAACTCACATTTGTACGGGTAATAAACCGAAAACCACTAAAAGATAAGCACGCATACATACATATGGTGTTACAGAATCTAAAAAAAAACAGAATCCTAAATCAAAATATTATAATTACTCACCTTGATGAATATGGGTGGTAAATCGTCAACACTAAAGGTCCTTCTATTTTTCGGTGCAATTGGCATCATTATGTGAAATCCTTTCAGCATATTCTGATTCACTCTAAGTGGCAAATCATACGTTTCGCCTAGATGTTCCACCATCTTCTGTATATCCTCTATCAGTTCTGAATACATTCTTCTAGCTACATCTAATAGACCATTTATTTCTGGCTTGACCGCAAAACATCTCTGTAAACTACCCATAGAACCCTTTTCTAAATGTGCATCTTCTTGAAGTATGTTTTTTATACGGGATGCAATCTCATTGTAATTTGGATTTTCAAAGTCCTATAAAATTATAATCATCAGGTACATAATAGTTTCTAACTTAGAACTGTAAAATGTTATTTTGTAAATTTAATTTATATTTAAGAGGTGACCCATCCTAGTTGTGCCCGGGTGTCTTATGAATTTTGTATACATATTAAAATAACGTATTGTCTGTCACTTTGCAATACCTTTCGAACGATAAAATAATTTTTCAGATCAGTGCAGTAAGAACTACTGTAGGAAAAGTTAGAGTTCACTTTTCTACTAACAATATTTGCTCTCCCTTTGCAATATTATTGTAAAGCCAATCATTTAATTCAATTTACAGTAAATAAAGTTTTAAAAACAACAATAAATAAACAGTCAAATTATTGTACATGACTTTTAAAATATTCTGCCCTAATTAAGTAACTCGTAACAAGATTTTCCCGACGGTTATCAAGAGCTGTAGACTACTAACTTAACCCACCGACCCTTAACGACCTTTATCAAACTCTGGAATTAAATGGCCCACTGCACGTTGGAATAAATGTAAACAAAATGAGGATATCGCAGAAGGTAACATTATTTCCTGAGTAACAAGACAAAAAAACTTGTAGAATAGAATAGAATAGAATTTATTAACTAGTTTTATACAGTAATGACATAAGAAGTACAAGAATAATTTACACATTAAAAAAACAGAGTCATTGTGGACCACAACTCGGCATAATGCTGGGAAACATAGTTTCCAGCGCTGATTTTCAGTTGGACCCACAGTACGGACGCACATATATTACAATTAAAAACTACGTATACATAAACTTTAAAAAACAGATATTATACAATTAAAAAAAAAGTATATAAATAATAAAAAACATTATATACGTAATAGCCTTCAAGTAAAAAAAAAATAAAACTGTAAATGGAGAAAAGAAACAATCCTATTTCCCCCCCACTAGTGATAGAGTATTACTGTAGGTCCTGATCTGGTAGTGATCTATACCATCAAATCTGATCTGACCATCGACACAAATGAGGTAAGTTGCCTGGTATCATATTAGAATAATATATATCATATAACAATAGTCAATAATCATTGTATTATTTATTGTATTTGTTTATCTACATAAGTTCTAAAAATATCCGATTTCATCACACTGTACTTTGAAGTTTTGTGCGTCTTGAAACGTGATTAAAAATCTGACCACTTTAATTTATAAGATACTTTAACTAATAATTAAATAATAATAATTTCGGAGAATTCATGCAGCGCCATCTAGTTACAAGCTATGCATAGATTGTGTTATAGGCATAAGACAACTGATAGAAAAACATGAATACATACATACATAATATGTATACACATATTATAGAAACGTCCCAGACCAATACAAATAATCGTACTCATGAATGTTTGTATCTAGCGAGGAATCGAACCTATGACAATGGAAGTAAGGCGGTGTGCTCAATCACTAGACTATCAAGGCCATCAAACTGCTTACCATTTTAATTTTCTGAAGTCTTCCACTCATTGCCGTGTTTAGTGCTTCAACGAGATTTGGAACTAAGTCCATCGTTGTCTTTAGGAGTAAAGTTTGATTCAATTGCGCTTCTCCAAACTTGTCCATATTTTGGTTTGGAGTCTCCACGCAAAGGAATAGAATCTTGTCAATTTCTGACAACTTCTTTATTACATTCTGAAAATGCAGGTGTATTTTTACATTCTTAACATAGTATGATTATAAATTATATAAGTAGTGTGCTGTAAAGTACTAAAACAAAAACTACTAACTAACTTTTGTAAATTATAGTACTACAACTACGGGCGTAACGACGAGACTGCATATCATTATTCATATTAAAGCCGGTGTAAACCACTAGACCATCGAGGCTGTCAAGTGATAGTTAGTCATATATTATGTTTGTCTTGCTTATGAGATCAGAAATAATATTGTGATTTCCTACCTGTAAACTTGACATTAATCCAGTTTCATTCTCGATCAGATCCTGTATTGCGTCTAATCTATTTTCAATAAATTCCTTATTACACGATGGTTGTAGAATACAGGCTCTAAGGGCCCTGATACCTCCAACAGTGTAAGTAGGACCTAGGACTCCCAGAAGGCAGCATGTGGGGCCGGCAGATAGAACCAACGGCTGGACTAACTCCAGCTGAGTAGCTGTGCCGACATCTAAGCATTTTCGTAATATAGGAAAACTAAACATGTATTAATTCTTCTCGTGGATATTATACGAGAAAGTTCAATAAAAGTATCTTACTCAAATGATTGAATGGATCCGGCAATCAGTCAAGATAAGTTTTTTTGTAATAAAGCATCTTCCTAGTTGAATTAAATAATATATTTAGAGTGTTACTTGTGCATAATAATTTATGAGAAGCAATTTACCTATATGTGTAGCTATTTCACAGGGGAGGACGGAGATTGTTACTAATGGGGTTTTAATCAGGCCGACATCCAAGCAGTTCCATTTTGATATCATCGTAGTATTTTTTAATTGGATTGGCAAATAAAGTTAGGTCCTGATGGAAAGCGGTTAATTTTTGGTGTATTTATCACTATGGGCTAACTAACCTGATCTTATGCTCATCTTTTCATGTCCAATTTTGCCCCCCCCCTAGCAAATGTTAGCGAAGGCGAGTATACTATTCTAATATCACTAAAGAATGTTTTAGACATGACTATTAAAGTCATGTCTAAAACATTAACAACAACAAAACAACATCCTCATGACAATGAACGCTATGTCATAGTTGAAGATGCTAATATTTGAATTATTTTGGATATATGGTCCATATTTAAGAAAACTGAAACCTTGTGTGGTATCAGTTTTAGTTAATATACCTACGTATACCTACCTACGTGACGTATACAACGGTCTATCTTTTCTCGATGTGTCTTTCATGTACCTATAATTCAAGGAATAGCAATAGTTAAAAACTATTATATATGTATATTTAAATATACCGATAATCATCGTGTTCTCAGAAGAATGATATTCGATTTTTAGCGAATCTCTAGCAAAAACGAGGCATTGAATATATTCAACGTATTTAAGGACCGCTGCAGCCGCTGTCAGTGCGTAGAACCTGAAAATATCAATCAGTTGTTGATCAGAAAAGACTAGAAAGAACAATATTAATGCAATACGTATATATATAATTATAATATAATAGTTTCTTATTATCATCATCATCTGCTTCGATAGTCGCGGTTATCCCATTTATTCGTAAATAGTTGGAATAATAATACCGGTATTAATACGGCGTAATATGTTTTTCTCTCGTGCATCTCTCTCTTAATACGTTTTGGCGGCAGAATTAATGAGACAGAGGTTCCACTAAGTAACACAACAATAGCGTATATAGTTTATATATTATTAGTTTGTTATTCAGTGAACGGCACTGGGTATCGATGCACTGCCGATCGATCGGTAAAACGCCCTCTTATCCGTCATGCAGGAGTTGGCCTTCAGCCGCTCCATACGTCCTTCCGCGGGTTTGGAGTGCCATCTGCACTCGCCCCCTAACGTCCGATGAAGCTGTAAAGGCCTGCTGTGGCCAACAGCATTAGAGTAGTCCGAAAAAAAAAAGCTGCACGACCTATGTTCGTAACAGATAGATATTTGAACCACAACTGGAAAATAAGATGTAATAAATAAACGCAAGTTTCTTACCAATAAAAAAATCGATTATGTACTATAAATAAATAGTCACATAATAGCATCATCTTGCGCGTTGCTCTTTTCAATAAACATTGTTCAAAACATGTTGTACGCACAGTATAAAATATATTGCATAATTTACTAAACCTTTGTTTAATGATTTAAGAAACTCTCTCTGTCTCTCTTGATTTAATACTTATGTTAATGTATCCACTTAGGGGAGCTTGTACTTAGAGAATTTTCAAAAATCTCCTTCGGGTATTAATTTATTAGCTATATATTGTAGGAACTTCAATAGCTGGGTTGGCAATTAAGAAATGATGAATGCATACTCGTATTTAGCTTATTAGCTGTATGTTTTAATGACATATGCTAAATCATATTGCGTCAACGTTCGATTCCTAACTAGTAGGTAGGTAACATTGGTTTTATACGATAAAGACGTAATTATGCTTCGCAATGATAACCCTGAACTGCTTTCGTCTGGTATCGAACTGAAGATGATGAACTTATGCATAATATTGCTTTAGGTTCCCGTAGAGTATCTACATTGTTTACGATGCATTGGTACCTAAGACCAATGATTCTATAAATTAAAAGAAGAGTTTTTTGTTTATTCGCTCTTGGTATAACGGCTACGAAATATAATTTATAAACGTAATATTTTGCACGGAGAAGCACTTAGGTTACATTTTATACAAGCCAACAAATGTCTCGGTTAGCAGTCAGGCTGACAAAGCGCTGATGCTAATTATTAACGATTTATAATAGATTTTGTGCAACACACAGTTAATTTTTAATTTTGGTAGAATTCACACGAGCAACATCAATTTTCCACATCTATTTCCGCATGGTATTAAAAGCGACAATTGTGTGAGTTATTAATAAATTTTCTTAGAGGTTAATGTATGCAAATTTATAGTCCTAGACTGCTAGGAAGTCTTTGCAATTTGACACTGATGACGTTACATCTTCATTCATAATTTAAGAGCTATGCTCTTGTCGGTGGAGCTCTTGCCACTTTCCGCGATCTTCCATCATGAATGACATGTACATCTAATTGTCATGTACGTCTATTACAGACTCAGATGATATGTCAAATCTACCATCAGTCGGAGTGCTTTTGAACTAAGAATTCCTCTTCATACTATTTTTCACTAGTGTATCTTCAGCGTAGGTGAGTGGACAATTACATCATTAACCCCAAAATCCTGATCAGAATCTACCCAAATTCCGAATCTTCCTATTTGAAGTTGGTTAAAAAATAGATATACATACTTGTGTAACACCTGCAGATATACAGCGCTGTATTCAGGAGCGCAAAGGGTTTGAATTTGCTGTCTGCCGACTGCGTCGTTGAAGTGCCTTCTCTGTACAGTGGTTAGGTTGACTAGGGGATAATGCTCCCTAATCAGCTGGTATAGTTGAATGGGCTGAACTCCTTCACAGAATGTGTGTGGCACTATAATCTGAATAAACCAATAGAAGTTTTTTATACCATTGGTAGTAATGTACTATGTCAAGTTGATCTCCACACGGTTCCCCCTGGAAACCTTCGTGGTAAATTGCTATATGCTACTGGTGTCTCGCCCGTAAACCGCTCGTGCAGGAGAGTGCACTATGCATCATAAAAAAAAAATAGTGCAGTAGAAAGTAATTATTAGTAATAGATATAATCTATTACACTAACACGGTTCTCTATGGAAAACATAGTGGTTATGTGGGTTCCAGGTGACTACGCTACGATGAATTTTTGACCTGACTTCATTATTATCAACTGGCGTCCGTCAGGCAGCTTTACAGCTTCACCGGACCAAAAAAGAGGGGCTTGCAGGCGAATCCATAGAGCACTCCAAACCCGTGGAAAGACTTACCTTTACAGTATAAAATGAAGTCGCATCTACTGTCTGTTCGCTTTGATCTTGTATACTATGCAACGGTTTATAATGTAGTTTTTAGCAATAGATAGAGTGAATCAAGAGGGAGACTTATGTATAACATATGTATACACGTACAAAGCCGGGGCGGGTAGTTAATTAAGTAATAAATATTAGATGACTACCTCTACAGGATTAAAATAGTTTATTTTCGTTAACGTATGGGTGTACAGCAAGGTGTCACTGAACTGACACAGTACTAAACGTGGATGTTTCAAATCGACAGCAGCTATTCCGATCTCACCTCGAGCCATACCTCTACCTTCTGATAAAGCTGAAATTTACATACAAATCATCATACGTCATATTGTAATATAAAAAAAGGTTATTTTGAACAATCGGTCTAAATGACGGCTGCGGTACAAACAGTTGTATTCATGAGTACAATTGTTTGTGTCGTATCGGTCTGGGTGTTTTTTATATATCTATTATACGTATGTATTATATTCACAAGATAAAATATCTAATTTTGTATATTTAGTATTATACTATCTTACTAATATTACACATGTGAAAGTTTGCGAGTATGGATAGATGGATTGATGAACGGATTTTGATGTAACTTTACAGCAATGTAGCTTATAACACAGACTATATTTCAAAAATATATTATGTAATTAGTGCAAAATATAACGATAAATGTCCAGTAAATGTGATGCATTAGCATTATAGATGCAAATTAAGTAAGGTAGTCTATACTACAGCGCTCTGTAAATCTATCTGATTTGGACTAACTAAAACAAACAATTAAAGGTGATTTAATAAAATATTGTTCATTAGTAATTAACAAGACATTTTGTAACCGTCAATGCTTTCCAATAATTCGATTAAAATAAAACTGAATGTACCCTTGTCATTATCATTACAGAATTACCTATTCTGGGACAATACGGAGCCGGGTCTTTCCCATATACATATATCAACTAAACTAAGTAATTTTACTAATTACAGGCAAAATCAGCGCGTAACAATTTACCAACAGTAATTATTGATGTCACCAGATTATGATAGGCCTTCCCCTGATGGGAGTTTAATATTTTTCATCTATTTACCTGTTGGTAGAGTTTTGTAAGACAAATTATATATTTTTTACGTAATTGGAATGGCAAACAAGCTGATGATCCACCTGACGGTAAGTGGAAACAGCTCTATATACATGAATATCACTACTTATATAACGTTATAAGGTATTGCCATTCACTAAGTTTAATCTGTACTTTACTGCCTCTTATTCTCATCCGAAACATATCTTACGAAGCAAATTGCTTGGAAGCGTCTGAAATTGGTGTGACAGAGGTACCCACACTCAACTAACTCGGTAAACTCTGATAAACTCTGTTATTTTAATCGGTTGATTATTTTTTGAAGTTATCCACTACCAGCAGTCATATATTAACTAAAATATCTTTGTAATATTAGTATATTAATACAGATAACAATAAAGTCGATGTTCAAATAATTTTTTTACGTAGAACTTTATCGAAAGGAGTTACCCAAAATAACACTAGCTTCGACCGCTGAGGTACTTGTAGATCGAGCAGATCTAGTGCCGCTGTGTCCACCTGGAAATAATAGAATAACAGCCACGTGGACGTATTTCTTAATATAAACTAAGAAGAGAGGAAAGCGACTGAATGTAAATACTCAAAAAAACACAAGTTTTTTTTTATTGACAGGCAGATATGAACTCACAATCTTCTAGGTCTTGATCGAGGTAGTAAACTGCTAGGCCACAACACTCTCTCTCATTTTTTTTGTACCTAATTGAATTGGTTGACTTGCTGTATGAATAACCAAACTGTTGTAATAAACAACATTGTTTTGGTTATATTCGCAATATTAAGTTAATTATATAGGCCAATTAAGAATATTACTTACTAGTAACTAACATTGGACTACAGTAGTACATAGCGTTTTTTCAGTAAATATAATTTAATTGATAATTTAATAATAATTGATAATAAAAACTATATTTAAATTTGATACAAATAACAATCAATGTGAAAAAGCAGTTCCAGGGGAGTACTTTGTGGTTGCGACACGAATTCTTTATTAATTTATCAAATAACGTTTGATTGCTTATTTATTTATTCTTTATTGCACCAGAAGTAAATTATAAACAATATAAATAGAAATAATAAGGTACAAAAGGCGAACCTATAAGCAATCTATGCTGATGAATACTCAATGTACAATTTATGCAGAATCAGTTAACATGTAACCAGTTAACGAATATCCTGAAAAGATTATATCATTTCAGAATATTCGTTAACTGGTTACATGTAATACAGGGAGGTATACTGACTTTGATTTCATCATTTGGCAAATAAGAAAGAAAAACATTTATTGACAACCATTATTAACATACCTACATATACATATAATTCATATGTACACATATACACATGTAAAACAATTGCAATAAAAATACAAATAATAAAATAAAAAGAAACAAACAGCTATTGGTCCATGTGACCGTCTATAGCTATATGAACAGCACCACGTAACTAACGTAATTGCCATGAAATGTCCGTGGTACTTCTCACTCAAGCTTTTCTATTCTACTACTACATTGACTATAATGTCATGCCTCTATATCCTGTAATGTTACTGCAACCCAGATTTAAACATAGAAAAGAAGCTGTTTGGAGGCTACAATAAATGAGACAGAGGTACCCACGTAGACGTCTCTTGTACAAGTACTTTCTAGTCTTCTAAAAGTATCGATATACTTTTAAAAGACTAGAGAGTCCTCTACTAATTAGTGTTATAAACCCAAACGTACAAGAGGTAGAGGAAATCCTACAGCTACCTGGGGGACCCCTATAAGTAATATTATTGCTATGGAAAAATTGCCAGATCCGATAATCCTTAGTAAATTGTCACGGGCGGCGCTAAAATACATACAGTGGTGCTGCTATGAAGAAGAAGAAGAAAAGAGAAGTTTGTGACTGTGGATGGATGTCTGTTACTCTTTCACACCAAAACTATTTAATGGATTTTAATGAAACTTTACAATAATATAGCTGATACATCAGCATAGCACTTACATAGGCTATTATAATTTAATAAATTTCATGTGGGTGAAACTAGTGGTTATTATATAATTAAAATAGATCTATTAATCTACCTCTACTACTACTGCTGATGTATCTGAGTGCAGTAGGTCTATTAGCCGGTGTGCACATCTCTTCGTCTGCAGATTCGCTCGCAAGCACCCTAGGTCTAGGCCTATTGCTTGCAGATGATTCAGGCTTAGTAGAACTTGAGTTTATTATTCTAGAATATAATATGTGAAGAGAGCTATTGTAAAGCGGTTAGCAAACGTTATTACATCCGCGATGTCGCGGGTTTGATTCTTGGACAAGATAAATCTTTATATTCATGAATAGGTGTTTTCTGTGCATAATAGGTATATGAAATGATGTAAATAAAATAATAGGTACTACTAATTACTAAGCATTACGGGAATCTCTCAATAAGAGTAGAGATAACAAATCAAAAGAAAAACATTCAAACTCAAAAACGGATACAAAAGCACTAACAGAAAAACTTTAAAATATTTTTTACTTTAGTGTCACAAGTATGTATTTATTTACGACGTAAACATTTTTTAAAGTATGAATTATAGACTCGCATCATTACATACTATAAAACAAAGTCGCTATCGCTATCTGCCCGTCCCTATATCTTTAAAACTACGCAACGGATATTGAAGCGGTTATTTTAATAGATAGAGTGATTTTAGAGGAAGGTTTATATATAAATACACCTGGGCAAGTAGCTAGTATAATAATATAACACCGTATTTTGAGACTATGATTAAAGAAAGCATAGTTAGATTTCTTCAGACTAATAAATCCAGTTATAGTGTACCGCATACCTAGTGTTGCGTATTTAAAAATAAAATTCGCGTCCTCGAAATCTATCAAATTCCAAGTCTTCATAACGGAAACGAGATAGCGTTTTAAAATTATAAGAAACTTGAAAATGATAACCTCGAACCTACTTAGTTCAAAAATAGGTACTTACTTCCGCTTTGAATTCCGTGGAGGGCCACTTGGAGGGCCCATAGACGTCACGTTACTTGCTGTTGGATCATTGGAAAATTGATATCGAGGTGCTTTAATAGGATTCCGGCTTGCATTTGAAACATTATACGTTACTGTACGCAGCAATGACGTCGGACCTCTTATACCTGCCATAGATGCTATACATTTAAATACTACAGAGGCAGACTTTGTATCAAGTCGTAAATCGTTCTTTTGAAAGGTTAGTTAAATTAGGATATGGTGGTACGATACCTTAGTCTCTCGGAATGGCAACGCGTTATCGTGATTACGGTCATCACGTGACGACATATGATATCCGTAATGTTCATATATATAGGTAACGGTCGAAGATGTATATTGACGACATTTACCATAAGCTTGGCCAGCTTGTTTATCACTACGGTGTGATAAAAAAAACTTATTTGATTTTATACGCCAATTCAGGTACCTAACTGTAAAAGTATTTATTCCGAATAAAATAATTTTGCAATAAATAAAAAGATACATACTTAAAAAAAACAAGAGCATCTTTATTTGAATATCCATACCCAACGAAAAATCTCTTCTAACCAAATCCTTTTTTGGTTTTTCTCTACAATTCAATATTTTTTCTCTTTGCACTACATTCATCTTTGTAAGATAATTAGTTAATTATGTATTAACCAACGCTATTTACTTTTATAATTTGTAATTTTTAATACAATAATTACGTAAATTTAGATAATGAACAGAGTGCTATTTCAAATTACGCGCCAATTTTTATGACTTTTTTTAATGTTTAATTTGCTGGGTCCTAGGTACAGGATCCTTAGGGATTTTTAGATTCCAATTATCATTTTTTTTTGGTTCTGTTTACCCTTTAAAGGAAAGGCAAAGGGAACTGCGCCCATACAGCTAGTCGAATACATGGTGACTGACTGTTTTTTTACTAGTCTGTCAGTCATCGTCTACAAATTTCAATTATTCACAAACTGTCAAAACCACAACTGTCAAATGTCAAAACAAAACGAATCTCAACTTTATGTTTTTACTGCTTTAGTTAAGTTTTAAATTAAATATACATTATTTAGATAAAATTTTATCCATGGCTTTCAAAGGTACGTAACTTGTTCCTGAAATAAAATATAATTTGTATAGTAAAAGTGGAAGATATCAGCAATCTAATTAATGTTGATTGATAACCTTGATTCGATTCAATATGATTGTTCAATAGCCTTGTCTATTAATTGAGGATATCCTTTTTAGATAAAATTTTGAAATCTCTCTTCTTATTGTTACGATAATATATTTTTAATATATTATCGTATATTTTTAAATCTAAGGTGTAACATTTAAATCTAAGTTATTATAAAATTGCGAAAATTAAATGAGTAGACAGTGTATATTTTCTGCCAGTTCAGCTTTTATAGTTATTTACGATTACGCTGGAATATTAGAAAAAACAAAATTGACCATGAAACTATTAAGACTATAAAAAAGACAGTTATACAGATTATGTAAGTAAGAAAAACAAATTTGAATATGTCTTAAGTTGTCTACCTTATTGTTAAAATGATAGAAATAAAACTCAACATTCACAACCATACAATGATTGTCTTGATAGTCAACATTAAGTTAAAATATTGTAATGTCTTTGTTTATTTTATTTAATTTTAATATAAAACTTTGAAGTGATAGACAGAAGAAGTTTTTATTGACTTTATGATTAAACATGGAACATATCTATAAATGATTTGTTTAATCTTTAAGGTATAGCTTAATTATATTTATACAACACTAAGATTACACAAATTTTTCAGCCATTATTTTTCTTCTCAAGTTTGACCAATGAAATCAAACAAAAACAAATGTAATATTGTCTTGATTACCTTTTGGATAATAATAATAAACAACAAATAAATTAAGCCTACATCTGATTTTTGTTTTAGTAAATAAAATTATCTATCATGATTAATTAATTTTAATAACTCCAATGTAATTATAAAATAATTTAAGTATGTATGTTAATCTGAAGCAGATAAGCATCATACAGATAAACTATTCAAGTGAGTAGGTAAAATTATCATTTATTCTTAGCGTGACAGTTTAAAGATAACCCATATTTATTTCGTGACAATAAATGTATTGTTAAGGTTATCAGTTATTACGAAGTTCAGCTTCGTAAATCAGTTATGGGTATAAGCTTAAATCTATAATTAAATAACTATTTATAATAATCGATCTTTGTATTCACATGTTATAATTAGGTACAGGTTTTTTTTTATAATTTAATATGAAAAGAAAGTAGTTGTAGAAGTTTAATCTATTTATTTAATACAAAGATTATTCTTAATTTGTGATATTTTTATATGCATAATAGATATATCATGTATACATATATAATTAAAAGATTAGAAGAATGGAAATATATTATTTTTTATTATATGTGTATATGTGAATGTAGTTGGGAAAGATGTTAGTATATTTGATCAGTGCGATGGTTGACTGGTAGTGAATGCCATCAGGCATTTAGTCTGCAATGTATACAATTTTGTGTGCAAGATAATAAATAAATAAAGATGTTACGCTATTAGGAGTCAGTTGACTTATTTATTTGAAAAACAATAATATCTATAAAAACTATAGGGTTGGAAATACATATATTTTTTATTTTCAGAATATAGTATGGTATGTTACGTTATTAGTTTTTATTTGTCTCTGATAATACATGTGCCATCCAAAAACATGTAAATCCTGTTTATGTTTTGGTAATTATCAGGTAAAGATTACTTTATAAAAATGAATAACTTCACACTTATTTTCATCATTAGACAGACCCTGAAAAACAAATAACAAAAATATAATGAAGCACTGCGTCATTCAATTTCGTAGACTCTTATTTAAATTATTATTTGTTTTATATCATAACATATTTATCACCTTTTACGATCGTGGTCATTATCTGTTTTTCAATGCGCGCAATTCGCAAAACAACTGTTGCCACAAATATTCCATACGCTTCTATCGCGAGTGAGTGAGACGACAGCATGTTCTTTTATTGCGGTTGAATTGTTGCTCGTGTCTGGCAGTAGTCTTTTCAATGAAGACGGTGTTGTGACGTCATTCATAGTACGTAGCTCTCAGAGAGCTGTGGTGTAGCTCGCATCACCACTTTATCACACGGGGTGTGTGGCATATAAGGCGATAACGGACTTGGAAGTGCACTGTACTTTGTGATTGTACATACAACAGAGGCGTGTGCGCGGTTCCCAAAAGCATTTTTTTATTGTTTTTGCCCTGAGATAATTTCGACCATTGTGTTAATTTATTTACCAAATTCATCTCTTGAGGATCATATATAAAATATGGCCCTATACAGGTATTTGAAATTTACTAATTACTGCATGTTAAAATTTACCTACAATTTATTATACTTGCTTTATAATCATGCGATTAAGTGATATGATTATTATTATAATAGCCAATAAATATTTTTATAATAGGTAGAACAATTTATAATAAATCAGATATAATTAAATTTAAATTAATAATAAATCCATTTTGATCTTAGATAAGTATTTATTGTATTGCTTTATAATTAGGCAATATGATAATTTAGATAGTAAGCAGGAAAGAAACTTGGGGGGAAATTTGGTATAAAGTGGTCTACAGGTATACCCCTGTCTCACCTAATCTGGTATTATGTTTTCCGTCAGTATCAAAAGCTCTGTTCTAGTGTAAAAAGCACGTATATAGGGCAATTATAATTTATATTTAAAAAACATAAATTATAAAAAAAATTAACAATATAAAAATGAGAAAAGAGAAATAAATAATAATTTTGTACAATAAGGCAGCCTTATTGTACGAAACATTCTTGTAGTTAAAGTAAATTATAATTATTATTTGGATTTTTATTATAATCTATGAATTTATATTTTTTAAGTGTGTAACTAAATGTATTCTACTTGTTGCTAAGTAAGCACAACTTAAATTTAATTATGTAATTTTATAACATTATATTTATTGGAAAAACTGGTTTCGCTTAATATCGCAAGTTGTGGGCCGTGATGTATTTTTTCTTAACATGCCACATACGCAAACCTGTTATGCCTGTCTTGAAAGCAGGGCCATGTATGGGAAAATAGGTACATCGTCCCGTATCTTCAGGCATTACAATAAGATTGTAATATGGTTGTAGGGACTAGTATCATTCATAATTCACTAGAACGATAATTTATAAAAATATGTATAATGTAGGTAGGTCTATCTTTCACCATATTCAACATAATTCAATGTAATTATTAACACATCCAAATCAGTGGTTTTGCGTGTAAAGCAGATTAATAAAAAAAAAAACAATAATATATCTATTGTATTAAATATAGGTACGTATTTTATTAAAAAATACAAGTTTAAAATGTTTGACATTTTGGATTGAAAGAAAAATATATGTACACTTCCTTTATTAGGTTTATTAGGTCGCTGGTCGTATAAATATAAGAAAATTCTAAATATCTTCAATGCTCTAGTCAATTAAACTTTACATAATAGTTTTATTTCAAACAAATAATTCTTTACTAAAATGAATTATTATTTTATGTCCTCTGACAAGTTAATTAAATTCCCTAAATGCAATTATCATAATTTCACATGGTAATGTCATAATATTGTTTTGTTTATAGTTTGAAAAACAACCTTCAGTACGCAACTCTGAAGACCCTGTCGCTGGTTTCCATCAGCGTCATGTCCCCGCAGCAGAGCGTGCAGGAAATCTTCAGAACAGCAGACTGTGTGTGCTTTGATGTTGATTCTACTGTTATACAAGACGAGGGTATCGATGAGCTGGCTAACTTCTGCGGGAAAGGAGATGAAGTTAAGAGACTGTAAGTATAAGAGACTGTAAATATAATCATAGTACTCTGTATTTCACTAAGGTATCATTTACATATATCGTGAGCGTGGTTACCTTTGTCTCACCTACTTCAGGAGCTAAGCAGCTCACTTTGTAAGCTGTGTTTCAGTTTAAGGGTGAGATATTTTATAGGATACGGCGGCGCGATATCTCAGTTGTCAGGTATGCCCTGACGACAAAGATACCTGATGATTTAGATATATTAATTGGTGCATAAATTGTCAAAACAAAACCATAGATCATAAAAAAGTATTTTATGATTTATGCTTTTCTTAAATTACAGGTAAACAGCTTGTTTTCCATGCCCAATCTTTAGTCTAGGAATTTACTATCTGTATACCACTAATATAATATTCACCATTTTATTGATTACAAGAAATATAAGTAATTTATTTTCCAAGTGTCCATAATAAGATGACTAAACGATTACTTCAAATGGAAAAATATTATGTGTTGCCATAGCGTTATGATACCTCTAAGCTGATATGACAGTGTTATTAACAAACCTTATCTAAAGATTATTATCAATCGGAACTGCGATGTATTTTTGTTTTTATCCTATTAAGGGAATACACTTTGCTAATTTGGTAATAGATACTTATCTGATTATTATTGTTAGTTTACGATACATCATAATTCTCCAATCATAGATAATTACGCTTAGTTGTCTAGTGATATAGTTATAGTAACGTAGAATCGCCAGTTTATTCTTACATTTTGTTTTAAATAGATTTCATTTACGACAATTCTAACTGTGCATTATGGTTACATATTATTTCACAATAATACGTGATACTCTTAAGAGGCTAATCTTTGATAATTCACGTATATGAATATGAGTATATTTGGTATGAGTGTAACTATACTTTTTTATTTATAAAAACTAAAATCTTCAATACATAGCAGTGTGTTTTAACACTTGTATTCAGATTAAAACAAAAACTATAAAATAAGTAAAAAGAAACTCAATATACCGACTTCCGTAAGGAGGGTTCTCTTATTGACTACCACCGTATTTAACTAAGGACAATATAATAGTTGTGTTACATATAAAATATATGCTATATACATATATGGTGTGTATCTTAAATATAGTGTGTATTTACAGTACTGCTGAGGCGATGGGCGGAAACATGACCTTCCAAGAAGCGTTAAAGAAGAGGCTCGACATCATCAGACCGAGCGTTAGTCAAGTTAGGGAATTTTTAGAAAAGTTTCCAGTTCGGCTCACGCCGGGTATTTCGTAAGTATAATATTATCTGTTCTTAGTTTTATTTCATGGCTTCTACAGTAATAGCTAGGAAGTAGGAACAAACGTTGAGTCTGTTCCTAGCTAGTGTATAGAAAATTACTTAGTTACAAAAGACTGCTAAACAATTCCAAATAATGCATCATCACTATCACTACATAGTATAAAACAAAGTCGCTGTCGTTGTCTGTCCGTCCCTATGTATGCTTAAATCTTTAAAACTACGCAATGGATTTTGAAGCGGTTTTTTTGAGTGAGTGATTCAAGAGGAAGGTTTATATATATAATATATGTACAGCCGTGCGAAGCCAGGGCGAGTAGCTAGTTCTATTATAAATGCGAAAATGTGTCTGTCTATCTGTTTATTACCGTTTCAGTTCTAAACGGATCCTAATAAAAAAACATGAAAATTTATTGTATTACTAGGACGGCATTGTTAGAAGATGCCTATGTCTTTTATCTAAAAGTGCAATAAACACCTTGTATACTAATTATAGTATATTTAATTATATAAAATAACTACCAGCTATTTGAGCACGGGTGTTATTAACATAGCCATTTCACTGTTTTTAAATTAAATAAATCCCATTTTACGTACTGATCATATAGCTTTTTATAGGTGACATATTTTAAGGTGAAATTTTTGGTTTACGCATTACAAAACTCTAATATTTCCTCATTGTAATATTAGTTATGAAAGACTAATGCAGCTGTTGTTATTAATGTCAGCAGGTATTAGATAATGTGGTTTTTCTATTCTAAGTGTTCATATACTGGAACATATGGTAGGTAAGAATCGATTGGTGCTAATATACTCACCGGATTCTAAGAGTTGGTCGATACTCCCTATAAAAACAAATACTTACTTGACTTATAATTTTAATATCGAATTTAAATTCTTAGCAGTAAAGTCGTTTTCCTAATGTATGGATTTGGGGCTATTGGGTATAGGGTATTGGATTGTGTTATGATGACAATAATCCAAAACAGTTACTCTTATTTAATCGGTGTTGATGAAAAATATTGAAATCATGTTCAATATATTAATAATGATATACAAATAATTGTTTTGTCGGATGTGAACTATATCCGACAGTTCATGACCTATAGGTACAGGGTCATTTTTTTAATCGCTACCCAAACTTTTATATTACTTATATTTTATAAAAGAAAAGAAACAAACAACAATAATTTCGTATTTAAGTGACGTTTCGTACTAGAATATCGCACACAGTACAATACTGGATTAACTCAAAAATTACAAACTTCGGGAAAACCACTCTAAACTTTTAATTTGAAGGTCTAATTTAAAAAAAATGATTTTATTCAGTTACTTCTGTATTGTAGTAGCTATTGCAATACTGGAGTAACTCACAAATTACTACTATTATTATTATTGAATTATTGTTGTGAGAATTTTATATATAAACTAATACTGGATTATGTTTTAACACATTTACTACATATAACCTATGTATGGCATGTAATTAGTATGATAAAGTAACTTAATACTCCTTGTTTGATTTTTATGTAGATATATCGTAATTATATATTTGTATAATAAATGTGTTCTGTTTTTCTTTGTGAACACAATGCAATATTTACGCACTTGTAGGTGTCATAAGGTTATGGACCCGTGTGTGCGTGATGAAACAATTAAAACATTATTTATACAGAATATCTCCCTACTATCAAGTGGTATATAGACTTGGTCGTCATATGAACCGGTTGGTTCTGCCTTTGGAACTAACCCATTTCTTATCTATGACCCTGTCTCGTACAGCAACACGATTTTAGCAATTCCTCATTTTCGCGGTGCGTAATTAAACTCTTATTTACAAGGTCGTATGGTTTATTTTTTAATATTTTTGTAGAAGTATTTGGATCATGAGTAAAATTTATTTAGTAATACTATTGATGACGATTATTAATTAGCATCCCCTTCGATCGATCCCCCGTCCAATTCAAACGGGGATCAATATTACGACGGCCTGAGCCGAGGTTCGAACCCCTAGTGGTGCCCTCAGACTAAAGTCGTATCCGTCAGGCAGGAGTTAGCCTTCAGCCGCTCCATAAGTCCTTCCGCAGGTTTGGAGTGTCATCTGCACTCGCCCCCTAACGGCCGATGAAGCTGTAAAGGCCAGCTGTGGCCAATAGCATTAGAGTAGTAAAAAAAAATATTAGCATAGGACGATTTAATATGGTTATGTAACAATTAATCTTCCTTTAAGCTTATTCTATCTTCTCTTCCTGACAACGCTATAATAAACAAAAATGATTGATTGAGTATAACAATATTTATAAAAATGTACAGCACAGATTGAATTTCAACTACAAAACATATGATTGTCAAAATATGCCTTATACGTATAGGTCAGGCAGGAATGGTCTTCAGTCCCCCTATAAGTACTTATTCGGGTTTAAAGTGACCTCTTGCTTCCAGTCGTTCGGTGGAGCTTTAAAGGTCATCTACGACCAACAGTAGTTAAAAGTTAAAATATTTATTCAATTTACTCAAACTCCATATTTGAGACACCAAATCCTCACAGCATATTGATTATAACAATAAATTTAAGCATAAAGCATAAGCATAACTAGATGTATATGCCATCCATGCTTGTGAGGAGATATAAGTAAATTATATCATATTATTGTTATATTTTATTATATACTTAGTAGCCTAAAATGCATTAGGGATCGAGCAGATATGTATACAATTTTTAGTTGACAAAGCGCTTCAACAACAATCGATAAAGGTTTGACATATTCACCTTTGCACAATGTTCCAGTGACTTGATAATAACCGGTTTCCTAAGTGCTCGATACCAGTTTTATTTTCATACAGGAATTACAATTATCTATGGAATTGTCCACTATGTAAACAATATAAACAGTTCCTAAGAAATCATGTGTCAATATTTGTTTAGTCCAATTATGTAGGTATTAATTAAATGTTATTTAGTGTGCCACGAGCTACCGTTTTTAATCGGAATTACCAAATAATTATATTACTAATATGCTACATACCTAATCGGTATTTAATAATACCGACACTTCTAATACATAAAAACCTCGGTATCACAGTGTTTGTTATGAGACTCCGATGAAACGACTTGACAGAATTTTATAAAAATTTTAGTGTATATCTTGAAATATTTTCTAGCTCTAATAATAGGTTGTAGGCTATTATTTTCATAAGGTCATCTAATGGGATCCTATCCAAAAATAATTTACAGTGCAAATTTACCGTTTGCCAGGTCAGCTAGTTTTTCATACTTGATTATTTCCTCGCTTCGGCATCTTATTGAACAAAATGAGATGAAATCTTCCCTTTATCTACCTCTCCATTCTGTTACTATTTTTTATTGTTTTATATATATTTATTCAACAAACTTTCTGAGTTTGGTTTTTATTTGTATAGATAATCCACATACAACTTATTACTTATACTTTGTTTCTCTTATCTTTTTAGACAATTGGTGAAAGCTCTTCAAGATAGAGGCGTGATCGTGTACCTTGTATCCGGTGGCTTCAGAAGCCTTATAGAGCCGGTCGCTGAGAAGCTTGGCATCCCATCGTCTCACATATTCGCAAATAGACTCAAATTTTACTTTAACGGTAAGTAATATATTCTAGTTTTTTTTAATTGGCAAATAAGATTAAAGTCCGCGTGATGCTAACAATCGCCTATATACATAAGCTACTGACAACATGTTATCACGATATACGTTAAACCTGGAACAACTTACGAGAAGTAAGTTGCTTGGCAGCTGAAATAGGTAAACACAGATGAAATTTTACATTATATTATTAGGTATCTCAATGCATATCTGTGATTTGCAAATATATACAACCTATATATTTGTTTGTGTATTTACAATTATTGGGAATGTAAAATTAAAACCAATTTCTTCTGCTTCTACACTGGATTACAAATATTATAGTTACGTTGAACTCGACCTATAGTTTAGTACAATGTATGTATATGTATGTATACAATTTAGTAATTATCACGACTTGACAGCATTTCTAATCTAGGTTAATCACGTTGCTTTCGATTCTGCATGAACAATTAAGGAGATAAGGTTTATTTGCTTGAAGGAAATCTAGTTGTTTTCCGCACGAGACCTCGTGCAAATACGGAATATTTGTAACAATTATATATATTGTATATACTAGTAAACCTGTCCACGCGTTGCCTTGGCTAAGATTCTTGAATAAAATAATATTGCGACTATAAATCGAGATGTAAGCTATCCTATCTTTCAAGTTGGATCAAATTGCACACAATGTGCAAATCAAATTTGCAATCGGTTCAGTAGTTTAGGAGTCCATCGCGGACAAACAACGTGACACGTAAATTTTATATATAAAAATATAAACAATTCTATAAAAAATATTTACGTATTTGTTATGAATATATCGATCTGAAGCAAATATGAGCCTTATTATGTGTAATAATAAATGAAGAAATTGTTTGTGTCTGTTAAATGAATAGTGCTTTAAAATTTATATTACACACCAAAATCTAAAGTTCAATATAACAAATCATTACCTATAATCTCCGATGGAACATCTGTGAGTTCCATTTAGATAAAGGCAGTAAATTGTGCTCAATGCAACCATTCTTTTGTTGTCTCTTGTTGTTTTATGTCAAGGTTACCTGGAAAATAATATCTCTTTATATGTGTACATATGTTTGCATGGAAATAATAATCTATATATTTAATTAATCTACGGTACACGGTCTAAGGTATTAATATATTAAAAAAAAATAGTCGATCACTGTCTGTATATGGAGGATATATGATAACAACTATTATTAGGAACCTTCTATAATGTAATATAAAACATTGACAGTTACAATTTTTATCTGTAACATCTGAAACTGCGTAACGGCTTTCACTAATTTGTTGTGGTGAACTTTATTTGAAATTTAGTGTTTGCTTAATTCCAATCGATCGATCAAAAATGTTTTGTCGCGAGATAAGCTAGTATTTCCAATAAATAAATGCAACTTAATTTATCCCTCTTCCTTTGTTTAAGTCGGTTAAGATATTAAAACTACTACAAATATTATTTCTAGTATATGATTTACTTATTGTCACGACATGTAGCAATCGTTATACCACTGTGTTAGTTATTATTCTATTGACATATAAGATCACAATTATTATTATATTATATGTTATAGGCTAAGATTGATGTATGACTGCCAAGTCTAGGTTAATTAATAGTATTGCATCTTAAATTGTATGTTCCATTTGAAAATTCCACACAAATTAAGTTTATCTTAGCGAATCTTCGATTAATTTAGTTTGTGAACTTAATTATCAAAGTTTTAGTTACAATAATAGCTGTAATTAGACCTAATATTGTAACTGAAGCTTCAATAAATAAGTTTTTCAACAATATACGCTGTAATTAAAAGATCTTTACGTAATTCCATTTCTATATCAAAAGTTCATTAATAAGACCATAGTACTAAATATTTTATGTAAGTGAGTACAAAATATGGAAATGTGACTTCAGACATTAATAAATTTAAAAACTTTTTTGTTAGTATAAGTAATTCTTCTTCATCATTTACTTCTTCCTTCTCCTATTTATTTGGGGTCGACGTAATTATGTTTTTCTCTTCCATTCAACCCTGTTCGCGGTCATCTCGTTATTTATTCCCTTTCATACCACATCATCTTTCACACAGTCCATCCATCCTTCCTCTAATAATGCTTCACTAGCGTCAAAATTAATAGAATCGTTTTACATATGATAGTGTAATATTCCTCTTAAACATTTCGTCGCCTCGGTATTTATTGCCTTGATTAAAACAAGAAATGCACCCATTTTATCGCTCAGATTGCTTACAGATATATGTATAAACTAGAATTTACTGGAAAAAATGCGATAAACATTTATAATAACAACATATTTTACAATCGTTGCGCTGCCATGTCGTCAACACAGTGCCGCATTGAGACAGAGCGGGTCCTGTATGAAATTATTAAAACAGTATAGTTTGGTATGAGTTCTTATGTTTGGATTAAAAAATCAAACACTTATAAATTCACAAACAAATATTTTATTCGGTTAATCTTGAAACAAACTTAAAAAATAAAGCCAATAACTTTTTTTGTTGTGTTCTATTTAGACAGCCGTATTTTGCGCAGGACCCCTCAATGTGCGGGGCCCATAGCATTTGATACTGGCTACTAGACTGATGCGGCACTGCGTCGACATCAAACAAACAAGCCCGTTGCTGTCTTATCGCGCACGAAGTCTGCGCGTGCGCGGTCCCTGTTGCGTGGCTGTTTTTCTTTTTTCTCATCGCCAAGTGGGGCGGATGATGACATTTGTTATGCTCTATTTCAAGTGTGTTATTATAGATCATTGATAATGATGTGGGTGTGTATCTTTCCTCTGTCCAGACGTCATTGACTTCGGTGCAAAGTTATTATATTTACCAATGTTTAGTATTTTTTTGTTGTATTATTAATATTAGAATATTTATAGGGTTCAATTACCTTTTGTGTTGTTTTGCGATTCATCCATTTCTAGCTATTTTTTTTATTGAGAATTTTGTCCTATTGTCAGCTGCCTGACAGACCTGAGGCCTGTAAAGATCGATAGTACTCGCCCTTTATCAAAGATCGCTGCCTAAACCCGTCAAGGATTAGAATTGAAGGATATTCTTAGGAGGGATAGTTTTATCTCCTCAGGATAGAGTGTATATTTAACAATGGAAATATACACATTCATGCATGAGTGGGCTACAATCACATAGGATGTGTAGTGGCGTTTCCTCTTCTGCTTGACTTTTCAGCTATAACATTGATTAATGTGAACATATGAAGAAGTTTGAATGTTGCGCCAGTAATAGAGATGATGCGAGGTAACTGTTTGTTTTCGTATAGGCATGTTGGATGGCTTGTGTGAAAGACGATATGCATAAAAGGAGGGTAAGCTCATATATGAGAGAGCCGTGGAAGATGACATATTGCGCCGACCCCAAATAATGAGGCAACTGCAAGGCAATGATGATCAACATTGATTAATGTACATATCATACGCAGGAATGAAGTAAATATTTACTTTTACGAAAGTATTTTGTTATATGATTATGAGAATAAGGCAGAGCTATAAATGAGGGGAAAGATATAAAGAAAGATGATATAGCAAGAAGGATGTGAATACAAAGATGATTGCTAATAGAGACGAATGAAATAGGAAAACATATTACGACAGTCCTAATTGATAAAAATGCTTTTTATAAATGACCGGCATGTCCTAACCCTGGTATCTTATCACAGGGGAAAGTACCTCCTCCTTGTGTAAATGCTCTAAGAATTATTATTTAATCACACTTGTAATAGAATAGTAAACGAGTCGTGTTTAAATATGTAAAAATAAATTTGATTATTTATATACTTTTAATATTTTATTTTAAATTTTATTAGTACACGTAGTACAAACTTTGCTTCATTTGGGACTAAATAAACCAACGCAATAAGTACATTTCCTAATTTGTTTAACATACAATACAGATACATTTCTTATTTACTATATGACTATGTAACTGACGCCGCGAACTTCGTTACGCGTCAGAATTAAATAATATATACGAACAGTTTGTATTGGAAAATAAAAATGTTGATTTTGCTATTTTTCCATGAAATTTCTTCATATTTTCTCATCACTTAAACCTTCCTTGGAGTTCTACAAATATTTAAAAATCAAAATTAGCCAACGCGGTCCAACCGTTCTCGAGTTTTAGCGAAACTAACAAACGTCATTTCATTTTTATATATAAGAGAAGATAAACAGAGAGACATCGTTGCTATGTACCATTATTTTTCTATAGCAAACACCTGTACAAATTATACTTTTCGGAAACGAAGGTTAACGTGAAACGATTTAGTAGGTTCTGAATTTAATTGTTTCTTAATATGTTTAATTAACACTTGCGTTGTCGATAGCATATAATTAAATTGTCAAATATAAATAATCATATCCTAACTCTGAAATAATTAGTATAAATCCGCAAGTGGGAGATCGAGAGAGAACAATTATCAGAAACAAATAATCTTGACCCTGTGTGTTGAGTGTTTTTTTAAACAGTTTAATTCTTGCTGTGATGACTTGTTCTTCCTTTTTTCTGTTTATCATCGACTTTTGACAGTCTGTATATATATATATATATATATATATATATATATATATATATATAAGTCGCATCAGATTTATATTAGGCTATCCTGTTCAAACGAATCTCCTCTTACACGTTACAAATTAACTGTCGAATAAAGTATTGATAAATATTTTTTTTATAACTGCATTCATTTCTAATTTAACGAATATTTTTTTCTATTACAGGCGAATATGCCGGCTTCGATGAGAACGAACCCACTTCCCGTTCGGGTGGCAAGGGCCTGGTGATCAGGAGGTTGAAGGAACAGCACGGCTACCAGAGGCTCATAATGATAGGAGATGGCGCTACTGACGCCGAGGCTAGCCCTCCCGCTGATGGATTTATCGGTTAGTTTCTATTCAAGTCATTATTCGCAATTTACTTACAAGAGTATTCTGGGTTAATTGAGGTAACAAACTATCTATATGTGATTAATATAGTAAAATTGGTTCTAACACAAATAATTTTATAGTAAATAAAGGTATTTATCTCGCTCAACGTATCGACTAGGTTGCACTAGCCGTGGTCACGAGCCCACTGAAGAGAGGTGGACCTTTATTTATCATAACATTATTCGTGTTAAAACTCGTTTAACTATATAATATGTATTAAATGCGAAAGTTTAAAAATAGGTATCTATGTGTGAATTCCATCCAAATACGTGCATCAGTACGTTTTTGCTTGATTTTTACCATTAAATGTAATGGCAATTGATTATGATTAAATAATTAAACGGATTGGAATGCAGATCGAAATAACGATGCCGCTGAGGTTCTAACCCTTGGTGGTGCCTTCAGGTGCCTTAAAGTCATCAGGATTTGGCCTTCAGTCGATCCATACATACTTGGTTTCATACATACGTATTTGCCTGGGTTTGGAGTGAAGTTATAAAAGCCAAGTAACATCATTAGGTTGGTTTAAAAAAAATTGAATTAAATTTGTTTGCAGGCAACATCAAAAATTAATGTTACCAGATTAGTTATATTTTATAGTAATTTACGTAGATAATAATCTAGACACTGATTGGAATTTTATAGCTATGTAACATACAAACTGTACATTCATTAATAACTTGTAACAAATGGAATTATATATTTTGACAGGTTTTGGAGGAAATGTAACACGCGAGGAAGTGAGGAAAAAGGCGGCGTGGTACGTTACCGACTTCCAAGAGTTGATCCAGAATCTCACCATCCAAACAAAATGAACATCAATAACTCTGATGCACTAAATTATCTGTGCATTTGAAATGAACCTTAGTACAACGAAATAAGTTTTATAATTGCCAGCGTTGTATTAAGATTCGTTGAATGGAAAGCGAAATAGCTGTCCCGCACTCTCGTCGAAATGAGCCTCAACTCATTTTTTTATTCGAATTAAATGTTTGTGATTATCTCAAGCTTTATAGTATTACGTAATATACGTATTTATTGTACAAAATTAAAAACGATGTAAGAAAATGTTAGCAATTTTAGGCATAGTTTAAATATTAAATGGTGCTGTTTTACATAGAAATATTAGTGTCAATTTCAATGCACGGTACATAAATATAAAGTTTATATTTGTTTGTGCATTTATAGTTTATAATAATTGTAATTTGTCGTTTTGATGGTACTCTGAGTACATGAATTGAGTAATATAAGTATTCAGGGACTTAGTCCCGAAATTTATCAATTGCGACATTTATGACAAAATTAATAGGTATTTTTTAAGAAGTAGCGTAGGTAGCTAATTTGTATTTAAGCATTTTAAGATCATTCTATATTTTATTTTCTGTAGCCAATTTATAGATACATATTTTTAGTATATTTTTATCATTGTTTTGTTAATATTTATATTTACCGTACAGTGGTTGTCTAATACAATTGTTTAAATAAATAATATTATATTAGTTGATATTTTTATAGTTTAAATATCATTTATCAAAAACGGCTGTGTACTTTTATTACATAAGAAATAAAATTAAGAATATAATGTTTTACTGTTATTATTATTAATTTTCCTGATATTGTTCTAACTTCTATTAGGACTAAGCAGTCTTTTAAATGTTTTTTGAGATATTTCTTTATTTACATTATACTAAGCGAGCTTTATAGTTTTCCAACATGGCCGCTTATGAAGATTACATACATATACATATATATAAACAATAATTTAAAGGAAAACAATTGTATGTTCATATACAAACTAAATAATCTACCGCCATCCTACGAAAATCCATATATAGTATAATATGTATATCTATAATTTAGTATTGCCACGCAAGTGTGTAAGTTTAATCTATATCTAGTAATATAACAAGGCGGACGTGAACCAAATATCTTGATTTTTTACTTCAGTTCACCCCTTCGTCCTTGTCTGAATATAACAAGGTGTTGCATTTCTAGGTATATTTGTGACCTATACCTTACATAGAAATAGTATATACCTTCTATAGAAAAGTATGTGATACAATGAATCGACTATATGCGTGATATAAATGAAACAATGGATAGAAAATACTTATAATGAAACAGTGCTACTGTTTGTACTCGTATCTTCATCAGGCAATAGTGACAATCAAAATATGACAATAAAGATAATACAATTAAAATTGGTATAATAATGTACAAAGAGTTTGCAACAGATCTAGAAATGGCTGTATTTCACGGCGTATTATAATACATATATACATATAATACCGAGTATTCAGTTAGTATGGAACATTAAGGTTTGTGGTGGTTATTCATGTGGTGTACTGGGTTTCATAAGAATAACCCAAAATCCGATCGAAAGAACAAAGCATACGATTGCAAGGAGCTGAATACTCGAAATGAAATGAGATTGTATAATGATATATGAAGTGGAACTGTGAGTGGAAAAAAAGAGGAGAGGTGTGCGAGAGAGAGTGAGAGAGAAAGCAAGCGGGAAAAAACAAGAGGGAAGTAGAAAATAAAACAACTTAATATATATATCTAAATATAATGGACGACCTCGGTGGTCTAGCGGTCTAGCACACCGCTTTGTGTCCGATGGTCGTGGGTTCGATTCCTCGCATGGCACAAACATTTGTATTCATGAGTATGATTGTTTGTATCAGTCTGAGTGTTTTCTATGTATATTATGTATGTATTTACGATAAAAAATATCTATGTATTTGTATCAGTTATCTAGTACCTATAATATAACTTTAGATAGCTTAACTATATATTTTTATTTCTTCTTTGCACAGATTCGTAATCCTACAGTATTGTAGAAGCAAATTAATAATTTGACATAATTGCTATGTATAAAATTTTAGGCGATCGTAAATAGTAAATATTTTGTATAACTTATTCCAATTTTAGTTTTGTTTTATAAACTTACTTACGATGAGTTGTTATGAGAATATAAAAATAGTGTAATTCTGTTTATGAAATAGAGGGCAGTAAACAAAAACTATACTATATTCTCCATATAGGTACACAGCGTCTTCCAATCCAAAGCTACGCAACGCTTGTAAAGTAAATAACTGTTTTAAATACTGAAATACATTTTTTTGTAAATACATGCATAATATACGCAATTGTGCGCGGAATCGAAGCCTCTGTCAGAACCAGAACTGTGTTGATATCGTCTTGTTCTACCATTTTCCTAAGTGCATCGTGGCGAATACACAAGGAATTCCTTGGTTTATGCTGATCAAACACGGTTTTCAGGAGGACAGCGCCGATGTCTACCTGACATGGTACATTACTAGCAATGGGGCAGGTAGCCCATACTACTAACAATCCCGTTTTTTATGTGTGTTTCTTTAAGTATTTAATATCTAATACTTATTTTGAAAATTTCTTCGTTCGTTTGGTACACATTATTAATATGATTGAACTCATTTTAACAAGAAAAAATTTATCGTAAATAATGCTATTTTTTTAGATTGCACTAGCCGTGGTCATGAGCTGTATGGCTAGTGCAACCTTGCCTAAACGTCGAGATAGGTGAATACCCTTACATATCATAAAATTATTGATCTTAAAACCCGTTTACTCTATTAATAAAACCTAATAATTTTAGGAATCTTGGCCAGCTATTATCCTTGTGTTCATAATTAGAATGTACCTACATAGTTTTATTAATAAATATTAACGACAGCAGATATGCTTCATTCTATTTTAGTCGTGATTTATAAATCATATCCAAATTATCAAATATGTACACTGTAAAAATTCTACTAGACGTCTATTTATTCCGTGAAACGATTCTGACAAATTCTGAAATTCGAAAATGTCACGTTGGGACCGCCTCCCGGTTCTACCATATGTGCTCCCCTTTTCACAACGTTTCACATAATTAATAGACCAGTCTATGAATCTATGTTCACGTATATATGAAATATATAATACTTTAGTAGACATTGGTATGGTAGTAAACAGAAATAGACCTCCTTGGAAATAATATTAAGAAAACTGCTTTTATAGGGCATTTTACGAAGATATTGCTTATGATTTTCTATTATTTGTTCAGTATCTTATCTTACTAATATTATAAACGCGGAGGTTTGTGAGTATGAATGAATAGATGCATGGGTGGATGTTTGTTACTCTTTCACGCAAAAACTACTGAAATGGTTTTAAACTTGAAACTTTACAGTGATACCTACAGTTAATTTAAGTATATATATATTTATTTAGTACATCAGAATGAAACTTGGGCTTTAGATTTCACGCGGGTGAAACCGCGAGCACAGCTAGTAGTCTATAAACTGTTTATTTTTCATAATAAATATACCAGATGAGTGGGTATTATTAATTGGAACACAAGCCGTCAGCCGTCAATTTTACATGCCCATATTTCACGACGATACTTGTGACAGTAGTTTTGTTTATAAATAGCAGACAAAAAGTATAATTAGGTACCTAAGTAAATACCTAATATATCAATAAGGTAGGTATGCTATTTAATATAGTTTTTGAATTATTTTACGTATGACAAAAATCAACCAAAGTAATCCAATTATGACATACCTATTTGTAAAATGTAAAAAAATCCGTTGTTGTTCGTTTTTCATCTTTGCCTTAATTCATCATATTATCCGTATTTTCTAAACTCAAAAACTTCATTAATCTGTTTTGGAGTTTTCTCTTCGTATTGTGTATTATTAATAATATAAGTATTAGTAGGTACTCTACTTGTTCAAGGTGTATTACTTTTTCTCGTAATAATACTTTATTCTATAATAGTGTAATGTTGTTGCTATTGTCAATGATTGTCATCTTTTAAGTGCTTCCAATTGGGACATAATGTCTATGGCCAAATTATCTGGAATAGGTACAATACCATATTTAGGAAGCATGTCAGCGCGACGTTCTTTTGGCTTTATATTGTATTGTTTCTCTTTATTTTGTGATAATGATATTGTTGGTCGATGTATCAATGTATAAAATTCTTTATCTCTTAACTTATTGTATTCAGTATTCAGAACTCGGACACAACATGTAGAATGCCTAAATAAGCAGTCTTTCCCTGCCCGTGTTGTTGAAATTGTCGATGGTAATTGTAGAGTGGTTTCGCTTAATAATGACCATTTTGTTTCTTCAGGTTTAGTATATGTAACTTTTAGGTTTTCAGTTTGTATTGTTGTTAATATAGAAGACTTGTCAGTTGATATTAATGTAGCTATAGGAGTTTTATGTGTTGTTGTTTGAGCAGTAGTACTAGTAATTGCAGTATTAATAATAGTAGTAACATGTAATGAATTATGAGGTATAATTACAGGTACAGGGTATGGATATAATATAATATTCGGCTGTGGAGTGATCATGAGGTTGCAATTACTGCAATAATATTTACAACATTTCTTATGATAATTACATCCGGTGCACGAACAAAAACATATATTTCTGTAACCGGAACCATATACGTTAGATTCATCCAATATATTGATATTTGTCCGTTTATAAAGTTCATAATGTCTTCGCTTAGTATGAACGAATTCGTTATACAACTGATATTTTTTTTGCATTAATCTATGTTGATATGGTTGTAAGTTATAAAACTGTGTAGTTCTGTTTTGTAATAGGGCGCATGTTATTAGAATATTGAGTATCTAGAAAAGGAAAAAGGGAAAAATTATACATATATATAATATACATTACTATCTGTGCCCACGGTTTCACCCACATGAAATGTATATAGTCTATGTTTTATTCTGATGTGTAAGCTATTTTACTGTAATATTTTATCGGATTTTGATAAAATATATAAATATAGGCTAGTTCAGTAGTTTTTGCGTGAAATAGTAACAAACATCTATCCATCCATATGTCCCGGCAAACATTGTTTTGCCATATAAATTAATAACGCTATAAAAAAATAGGGGTTGGTGATAGAAGGGTGAAAATTTAGGGTTGTATGTATTTTTCAATCCTTAATAATAAAATGAAAATAAAATATGCCGAAAAAATAAAAATTATATATTTAGGGGTGGATATCCCTTACCACTACACCCCTAAGTATGAAAAATACATAGTAGCCGATTCTCAGACTTACTGAATATGCATATAAAATTTCATAAAAATCGATCAAGCCGTTTGGGAGGAGTATGGTAACTAACATTGTGTGTGACGAGAATTTTATATAAAATTTAATTGAGTTTTTGCCAATTCTTCTCAATTGAATATGTATGCTAAACTGGACCGTAGGGCAAAAATATAATATAAAAACTTTGACGTTCATAAGCGGCTAAAATGTCCTACATGAATAAATGATTTTTTAATTTGAATTTAAAACACATTGTCCAACATACCTTTTTCATGTCTTACTGTAATTACTTGCTTATCTCATTTTAAAGGCCAATTGATACCGTATTGTTGTAGTATTATTAGAATTTTGTTTTAAAAGTATGATATGTAAACTTAAAGAAATAATTGATATGCAAGTGCCTATATACGTTGAGAATAATGTACAATCACGATAAAATAAACCAAGTAATACGTATTGTAATTTTATCGTTTATATGATATTGTGTAAACTACATTGTAAGCTATAACAATAAAAAATATTACAAATATTCAGAATATTAAAAATACGTAGATATACATTTTGAAATGCTGTGAATGTTTTAAAATTCACTTTCAATGAAATAAATGTATAATTTACAATTTTTGAAAAAAATTTTGACGTCAATGTTATCTAAATAAAATTTGTATGAGACATGCGCATGAAGCAGCACGCGTAATAATTTGCTGATCCATACTAAATTATTATAAATGTGAAAATATGTCGGCCGGACTTCCTGTTTTTTTCTTATTCACGACTAAACAACTGAAAGATTCATAATGAAATTTACTTTAGGCTATTTTTTATCTCAAACAAGCCACGTCGTATGTAGCAAGTGAACTATAAAATCCGCCGTCGTAAGACCTAATTTATTAAAATTGCTTAGTAATTGGCGCTATAAGGAGCACGATCTTCCACGGTCCGCCTGCTTTTTGTATGACATACGTCATAGAAATTTAAATTACATTCTATTCATTAGATGTTTCAATTTGCAATCCAGAAAAGAAAATATATAGATTGAAAACCGCAACAAATTACTGTTACCAAAATTTTATTGATATCTACTTACAAAAAAACTTATAAAAATACAATTAAAATCTTGTCCATCCCGAAGTTGATTAAAAAGTAAGCTATTTTACTACCTTTTAGAATGTAATGGTTTCATTTTTCTCATTTGGGTCATGAGTTTGCAGCTAAATGATCAGGTATAGGTACAATACCATATTTTGGCAGCGAATTCGGTTCCGTACGGCGTAAATGCGTTAATATGTACTCGTTTCTTTTATCTCTGTTCAATGAAAGTTGTATATATGTCGGGGTTTTTGTTGTCGTTGATAAAGTAATTACTAAATTTCTGGTCGGTGTTGATGTTGACATGCATGACGGGGTATTGCTTACTCCCACTACATGAACGACTAAGGTATAGGGATATGGAACAAAAATGAGGTTGGACTGTCTTTTTTGAAAAGTACAATCGGTGCATACATCTTTGCAGCATGGTTTTATCTCTTTGCAACTACTGCAAGCACAGTAGCATTCCTCTAAATACGAGTCACTGTAATCTGAGTATCGAAATGATCTCATGTTATATGTGAAATTGTATTTGCTTTTATGGTGTCTAAGTCCTTGGTAGGCTGATGGTACACTGTCATAGTCCACGACAGCTTGAGGCCGGTAATAGCCCTATTGAGTTTGTAATTGTTGATTATAGTGATCTAGGAAGTCTACAGTAGTTTTATGTAGGATGTACACTATATGTACAATGAGCATCTGGAAATGATAAAAATATGAATAACTGTTTTCAATGATTGAAGTGCAAATGTTGCACATTATATTTTAGAGTATTGGACCACCGTGTTATAACAAAACTTATGCATACTCTGTTCCATCTGTACAGTGTTATATTTGAGAAAATGACTATTCAATATTAAAACTTCAACCACTTCGCCTCTATGGACACAGTTTCATGCCACAGTTAGAAAACAGAAAATCTGAAAAATTGTCTAAATGATAAATAAAACATTTTTTTAACATTGAAGTTTGTGAAACTTATAATCTGAAATAATTACGTTTGAAAAAGGTATAGGATTTCAATATTACAGAAATAGGATCAAATAGAAGCGCAATTCGCAAAATTTCTGAAACATCCTTTAAAACTCTACACAGAGAAACTTAGTAATGTAGTAAAATATTAAAATTCTATTCAACCACTTGGATCACCTCTAATTACATTACAAGTAATTTATCAATTAAAAATGAAGAAAATACCTACAACAGATTTATTTCAATATACATATATAAACAAATATTCGGGTTTTGATAGGTACAGATTATGAATAACAACTGTTTATAAACAGCAACATCGATAATATTTGGAAAAGGTGTTGTAGATGAATGTGGATGGTTCAGTTATAAGGACAGAGGAAGGCCGAAAAAGAGATGAATGAAACTATATATGAAAAGTGAATAGTGATGAATGGCGAACAAAACCCCAAATGATACTACGGGTATATTTGTGATAGAACATAACATGACTTCTTTTTATCCCTGGAATGAATTCTTATTTTTTTATTTGTTGCTTGTTTTGGTCGCTTGTAAAATGTGGTTTAGGTATATATAAATAGTAACAGAATTGAATTACTCGCTACAATTTTTTTCATGTTTGTCCTCGATTTGTGAATTAAAATTTGCTTATTAGCGGTATAGGGTTTCTTTTCGTGATTCGTACACTCACTAGTAACTGAGTTTTCTTTCTTACTTCTAAATTTCGTTTTCGTAACCTGTTTGTTAATTACGTCGTTAGTTCAATAGAGCGATAAGCAATAATTGACGTAACTAAATTCCTTTCAATAGTTTTTTTTTAATGTTTCATCTTATAGGGTGTTATATGATATTGAGATTACAAGGTACGAAGGCTTTATACCACGAATGCAATGGCAACACATTAGAATAGAATTATTCTTAATTCAAATAATTAATTTAAGCACACTTGTTTAGTCATGTTTTTTATTCTACCATTCATTTGGAACTGAAAAATGAGAAGAAACTTGTGTGTTGTTCGAACATGCTCGAACTCGAACTTGCTCTTTTAAATAAATGTTGTTAAAAGATAATATTTAGTAAATACACATTAACACGGGAAGCGACTATAAACTCTTTCTATTCATCAGGCGGGAGTTGGCTCCATAAGTCCTTCCGCGAGTTTGGAGTGTCATCTGCACTCGCCTCCTATCGTTCGGTGAAATGGCCAACAGCATTAGTAGTCCTAAAAAAAAAAGTACTGACTACGTCTAGTGCGGTTGGCATCCCTGGTCTACACATAGTCCGCTGTCTGTCGTTACGTATGTGCAATTAGATATTAATGTCACTATGAATTTTAAGTTTTTTTTACTACAAACTTTATTATCATTTATAATCTCCGAACTCAGACCTCAACTCAAAACATTAGAAGTACGTAATGTGGCACAGTTCATGTATACAGTCGATTATATACATGTACTCGAGCATGTTAGTTTGAGGTAGGCCAGTGGACAGTAAACTCTAGACCTGAACTCTGTCATCTGTGAATTATTTTGAAAACGTTATATATCGTGTGGTATCGATTAAAATCGATTTTACAGCGGCGGAAGCAAGAGACGCGCACGCGTGAGTAACCGACGTATTTTGAACTTTCAACTCTAAAAATACATCGTTGGTGACCCCGCTCGACTCGCGCGCAGTCTCGCCGCCTTCTGAAAGGTCAAGCCACGCTGAATATGTCGTTGGTCATTGTCTAAACAATTGTTAAATCTATAATCTAATACCTAATTTACATAATTTCAAGTGATACCTACTCTAAGCAACAGTGAAGTGACCGGTGACTTAAAATGGAAATTGTGTCAGTGTCAATAACGACCTGTGATTGTGATAATTTTCATAGATATTGAACAAAAAGTTTATGTAGGTTTATTAGGTCTAGAAGTAAGTGTTGTTGAGTTTCTATTAGGTAGGTAGTTCGAATATTTTCTCACATAACTAATTAGTATGACAACTAAAGTCAACCAAAGCAACACAAATGTGATACCTATGCCTACTAACATAGAACAAGTTTTTATGCTTTTTAAGTTTTGAAAACGAATATGAATATTTTTATAATTTTGTTTTCTATATTTTATTCGTAGTTAGTTTTTCAAATCTCATTCTGTCGTATTCATTATATTATCTGTATATTCCTAATTTTACACCCAAACACTTATACAGATGCGATATTCATCATTCTGTTTACGATTTTTTTCTTAATATTGCGTATTTTTAATGATATAAATATTATTACTCTGTACAAGGTGGTGACTTTTTTTGTGTACTTGTTTGATTAATAATTTAATATAGTCCGTATTGTCGTTGATTCTTTATACCAAATATTTATGATAAAATTTTATGGGATCGGTATAATACTTTAATTAAGAACAAAGTGTATGTATTGAATTATTAGGTAGCATTACGGGTATAGATATAGTATAATATTCGGTTGTGGGGTGATCTTGAGGTTTCAATTGCTACAGTAATTTTTGCAACATGATTTACAATAATTACATTCGGTACACGAACAAAAACACTTGTATCTGTAATTTAAACCAAATACATTAGATTTATCTAATACATTGATTTTTCTCTATTTATAATAAGGAATTAATTTATTATACTATCGGTTCAATTGAGTAGTGACATGGACGTGACTTGATAACCATCAAGGGGCCGTCGTCTTATTTGTTAATCCATTTATATAAAAAGGTACATATCTATAAGATATAATAAACAAATAAATCTTCTTTCATGATTAATATCCCCGATGGTAGGGTGTCAGGCCTACCGCTAGTTCTCGGATTAGTTTAGTTGTTATCGATATTTCCACAACCGCAGAAATAGGCAAAAACATAAATTGACACGCAAAATGACACACAATGTTCTTAATCCTCAAAATAGTAACATATTAGGGGTATCACTGCATCTCGTGACGGAGTGGTGTGTATGGTCCTAATCGATGGTTGTGGTCCGGTTGCCCTCTTCTATCAAATGCGCAGTCGTCTTGTTTACCATTACATTTGTTTAATAAAACATATGATTCAACGTACTTGTTTTTAGTCGAAATATTTTTACTGGCTTATCAATTTAAAATCACAATTGAACAGCATTTCGGTACCTGATTATATAATGTTTCAAATCATAACGATTTAAAATAGTTTTTATTTAATTTTTAGAATTAAGGAAATAGCTCAT